TACAGCTATTGACACACGGGGCTGCTGTCACCTTTGAGTTCCTTTACTCCCATTTCCCGCCGACAATTTCGCACGATGCCGGCCGTATTCTGGAATACCACCTAGTAAACTATTCCGCTTAAAGGTGCAACAATGTTTAGTGGAGAAATCTTAGACATAAAATCTGATGGCAGTTTCGCTACGGTCGTGCAGTGATGAGCATTGCTAGTAACCCGTGAGAATCTGGTGCCTAATTTTTTTTTCTTTTACAGCAGCCAGGTCTCCAAGACAGTCTCGACGCGACAGCCCTGACAATGAGAGGGAATACAGGTCGAGCAGAAATGTAAGTGGAGTGTTCTGGCCACATGCTGCCGTCGGGTCGTGGAGTCACAGGAGAGAATCTGGAATTACGTACTCGTGTTCATGGAAGGGTGGGTCGCACAGCCCATTGCGACTCGCCTTCGTGCCGCTTGGTGCCGTTTTCTGATGCTTACCACGAGGTCTACAATGTGCTGCAACTAGCCTCGAGCAATTGTTTCCTCCTTCTCTGCTTGCTCGTGTGGATGGTTTAAAAATGCCTCGTCCATCACCCTGAAGTGGCTTTAAGCATCTTGTTATGGCTCGTTGCCTTTCTTGAGGGCAGGTGGCAATTTGCTGCAACGAGGAAGCCTGTTTGTGGCTCGGTGCTGGCCAACACCGCCATTGTTGGCCTAATAAGAGTTCAAAGAAAGTGGGGGTCTTCGTGGTAGTCGTTTTACGAGATATCGGTTTTAGCGCTCCTACGTTGTCGACCTAGTAGAGATTCTCGGCCAGCCCACGAGCGGGGTGCCGAAATTTCACCATGCACTACGCCGCTACCGTTGGAGCACAAAGGGCTTGTCCCATTTATTAATTCGGGGCAAGGTGATATAAGCAATGTAGCACTATGGGGCTGCATTCCTTTTCTGAGCTTGACGTCAAACGTCTCGCGGTGTCGCAGCTGCGTGGCGTCGCAAGCGCGTTGCATCGCAAGCGCGTGGCGTCGCGAATACAGTGTGTGCCCAGCCCATTTGTAGATCAGTCTGCGCTACAAGACATTTTTTTCCTCTGAGTTTTGACCGTGCTGCACCAAACAATTGTTTTTACAGCACCGTCTGATGCAAGAACTGGACGAAATGGACATTGAAGAAGACAAGAGGAACTTGATCACGAGAGAGATCGACAAATTCAGGGACACTTACAAGGTACGCTACGACACCACCTGGTGCCGCCTTTCTTTGTTCGCTCTCCCTAAACTTTCCGTCATTTTTAATTCCTTTTTTTTTTTGTCACTAATTTTTTATTTTTATTCGTTGGTCTCGATCGACCCACCAAATGAGTATCTTTTTTTTTTTTTTAATCTCTTGACCGATTGATTTTTTTATATTGTTATACATCACTTTATCTCCGTGTCCGTTTCTCCTCGGAACGTCCGTTGGCTTGCGTCACAAAGCGCATTGTGGGGGAAGTTTAGAGAATTTTTTTTCTTGCCCGCTTAAAGTTCCGGTCGACGAAAGTCGTCTGTTCTCCCACGTTTGTTGGGGGCCGAAACCCTTTTTTGTAGAGCGGCTCCGGGGTTAATGTTACTTCCAGTGCAAATCGTTAGGGGTTACTCATCTGCACCGACTGCATGCATCACCACTGCGACAGCACCAATTGCGGACTGTCCTGGTGACTCTAGGCTGGTTCACATATTTGAAGTTGAGTGTGAGCACTATTGTTTACAACAAGAGAACGCATTTGTCGACTCAGTCTTTAATTACCAGCACTGACCTTGCACACCAGATCTAGTCTTGCCTCGTTTTGTTTGTTTACATTGTTTAGTTAATCTATTGTCACAAAACTCACAATATTCAAGTTCTTTATTTGCTAGAAATGTAGCAGAATGCCTAGAGGGTGTGGCTATGGAACGTTTTTTTCTAAAAAGTTGTTTATTTCTATAAATTTTCTCTTCTGCAAAATCGGTCAACTTTTTGGTCTTCTGTGTCTTCGACAAAATGTCAACATTTTTTATAAAAGACCTCTGTAAAGTGACGAAAAAGTTCCATAGCCGCATTCCTTATTAAACTTCAGTCAGGAAAAGGGGAAAATGAGCCTTCCCTGTTTTGCCATTATCGAACGATAGATTGACTAAAATGGAATTTATACCAAAAAGTGGAATGGAGAAAAATGTGTTCAAAGTGCTCCAAACGCTACCTTTTCTTTAGCTTTTTTGGACAGAAAATAATTTATAAAAAATTCTATGCAGTGAAAATTAAACTTTTTGGGAATACTCTCTAGATGTTGGTGGATGTAAATATGTTATTTTTCAAAATCAACTTTCTTCGCAGAAATTCTTGTTTTTCTGGAGAGTGTCTCCTCTGGCAATGCCATAAGTGTTAATGGCCCTGGTGCATTCTCTCGCAAGCGGTTAGAAGCCGTCGCGACGAAGTCGATCATACTCAAATGGAAACGTCTGAACCAGCCTTTGCGGTCACGGGCGTCGCAGTTTGGTGGACGCAGCCCGTGCGCTCGTCTTAACCGTCGAGATCGTCAAGGACGGGGGCAGAACGGGACCGCGTAAATGCGCAAGGCGGGGGGGAAGGCGGGGTTGCATGCCCTTCACTGTGTCGTCAGATCGCAGCCGGTCTCTGATGGGGCGGGGTACGGAGCCGGGAGGATGGGGTTGCGATGAGAGACGGTGGTGGAGGGAGAAAGTGTCCGTTCCGGCCTAAGTGGCGCCTTGTTGCCATTCCCCCAAACACCAGGCGTTGCTCTACTACTCCTACCGCACCGCCGTGCTACTCTATGAGCGCAATCAGAGAGCCTAAATATGTAGCTAGGACCCGGTGAGTATGCACCCACAACTTTATTCCACCAACGCATATATATATATATATACCTGTGTACATTACCTGCTCCTTTCTACTCCTGTCTCGTTCTTTCAAAAACGTGGCTTTTGGATTTTTTTTTTTCTTTTTGTTTATGTGTGTGCGTGTGCGAGTGCGCCACCGGTTCCTCATCGTCCCAGTACCCTCCCGCTGGCCGTGAGTGATTTCACGCCTTTCGGTTTCCTCGGTTTTCGTAGCTTGCACACGCAATCCGTGCAACAGCATTCGGTCGTTCCCCTCTCCCCCCCGACTGGGGACACGAAACCAAAAGAGGCGAGCGAATCACCTTCGTTATTTGGACCGCTTTCCTTTCTTTCTTTTCTTTTTTTTATTCCCACCTTGTAACTTTTGGCGGGCCTTTCGCATCCTTAAAAGTACCTTTCGTCTTTTGTGTGTTGTCCTTTTTCTTCGATCGTCGGCATGTGCAGCCCACTGACCTTGGTCTGAACGTGACTTCGTGGGGTAAGTACGCCTGCTGGTAACGAAAATGTAGCAACCTGCTCTCTTGTAGTGTGCTTTCCTTTTTCTTTTCCCCCGTCTCTGCCCTTTCCTTCTTTTTTTTTTTTTCCTGCCCAAGCGTCCTGGCGACCGGTTGATGCACCTTCGCTTACCAAATTCTGTCTCCGCTGGGAGGCCTTTCCTTGTTGCACCTGACTCATATTACGGAGTCCACATGCACTCGTATTCGTCCTTAGCCGCATGGGGAAATGGCATGAAGGTACGGTACACATCTATGCAGGCTTGAAGCAAAGCGCAGTGAAAGAGTGTGCATGTTTTATGTAAGTTCAAAGATTTGCCATTTATGGCCATCAATTTCGAGGGTTGAAACCCAAAAACCGACTGGCAAATTCACAATCTAATGTAAACACTTCGGCGAAGCACTGCCTGGTTGGGTAAGCAATGTGAAAGAGGTACTCTGTCCAATTCCTTCATCGTGCCCTACGTTTCGAAGCCGGCTCCTTGTTCAAGAATGGCTGTTTGGGGTCCCAAAGGTCGCAATCTGTCATTGTTATCTTTGCAGAACGTGTATATGGCTGCTTGGTAGCGTTCCGGTGGATCAGTTCAGGTTGTCGTGGATATTCTCTGTATGCAAAGATTCTAACGAGAGCCGTCTCCTCTAGTTTCTTTCTCTGTCAAAGGCAACGACGTGGCCAGTCTTGTCAGCATGTTCCTCCAGTGCATTGCCTTGAGTGTCCTTCTTCGCCTCATACCTGCATCTGTCTGCGCAGATGTTTGGGAAAGTTCTTTGTTTCCCCCGCATATGAGGCGTCGCATTCAGTACAGTGAATTCAGTAAACCAGCCCTCAAGCTTTTTCTTTTGGGGGACGATCCTTTGAAAGAAGATGATGTCCTATGGTTGAGGCGGGCTTATTTGTAACTGCGATGCCGTACGGTCTAGGGGCACGGGCAAGGACCTCGGGCTGCATATGCGGCTGAAGGTGTTTGTGTTCTTGGCTGCAGGAGGGTGACATAGTTTCTCGTATATCTTGTTGATGAATCTTGTTAGGTAGTTGTTTTTTCGGAGGTCTTGTTTCATAAAATCAACTCTTCTCTGTTGAGCAGACCATGAGGGTGCATTAAAAGTATGCACATTACACAGGACTTCTGAGTTGTAAGGTGGTGTGACCAGAAGTTTAGGTCGCGACCAGCGTGCATTGCTTTCCTGTATACCCGCAATGTGTCGCACAAAAATGGAAGATAATACTGACAGGAAGAAGCTGACAACAGATAGCGACCTTTTGCCCCACATACCTGTGAACAAGGAGTCGAGCCGGCTTCAAAATGTCTAGCACAATAAAGAAATTGGTTAGAGTTTACTAGATACCCTTTTCAAATTTTAGTTCCGCTGGCACGACTTTGGGCCTTGTCTGTGGTTCCGGCTATTCGCCGGCACGAAGTCAGGAATTTGTTGGGGAGCAGAACCTTGTTTTCACAAGGGTTTGCCGGGCCAGTCTGGGGATTTGCTGGCAATGTGGGAAATTTGTTGCCAGCTTGCTGCTAGTGTCTGAGATTGTCTGGTAATCATTGAAAAGGGTAAGGTTCGTCTGACAATTTGCCGGCAGAATGTTGGGTCACGACTAGCTAGAACTCCACCCCTCGACTACAATTTGCGCTAGAAAAGGCAATTCAGTTTCTTTTCCGGGGGTATTAATTAACAAACACTCTTTCATACCGAAGATAGGGTGGGACTTGGGAATGGATTTTTTAAAGCCTCCTTATGCAAGGGAGCGCCGGGTTGCAATGCCCCAACAGGGAGCTTCGTGCAACGGCTGCGACGTAAGATGGCCGCCAAGCAGGCTAGTTCAGCGGCCACGGTGACAGCAGACGGGCTCACGGTGAAAATTGCTTCGTACCAGAGCGCCGCTGGGTCTCACGTGACCCACTTTCCCGTCATTTCCACCCTCGCCCTCGGAGATCCACTCGCAGAACCGGAGTCAGTGCCACCAAGATCGAAAGAGGTGAACGGAGGGGTAGACACCGCTAGTCGGTTTCTCTCGGTCGGTGGCGGATGGCGTTTTGAGTGCTACCCTCCAATTCTCTCGGTGGTGGCGTTGTTTTCCTTTACTGGCCTGACTAGCAGGGACGGTCGATTATCTCTGGAACGAAGTTGAGGTGGTGGTTCTTCATCTTACTGTCTTTGAGATGGGCTGGTCTCTTGTCTACGTGCTCGATTCTAGACCTCTCTATTTGGTGGGCTGTTGAGTAATTCGTCTCCATTTCTGCTTGGTTATTTTTTCTCCTGGTGTGGCCTTTGGGCTATATTTTAAAATAAAGTGCAATATGTTTTTTTTTATGATTATTATTTAGTTGGAAGTTTATACTACAGTATATAAAAAAATTGGACACTGGCTTTTAAGGCCTAACAACCTTAGCTTACCTTTGATCCTCTATTTTTTTATGTATAGGAAGAATTTCAGAATGTGTAACAGTATTTTTATATGGCTGGCATTTCACCGTTTTCCCTTGCTAGCTGCTGTGTCATGTTTTTTCTCTTTTATTCATCTCCTTAGCTTTTTTTTTTTCCATAAAAGGCAGCTTGAGATTTTCTGCTTTTATTAGCTTACACTTCACACCTTTGCAATTGGACCCGCATGTATTCTGGCTGTTGCATGCAAATTCTGCATTGTTTGCATGGCTTTTGGCATTCAGCCGTTTCATGTTGCAAAGCTGATCATCTTAAAACGTTGCATGTACTTAAGTGTGCTTTCATTGCATACAATACTTGGCATTCTTGCTGATGTTACTTTTTTATGGAACGCTTGTTTCACTAACCATTCAAATTTGTCACAGCGGACTGGATATATTAACCCTGTGCGTTCAAAGTGTGGTCCGTCTCATGTCACGTCTTAAGGTGCTGATAGCAGTGCTTATTGCAGTTTTTAACAAGTTTGCATGCTGAATTGGGCAACCTAAGTTTGGTCCTTTTCATTTGTTTTCATGTGAACAATGTTTTTTTTTTCTGTGTTAAAAATCTTGTCAGTGGCTTGCATGCTTGGAATTGCACACTTATGCTTCATTAACCACTTGGGGGTCACCCTACCCACCTCATGTATATCACACCTAACTTGCAGCTATGGAAATCGCAACCTTTGATGAGCGGAACTCGGTCATTCGGCTCGTGTCTGCAGGCTTTTGTACCTATGTCCAAACAGTGGTTATTGGTTTCGTGTTTTGGGCATCGGTGCCATGTAAGTAGTATTTGTTGGCTGGCTGATTGGCCAATGCATGTTTGGGCCTGTATGATTTCACTTGAGGTGGCGGCCGTGGTGCATGCATCACTCTATGTCCCAACTTATTCCTGTCTCTTTTAACAAGCTTTCTCTTGGATGCCATATACCACATGCGCGAGCTACTTGGACCAGGAAGCGGCAAATCAGCGTAGAAATTCAGTGGACATGAATGAATTGGCAGAAATATTTTATGCGTCGAGCAATTTCTCACATAAAACAGTTATCCGAAATCTCGGGATGGCCGACGCATGCCGAGGCAAACGTTAAAAAATGCCAAGGTTGTCGAAACTGGATTCGGAACACATAGAAATATTTCCCTGCAGCCCCTGATGCTGTTTATAAAAAAAAATATAATGCCTGCTGTGGGGGATCTCTGGATGTTTAAGCTTTTCTTTCCTTCTGGTATTTGAAATGGGGCCTTGCTGTAGACAACACTAGACCATTTTCAAAAGTGTGCACTAGAGCCACTAAATGAGCTGCGCTTAGAGTACCGGCACTCCGTTCTCCGACATTGTTGTCGGCGCCGCCATTATGGGGCTTGTGCAGAGCAGACACAACTGCAGATCCTTATGATTCAAAAGTGCGACTTCCTCAGCATTCAATTCAGTGTTAGAAAGCTCATGTAATATTGCTTTTCTCTGTCGGGGACTGTTTAAACATTTGTGGAGGACGGAAAAGTGTTTCCTGTGATTTCAGATAAAGCTTCAAATAACTGGCAATCACGATTTTAAGCCACAATATGGCCAAGTGTCGTTACTCTGAAGCGTAGCTTATTTAGCGGCACTAGTGCGCACCCCCCAGTAGCTGATGTGTCATTTATCTGAGTCCTCCATTGTTTCGAGCATGTACTGGACGTGAAGGTTGCGTCGGCGTTCTGTGTGAAGTGTGCTTAGCTCGCACCAAAAACGAGAGCTGCATTGGCATTTGACGAAGGTTCGGATGCAGTCATGCGCTTCATGCCCAAGAAATGGCGACGGCCAACGTTGCTGGACGAGCTTTTAGAAAGGGTCTATCTAAACGATCGCGCCGCATTTCTGTGGGGACGGAAAGATGGTCAGACGCATTTTCGGGGCAGAGAGGAAGTGGAGATAGGGCAAATACTAAACCGAGGCAGGTGCATTTTTGGGGTAGAAAAGAACCGGTGATTGGGTGAACACCAAACCGAGGTAAGTCTCTTTCGTGAGGCTTCTGGCAACACATACTTCCTACATTCTTCTCGAGGCCACTTTCTGTTCGAAGCTTTCCACCCCCTTTCTGTCTCTCGTGCTTGCGCCTCCCGTGCTTGAACCTCGCTCTCATTTCCCGAAGACGGCCTCTAGTAACAGGTAAGTGCACCTCCAATCCACTTCTCTCGCGTGCCCCCCCCCCCCCCTCCCCCACGTTCTCGGCGACGTAGGTGTGCCACCGTGGAGGACGGAAACCTCAGGTGAGAGGACAACCTTTCTGTCGTGATCCTTGCGTGAAGCGCGCGAACCGTACGTGGGGCAGTCTCTCCGGAACCCGCGGTTGCAGACCCCGGTAAGTCGTTTCCCTCGCGAAGAACACAAGGGGAGAAAAACAAAATCTGCTTTGGCAGCCACCGAGGGCTCTCTCCACAAATATTTTGCAATGTGGTGAGTGTGACACGTCCGTTGATTCCATCAGTAGCCGTTGTCTGGGAAGCTTTCTGTTTTTCTGGGGACTGTCTCGGCCGCCGTCGCTGGCCGCGCGCCGATTGCTGTTGGCGAGTGAAACTGCGCAGAGTTTTGGGGGAACTGGAAGGCCTTGTCTCGGCGCATCGTAGAAGGGGACTCTGGCCACCAGCAGGGTGAGGATGGCAGGGCACGCCTTTCAAAAACCCGGCCTTCGGCCCGCGTACCATGCCTTTAACCGTGCTTGGCTGCACACTCACGCGTGCTTGTGGTGCACAAATTCCTGAAGAGTTGTCGAACGTAGGAAGCTGGCACTAGGGGTGGGACAACTGAAGCTGCTCCCTGCCATTCTCGCCTTCTCAGTGGCTATGACTGCTTCTTTTCTTTTTTACCCCAGCTGATTGTGTTTTGTTTTGTTTTTTTCTCATTATTTGGTGGGGGGGGGACTTTGAAAATGTTTTATGTACTTTCCGTTAAGAGTACCTTCTTTGACATAGCATATTTTAATGGGAACGCCTAGGCGGCTTTTTCTATGTGCTGCTTTTCACTCGCTTTTGGGGTGAAGTGCGCTTCTAAAGTAATTCAGTCATTTGGGGAGTTTTTTTTTTCCGATTGTTGTTTTTTTGTGAGTGCCTTAGTTCTGTTTGAGAAGTGGACAGCAAGATTCCCGTGATTCCTCTCTGGAGGGATTAGTTGTTTTTTGGGGGAGGGGCTGCTGCACCTCTAAAGTGACTTCCGATCGTGTTGGCGAAGCAAGTAAGGCTTTGTCCCACTCTCTCTAGCATCTCCGTGTTCCCCGAACTTGTCCGTTGCCTTCTGGAAACGCTTGTACGAGCGGCCCGCGCTTGTGTCTCGAGATTTCTAAGAATTTTACAAGCGGGCGTCATTCGTCTCGTGTCCCAAAAAGTGTTTCAAGCAAAGTTGGTCACTTTCTTTGGCTCTAAAGACGCAGCTGTGGAGTTCTTTGGAGTGGGCTGGCAGCTTGCCTGGGCTTGCATGAATTAACTGGACAAACTTTTTTTTGTGTGTGTGTGTGTGTGTTTTTGTAGTTTGGTGTTGGGAGGGAGGGGTACCATCTTTTGGCTATTGGTGCTGATGTGCTTGCTTTCACACGGTTAGCGAGAAGGTCGCTGTTGACGCTTCCGCTTTTTGGAATGCGCGTTTTTAGGAGGCGCAAGCTGAGTTTCCGGTTTCTTTCGCTGTTTCTGGTTACTGAGTTCGATGCACTTCTTGCCACGAAAGGTAAAAACACGGAACTTTCTTTTACTTGTGCCTCCACTGTTGCGGTGAAGGTAAAGCAAGCAAGGAGGGACTTGGAGAAAAAAAAAATGTGTGTGTTTAATTGGCAGCATTTTTAAATCTAGTGACGGTGCAAATGCTTTATGCAAGCAACTGTAGCCATGCGTTGCATAATGGTAGGTGTTAGAAAGTAAAAGGTTGCAGCTTGATATAACTTGGCATCATCCTTTGTATAAAGTAGGAGCATGCAGATGATTTCTTGCTTTCGGTTCATCTAGAAGTGACTTGCACCTTGCCGCTTATGTTCTTTGTAGTGTATGAGGCACCAAGTGTCATGGGGCCATTTCTAATATATGCTAAGAGGAATCTATTTAGTGGCATAGCACTGTTTACCTTGATGGAAGATTTGCTACTGACTAAAATCTTGCTTTAATTTGAAAACAAGCTAGTGCAAGAAACTGTCTCGAAGTTATCTGTAAACTGATATATGCAGGTTTCACACGCTGTCTAGCGACACGAAATTGCCCAGCTTCTCTCGGATTTCGGGTTTTGCTTGTTTCGTAGTTCTGCTTTCGGATAGTGCTGTTTTACTGCTGCAGGCTTCAGTGAAAGTGAGGTGCTTGTTTTTAGGATCTAGGTTTTTGCCGCTAGATGGCATAGCATCATCCGTGTAAATGCCTACGTTTGGACTTTGTTTGCTCACGGCGCGAGGCTATCCCGTGGGCGAGGCGAGTGCGCTGATGACCCGCCCATCCTTTTGCGCTCTGTGCAGAGGCAGCAGGAAGAGGACCGCGACCGAGAGCGGGAGCGACGGCGAGACCGCAAGGAGCGCCGCCCGTCGCCCGACCGGTCTCGCATCCGGGACCGGGGAAGCGAGAGAGACAAGGAACGCAGCGGTGACCGGGGCGACCGCGGCGATCGGGGTGACCGTGGCGATCGCGGCGATCGTGGGGACCGCGGCGATCGTGGAGACCGCGGTGACAAGGAGAAGGACCAGAGGATCTCTCGAGACCCAGACAAGGCGGAGGAGAGGTCACGGGAGAGAGAGAGGTCCGAGCGCGAACGGGACCGGGAGGCGAGAGAGCCGTCGTCGTCGTCGCAACAGCCGCCCCAGCCGCCGGCGCCGCCGCGTTCAGAACGTGCACCTTCCAAGGCCCGGTCGGAGTCACCGGACTGGGTCCAGAAAAAGGAACGAGAACGGGAGAAGGAGATGCGAGAGATGCTTCGGTGAGTCCGAGATTCTGTGTCTCGCCCCGGTAGTCTGTGCTGCCTCTTGCGCGGCTAGGCGTGCAATGTCGCGACTTTAGGGGCCGGAAAAAGCGGCGAGGGCAAGCCTTTGACTTGTGAGACAATAATAAGATTCGAGTTACCATTGCTTCGTGTATTGGGACCGTGCTGCAATCAAATGAACCTGTGTCTTTACATTGGAAATTCCTGGGGGAGCTTGTTCTTTGGGAATCGTCGCGTCTCCTCGACAAGGCTTGAGGACGGTCGAGAAACTGGTCCACCTTCATTTATTTTTGTGAGTCGACCGCTTACGTTCAATGAAACAGGAGTGTAATGTGTCTGCTCTCTTATTTATGCAATTTCTAGAGAGTTTGACAGAACTCGCAAGTGCAACAAGTGCTCGACAGAACTTGCAAGTGCTCATCGGTCAAGTGTTAAACAGCATTTTCAAGAGTTCGGCGGAACTCTCGCGATATTGCGGGATTGCAGATTGGGGCAGTGTAGTTGAGGATGAGTCGCTTAGTTGGCTAAGGCCTCATTAACACTCTTCTTCCCGCATCTCTCAACAGACGAGGCGACAAGGGTCAGGTTCAGCGACCCACCACTAATGTAACCGAGGAAAAGTAAGGGGGCACTGGGTCTCGAAAGACCTTCTCACTCTTGTGTGTGGTTGCGCGCGGCAGTGTGCCGACTAATGGCGCCTCGCGGATTTATTCGAAGATGTGTGGAGTCTCAGGCCTCTGCCCCCGGGGACCTGTCGAAGCGCTACTTTTCCTTCTGTAGCTCTGTCTAGAGCCGAGCACAGACTTTTTCTTGGAAAAGCTTGCAGTCCGTTTAAGTCATCCCTGACAAAATTCTTGTTCGTGGAACATGCTACGAGGTCGGTGGCTTTGGTGTACGTGGCGCGACAAACCACGTCTTGCGACCATATCACCAAGTGATGTGACATGGTCGCATAACGCTGATGAGGTCACTTCTATGTCACTTTTCTCTGTCTATCTTTTCCTACGTAGCCTCTTCCTATAACATATTCAATGCTGATATTTTGGTCTTTCTGTTATTACTTGCGGGCGTGTTTGTAGAAGTCTCTTAAAATGCGCTTGGAAAGACGAGGCAATTCAATTGGGCGTTGCAATTTTACCCCGACTTCCTCAGTCTTGACAGTCTTAACATGAATGAAGGAAAGCACTTCTACCATTTAAATAAAATAAATCTAGTGAAACATGGTCATGCATTAGGTATGGATAAAACTGTCCTCTTGTCACCTATATCCAAGTGTTGTCTCCTTTCTCTTTTGTTAATCTATGCTTTTCTGCATGTTTTCTGACAAAAGGCACTTTGGGTGCCCTTTGTTAGAAAGGCACCCTAAGGTGCCTCTCTAACGAAAGGGTCAATCAATGGTGAAAGCTGCCAAGAATACGAACTCGTACTGGCCCTTTATTTCAAAACCTGAGGAACAACAATCGCAAAAGGTAGCTTTCACCGCAACAAAAAGTATCGCTGTTCTCTAGGAGTGATTCAGTTGCTTTGCGGCCGGCACGTTTCGAAAGTGAATGGTGACTGGACTGCAATCTTACACGGGGACACTGCGTGGCGTGACCCTTTTCGTAGGCCACGTGACTCCGAGCGAGACTGGGAGAGGGAGCGCGAGGAAGAGGAGGACGCCCACGAACGCAAGAAGATGGAGAGGAAGCTGCGCGAGAAGGAAGCCGCTTATCAGGAGGTGAGGAACTCGACCCTCGTTGGTATTCAATGGATGCCGCAGATCCCAAGTGCTAAACCTTGCCAGGGGCTCCAAGTTAGACACTTGGCGAGTAGATCACCGACTGCCAGGATTGGCCAGCGCCAAGGTCTAGCCCAGCGCTGGCCAATCGCAATAATCGGCAATCTCGCCAAGTGTCCAGCTTAGGGCCCCAGCTCAGACGCCCGTGGGACACGAGTTTTTTAAAGAGGGGGGGGGGGGGGGGGGGGGGGGGTTCAAGTTTTCATTGCATTTGACTTTGCGCTACTCGTGTCCGTTCTGAACGAGCAAACATGTCTGCTCGGTGCTTGCAGAGGTTGCGCAACTGGGAAACGAGGGAGCGTCGCAAGGCCAAGGAGTACGAGAAGGAACGCCTCAAGGAAGAAGAGAAGAGGTCTGAAGAGGTAACAGTGCACATCTCTCCCTCCTATGTTTTTCTTCTCATTACTCACACTTTTGTTTTGTGGTGCTATGTCAGGAACCTGTCCACCAATTCAAGTTAGTTCCAAAAGTCTGTTACAACATTTTTCATTGTGAAACGTTTTTTGGCTAGGTGTTTAGCATTTCGTGAAGCCTAGATAAAAGCGTGGCCACGAGGGTCGACGCTGATTGGTTGACGGATGGGAGAGGAGGAATGAGGCGCCCGAAGCTGATCAGTATACGGGGAGATTGTGTGACCAGAGGGATAGGCGAGGAGGAGCTCGATCACCTGTGCGCACTGAGGGAGAAGAGCTCGAGAGTATGGAAAGCTCTGGAAGATCATCCGGTGGATCAGCCCAATTAGCGGTAGTATCGCTTCATTCTAGGAACAGCTACAAAGTGTACACATGGTGCGCGTTAAATTATCTAACGAAGAGCGCTGTGTACGTAGGCGTCTGGCAGCTCCGAGTATCGCTAAATGTTTGTGATTCTAAAACATTATACGTGTGCAACAAACCACCTAGCAATTTGCCAGAAATTTTTAGAAATTGTGTTTTTCATCTTCAGTGTTCTCCCCAGTTCTTCTAATTAAATTTTCAGATAATTACGTTTTTATAAAAATAGGGCTTACAGAAAGTTACTTATTAGACCTTTCAAAGTTAAAACTTCCCCCCTCAGAAAAAGACTTTATTGCTAGGGACCACTTCAGAAGACCAACAGGTCTCCCAGCATCCCCCCCCCCCCCCCCCCACCACCACGCACGCATTATCACCCACTGGTCTCGGAATTAAATTCTTGATTGATTCATTGGGGCAAGCAATCTTCCCGAGTTGGCTAGAACCCTAACAGCATTTTCTGGGATACTAAAATTCTATTATCGGAAAATGAGACTAGAATTACTTTGGGGTCCTATTACAAATTTGCGCATACGTTTCTCATCCCCCAGGGGAAGGAGGCACGACGGTTGAAGGAGTTCCTCGAAGACTATGAAGATGAACGGGACGACGTCAAGTATTACAAGTGAGTGACCCCAGGCGAACCTTTCCAAGCTGCTCCAACGCCGTTTTGATGTTTAGGGAGAGGGAGTCGCTCGTAACAGAGAGACTGCCTTTCATCGACTCCCCATTGCAACCTTTTTTACATAGATTTAAAAGCCGATGCCTTGTAGGATTCGTGTGGGATCTGCAAACCGGACCATCCATGTCTGGAGACTCCTCACATGCATCTATTCGTTTTTGCCTCCCAAAGACCATTCCACCCGTTGGCATAAGAGTGACCAAGTGCGCTGGGATTTTTTCCGACTGCTTGTGACGAGGGAACGCACCACATATCAGCGGAGCACACTGTGTGCCCTGCCGCCATCTGTTGGGTGTCCCTAGAACTGCTAATAACTTGACCGAAGTATTTACTACAGGGTCCGATTGCGAAAGGTAAACCCGGCATTTTAGCCCGCATAAATAAACTATGCTTCGTAGAAAGCTGAAACTTTGTGAAAATGTGACACTAGTGGTGATGATAAAATGCGAAAGTTTGAGCACATGACATCACCTGGGTCAAAAGATACTAAAGGGGAACAAACTTTCTCAATGGAACAAACTTTCTCAATGAGCTGACGTCCATGTAAGCCTGATTTTCATCGGACCAATTTTTGAGATTGTGGGTGCCTGTAACAATTATGTCAGTGAAAGAACTTGACAACGTGAAAGAAAACAATATTCTCTTTCTAATTGACCAGTTTTTTTCACTGAAATAAAGGGAACAGGTGCCCATGATCTCAAATTATGGTTTGAAAAATATTAGGCTTAGGAAAAGTCGCTCGTTGAGGAATTTCGTTTTTCTTTTGTATCGTTTGACCTAGGTAACGTCATGTGCTCAAACTTTTGCAACTTATGTCCACCGCTAGTGTTACATTCTCACAAACTTTCATCTTTCTGCACTGCATTGTTTATTTATGCAGGCTGAAAAGCCAGGTTGGCCTATCTCACCCCATAGATCAAATTTATGCACAAACTACGAGAAGTGATTGCTTATAACCACGGTGTAAGAGGACTTAGGTGAGGACACTTCGGCGGCCAAGGAGAGGAGGATGCGGCCAGATAAGGTCACGCGTCAAAAACATTTTGCCAAGCTCCCGGTAGATGGCGCCTTCGATCCGTTCCCCACGGTTCTCCGCTGTTCCCCAGCGCGCGCGCGCCTGTCTCGACAACAACAACGTGGGCAGTCGGGTGACTCTTTCGTTTGTGTTTCGGACCCTCAAACTCTGTTGACGTGACCTTCTATGAAGTTCGCTGCACCCAAACACCCCCAAGATGGGTCGCAAGTGCTTTGCGCCGAACTGCAACAGCGGATACTGTTCATGCAAGGAGAAGGTGAATGCGTTTCGGGCGCCTTCCGATCCGGAACGTTTAGCCTTGTGGGCTCGTGCCATTCCGAGAAGTGACCGGCAGCTCACACCAAAAGACTACCTGTGCGAAAAACACTTTGCCGACGGTGCGATAGAAGCTGGAAGGTATTACGCAGAGCTAGGGGGTGAAGTGCTTCTTGACCAGCCAAAAAGGCCTGTTCTAGCGCCGGACGCCGTGCCGTATATTTTCCCGGGATGTCCGCCTTACCTGTCGTCGACAGCGAAAAAACGAAAATTGCCGAAGAATAGACAGCGCGCACCTGCAACCGTTGTCAAGCGAAGGAAGATGGAGCTGCAGGACGAATGTAATGAAGGCACCCATTTTAATGGAACGACTTCAAACGTGGGGACCGAAGAGCCGTCAGCTGATCGCGTGGAGCCCGGGATCGCCGCGTGCACCGCTGGAGACGCCGAAGCAGATACTGTCGGGGAGCCTTCGACGCGCATGGTACGGAAAGACGACTTCATAAATGACATCCCAGCCACGGTTCCCGAAAAGCCAAGTAAGGACAGTGTGCCCTTCCGCAGCGTGCTGCCAGAGAAGAGCGCAATTGTAATGCCAAGTAAGGCATGGGCGTGTCACGAGGTTGACGCGGAAGGCCTTCAGAATCTCTGTTGCGTTGAGATGAAAAGCATTTCAGCAATTGAACCGCCATTTACCAACAAGAGCCTCGCTCTGGAGCAGTGCCGAAAGTCTTTGAGGGTTCGCCAATATGTCTTGGATCGCGAAGTTAACTCTGTGCTTCTTCAAGCAAAGTGCCCATCGCAAACTGCGCATGACATCACCGAAATGGTACATGCGTTTGACCAAAAGCCCGTCTGCGCGGGGGGTCCAGCGTACAAGAGGTTTCCTGGTATACACCCGGAGTGTGCATCCACTGACAAAATGGGAATGTGGAGACACAACCGATGTCCTCTACTTCTGAATGAAACAGAGCTGCGGTGCACTTTCTGTGCAAGCCTCAGTAACACCCTCCGTATTCACAAGGCACGCTTGGACAAAAGAGGGAAAGAACAAAGGGTGAGGATGCCCCTGTCTCCTTCGAAAAAGAAGAAGATTGATATCTTGAGAAGGCAACGCATTGCATGCTCCAGGTCTAAAGTCAGGTTGCTAAAGAGAAAGAGAGAGCTTGAAGCTGAATTGTCTATGTGCAAAAAAGGTCTGGAACAGCTGAGCAGCGAGAAGTTGAATGATGTTTTGAATAAGTCGGCACTGCCTGAACCTCAACAAATGCTGCTGCGCGAGTGCATATCAGCGGCTAAGTGCACTTCAAGTAAAGGAAGGCGCTACACAGACGATTGGTTACTTTTGTGCCTACTTCTACACATTCGCAGCCCGGCTGGTTACAGACTGCTCAGGGAGAATGATGTGCTGCCCCTGCCGTGTGTGAAAACCATCCGCCGGTACATTGCCATTGTCGGAATCAAGTGCGGGTTCGATGTCACCTTCTTCGCAGTACTCAAAAGGAAGCTTCAAGGTAAATCTGAATTCCAAAGACATGGCATGCTGCTGCTTGATGAAATCCAGGTCAGGGAAAGAAAAGCTGTTAACTCGAAGACATTGAGTTACACCGGACTCGTCGACCACGGAGACACCGACCAGGAAAGCTCCGAGCTAGCCAATCACGGCCTAGTCTTTATGTTTTGTTCCTTCGGTGAGAGCTATGCGCAACCTGTTGCTGTGTTTGCTTCAAGATCTGCAACCAAGGGGACAGTACTCTGTCAACTACTGCTTCAGGCAATCACCTTGTTGGAAGGCGCAGGTGCTCTTATTGATGGCATAGTTTGCTATGGAGCGAGCCCTAACCGGACAATGTGGACACAGCTGGGTGTCAGTGGGAAGATAAACAACCCCAAACATTTCTTTTCGCATCCAATGGACGAGGATAGGAAAGTATACATATTTTCAGACGTCCCACACCTTTTCAAATGTATAAGGAATCGGCTCCTCAGAAAACGCCTCCTGAAAGTAAACGGTCAGTGGGTCAACTGGTCGGACTATGCGGCAGTATACAAAGAAGACTGCAGAAATGCTGGTGAGCTGAAAGTGTGCCCCAAGATAACACACCATCACATTTACCCCTCGAACATGGACCTCATGAGGGTAAAACTTGCTACCCAAGTCTTCAGCAGGGCAATGAAGTCGGGAATGGAGTACTACAGTGACCGAAAAGTCCCAAGCTTGTGGAACTGCACTGGTACAATGGCGTTTACACTTCGGTGTAATGATCTGTTCGATGCTATGAACAGGCAACACCCAGATGTTGGCATTCGGAAGGGAGGCAAGGACCTGATTGTCATCAAGGAAGCGATGGAGTGGCTTGATGAATGGGAGCGCGAGGTACAGTCTGGGAAGATATCTAAGGACATGTTTCTGACGCAAACGACGGCTGAGGGCCTCAGAGTGTCAATGAGGTCAACAATTGATCTAACCAAACACCTTCTGAACAATTGTGGCTATGATTACGTTCTCACCGCCAAATTCAATCAAGATCCCTTGGAGAGGTTTTTCGGGAAAATCCGGCAAGCAGCATGCGAAAACGATCATCCCAACATGCCTACCTTTCTTCAATTGTATAGAATGTTAATGGTGTACAGCCTCCTCAAGCCTCCAAAATTTGGGAATTGTCAAGCACTGACCGGAGAAGCACCACAGCTAGACTTCTCATTTTTCAAAAGTACATTCAAGAACCAAGAAGGAGCGTATCGTATGTCGAGCCTGGAACGGCTAAAGGAAAAAGTCGACGGTCTGATTACAACCGAAGCGTGGGAGTGTGATGAGGTTGTGGCCAGTGATGAGAGTCAACCTGAAGTGGTTGATTGCATTGTATACTATGTTACTGGTTTCCTGTGCAGAAAACTAGGCAAGATGTTTTCGTGTGAAATTTGCAAGGACTCATTGTCTGTGTCTTCGGCAACAGAGAAGGAAGCATCCCTCACCACCTGCAAGACACGTGGAGGGCTCATCCACCCGAATGTGCACCTCTACAGAATCCTTCATTGTGCAGAGAAGTACTTTTCGGAGCATATGAACGACCTAAATGTGTTCTGGGACACCGTCGATTATGTTCTTGAATCCTGTGACTTAACCTTTCCTTGCAGCCAGCACAAAAATGAGGCAATGTCAAAGGTACTGCACTATTACGTTAGTATGCGTATGAGGCAGCACTGTAAAGCAGAAGCTAGAGACTCGGACAAAAATGCCAAAGAGAAAAAGAAGCAGGCGAGGGTTTGCAACGTGTGATGTCTGAAGTCTTTATGGCACCTTCCGAGTTATGAAGCCTTTGTTGAAGTGAGTGAGAGGCCATTGATAGTAATGTGGAATGTAAATAAATTGGTTTTGAAAGCTATTTAACCAATCGTGATTTATTATTAAATAGAGACTGAAGCGGTTCTTGCCAAAAACGAGTTATAGGTGAATTGTAGAATACTTTATCCTGTGAATATGAATAACACATTCGTTTTCTCCGAAGATCTAACTAAATACCAAGAACCTCCGACCAGTCGTTACGTAATAAAGATATTTCGGCCGCAAAGCGCGTGTCGCTGGTGTGGGCAGTGCGTGCAATTGCAAGCCTGCCATGTATATTCCCCCGCACTGACACCAGTCGTGATATCTTTTTCTTACCTTTTTGAAAATAGCAAGCGTGATAAGCGCCAAAGTTGCGTGAGAGCGAAGATTCCGAAAACTCCTTTTATAACGTAACGCTCGGGGAAGGAGGGGCTTCAGCGGTACTTTGAAAATTATTTTCTGCAGCCTCTATGCTCCAAATTGAAAAATAACCTCGATATTCGTGATCCTGGAGGCCAAATGAAGACGATCTAAGCGTTTTTACTCGCATACAAAACCGCTTCAGTTTCCCTCGGCACTGCAATATTTTGTTATGTACTTGTCTCATGCCCTTTCAACACTTCTACTCTAATTGAGTGTGTTCTGCTGTCTTGCACATAATAAGTCCCCATGTACACTCGCATGTTTTCATGGAAACATGCTACTATTACACATGGGTGTCAGCCTGTTACATTATCCTATAAAGTTTTCGGTGCAGGGTTACCGAGCGTGTATGAAGGAGTGGGACAAGAGGTCACAAAAGGATCGAGATTCATAAGAGGGACCGAATCATGATTTTCGTCCGCGTCGCACACACCATTTAATCGCAGCAGCGGTATCCGTCCCGCGAATGTGAGCCATCTGAAAATGGGCGGGTCGATTAGTTCGCTAGTTCTGTGAATCATGCCTCATGATTCATACCTTAATTAGGGATCCGCGGGTTTTTGATGTCACACAGATTTGTCTGCGAACGCATCAAACGATTGAATACCGCGTAAGAAAATTTAATTGGGAGCAGCCGGCATTCACGTGCTGCCAGCGGCTGTGGAGCACAGCCAGCATAGCGTGAAGGAAAAAGCGTGAGGCGAAGCGGGCACCGGTCCGCGGCGCCATCTATGAACAGCCGTGAGAACTACAGCGGCGAGGGGACATAATCTCGTCGCGGGCAAGCGCGCTCTGTCCTCACCTAAGTCTTCTTACACCGTGCTTATAACTAGGATTCAGTGTTTTCTGAGTTTATTTCTCGTCAAATTCAGAGGTCTCTTTGGGGAGTTCATTTCTCGCTGAAAATTCTGGTTGTATCGGAGTTCATTTTTGTAGGATTCCTATTTCTCTGAACTCCCGAGTTTATGCTACCGTGTTCTCAACTTTTAAAATTCAAAAACAAAATAACTAATATCCGGGTACCATGACCTGTTCTCCCCAAGGAACTTTGACGGGCTAAAAGGCGAATCCCTTTTGTCAGTAGTTCTAGATTTCAAAGGAAACTGAAGTGACACTTTCCTAGGACCACTTATCCTGTGCTCTTATGAAGTTTATTTGCAAAACACTGTCTTTCTTGTTGTTGTATTAATTTTGTCGTGACCTCAAAATTCTGAGTTTTTCGGATAGATCCGAGCTAATGAAAAAATTACCGACTTCCTTTTTCAGATTTTTTTCAAAAACATGGAACTCAACATATAACATGTCACGAGTATTTCACGCCCATAGTGACAGAGTGATGCGTAAAAAATTGAGAGAAATACACGAATTGGTAGTGTTTCAGGGCTACTCCAAATTGATGGCGCCAGTGTGGTCTCGCCTCGTAAGCAGTTGCAATGCACTCTGTCCTATTTGACCACAAATATGTGAACTATCTTTCACCTTCTCAAGTTACACAAGAGTACCTCACGAGCACCGTGTTTTGTTGGGCTTCGCAAAAAATCTCGGATTGCTGGCGTCTAGGTTCGAAGGCGATACTGACCCGTGCTCGATCTTCAGGGGCAGCTCCTTGCAACGCCGGTTGAAAGACCGCGAGAAGGAGCTGGAACTGGACAACCGGGACCGGCAGCGAGAGAGGGAGGAGCTCGAAGAACTGCGGCGGAAGCTCACCGAGGAAGGACACCCCGACCCCGAGGCGGAGGCCAAGCGGGTGAGTTGACCGCGAGACAAGCGTGCTGCGGCGTGCGTTGCGTTCTGGTACAGGTGTGTAAATGTCAAATTTTTTGTTGCAAACTGAACGTGAACATTAAAATTTTATTTTAACGTAAACATTTTGGCAGAGCTCTCCCTAGTTGGGGAGAAGATTTGAAAATCGAATAAAATTGCCGCTTAAATTCTATGCGGACAGCAAGTCGTCTGCTTCTTGCTCAAGAGTTGCGGTGACGTCAGAAAGACTCCAAGCTCTGATTGGCTCTGATTGAAGGATAGTGGGTAGACCTCAAAACAAGCTGCCTTGAGGTCTACCCACCATCTTTCATTTAGAACCAGGTCGAGCTCGGCGTTGTGACGTCACCACAACCCCTACAAAAGAAGCAGACGAACTTGCACTCTGCATACGATTTGGTTGGTGATCTTTTTTTTTTTAATTTTCTAAAATTTTGTTACGGATTGAATTTGATTTGAGCATAAACACTTCATTAAATCACAATGATTTTTTTTTTTTTTCTGGAAGGCATATTTATGAAAAGGAATTGTTTTATTTGGGAGAAATATTTCGCTTACTTTTTGCCTCAATGAGATAGGTAACATAACAAGCCAAGTGATGACTACCTTATCTATTTGAAATAGCCAAAATCTTATCAGCATACCTGATACAAGTCTTGTTTGAACCCAAGATATGAATGGTATGGTTGTCATGCGGCAAAGTCCTTGAAGCTCGCTTCACCTATGCCTTGTGTTGGCTCGGTATTGCATTGCCTCTGGGATCGGCCCATGGTGACAAATGAAAGAATTCTGAAGACATTCCTACCTCTCGAATTTTCGAAAAACTCGGAATATTCTAGAGAGTAGAAGTGTGCCGTGAATAGACTATCCACGAAACATTACAAGTTTTGCATGTTCACACACCTACATTTGGGTCGGAGAAACGGAAGTTGAGTGTGCACCCCATGGACCCTCCTTCCCCAGATCCACCACGAAGAGGAGGTGCGGCTGCTCAGGCCCCTGCTCCTGCCCATCGGGAAGCCGGACCCCGAACCCGCGCCGGAGCCAGCACACCGAGACCTGACCCCTCCCCGGCGGCCACACCACGGCCGGTTGTCCCCCAAGCGGTCCCCCAAGGCGTCGCCCAAGCAGGTGAGGTTCCCCTCGCTGCAAAGGGCCATCATTTGCTCAATTGTTCAGAGCTCTCGAAGGATTTTCTCTCGGCATTCATCTTGTTTCGCTTCACCTTACGTCGAACACGGCCGACGCTACGAGCTGATTGAACCAATGAAACATCAACAAAAGTGCAAGTCACTGGGCCTTCCCTGTACATGAATGGTTCAGCGATAATAGAGCATATACTGAAACATGACAAACACCATTGTCTTGTTTCGAAAACTGCGTTAATGGAAAGTACTATAATCACACAAACAAATCTTTACAAAGCACGGGATTAAAAGGTGTTCAGTTATGGCGGTCTTCAAGGGTGAGGCACCTGATTAGTGCCGTCAGCTCGTAGTGTCACTTGTGTCCGAATCTAAGGTGAAACTAAGTATTGTTAGAATCTGAGAATATTGATTTTAACGTAAAATATGTTCTTGGGCTTGCTGGAGACTGGACTCGCACGCGGGCAATAACTCCTCGAGCGGGGTTCATATTTCTTCAATTCCAAGATCAATATTATATTCAGTTTCAGTATAACTTTGCAAATAGTAAAGACGGCAGCCACGGCGAGCCAATCGGAGCGTCGATAGTGAGGCACCTGACGGTACACCGCCGGCTGACACTCTTCCTGCGGAGAGCTGTCGTGTGCTCCACCTGGTTGCTCTCATTGGCTCACGGTGGCAACAGCTTCTGCTCCTTAACGTGTCTAAAGGCCGGTTCACACATACAACTCGACATTATATCAGCAGTGTATTTAGCCACGTATTTAGCGCTGATTTTGCACCGTATTTTCTCCTCTCACCACTGAGGTTTCCTCCTCGATGCAGTAGAACCTCATTGATAAATTCTCGGTTGATATGTTTTCCCGGCTGTTACGTTCAAAAACACCGGTCTCATTTTACTTTTATAGAAATACATGTATTAGTTTCCTGCCTGTCATATTTGCTTTCCCGGTTTTTACGTCCAAAAGTGTCGGCATCGTGGCACCTTGGCGCGCCGGGTGCCAGGCTGCCACGCTGGCTTCGAAGCGGAGCAAAGCCGAAAGTGCAATGCGGGTTGCACGGCACGCGTGGGCACGCAGACGCCAGTCTTCCCTTTACTCTTTTGCCCCTCTTTTCCGTCTCTCTGTCTCCTCGGTGGGCTTTGCTGATCTCTGCCACAGCTTCCCATCTTGCCCGGGTGCGACCTTGGAGCACTGCTCGGACGGGGAGCGAGGCTGGCTGGACGGCAAACGCTCGTTCCCTCTTGCTCTCTCTTTCATTTGTCCTTCCCTTTCTCTGGCACGAGGTACATCTGCATGCACGCTGCGCTTCTAGTTTCTGTTCCACTCGATTGCGTGAACCGTGGTGTTTTGGAGTATGTGCGCTTTGCTCCCATTGACGACGGTCATGGCATCGCGAAAAAAGAAGGCACTCTCTTTTAAAGAGAAGTTTAATGTAGGTACTTCAGACGGTGGATCACAGTTCCAGCCGGAAGAGATCTGACATCGCAAGAAACCTGGGACTCGCGCCGCCAACTTTGAACAGCATCATCGCCAAATGAAAGGACATTGAGGCGAAAGCTCTTTTTTTATCAACCAGGCTTTAAACAGGCTCAAGGGGCAAAACACGCAAAGTTGGAGTGTCTGAGTTCTTAGCAGTTCTGTAAGTACACATAAAATAAACCATTGTATAAAAGCTGCTTTCTATCTCATGTAGAGCCCCCCTAAGTGCATTATCGGTTGTTACGTTTTCCCGGATGATACATCCTTTTCGGCGGTCCCCTGTAAAACATATCAATGAGGTTCTACTGCCTGCAATAATACTGCAAGGTAGCTTGCTGCAGCGAGATCAGTTTCATGAGCTCCTTGGCTGGCAATGGAAGTGCCCTTGCCACTGGTCCAATTTCATGTGCAGTTGCACTGAGATGGCTTTGTTCTGAGAAAGACTAGTTATGGTGTTGGGGCAAGGCTTGGAGCTTTGGCCGTGTTCTTTGCGCACACTGTCGAACGTGTTGATCTTAAACGGGAACAAGTCACCAGAATCGCAAGCACCGTGAGCCATCTCTGCAACGTCTTAGGTACGAGGCATGAGACGTTATCATTGAAGTCACTTAAAGCTGTTTCACACACTCGCGGCTGCTTACAACCGCAGAAACTTAAAAATTGTAGCCCAGTTGGTCGCAGTCAAGCGGAAGCATGTGAATCAGTCCTTGCCTCCATTATATCGACACTATTTTAGCAAACGCTGCATTAACACTAAGTTCAGACCGAGTTAGCACTGGAATAACGCTGCGCTGTATGTGTGAGCGGTCCTAGCATTAAGACTGAGTGGATTTCCGAATGGCCTCATTGCATCCCAGGCGCCGCTTGCGGCCGAGCCGCGATCCCCGGCACCCACCATGGCGGCGCCGGAACAGCCGGAGGTTCCCTCCGCGGCGAGGGCAGCCGGCTACGCCGCCGTGGGGTCCCCCCAGCGACTGTCGTCGGTGTCCCCCAGGGCCCCCTCCTTTGCCCCCTTGATCTCGCTCGAGGAGGACAACAGCGGCCAGAACAGCCTGTCCGGCTTCTCGGACGTCCTGGTCACCCCCAAGGAGGAGGCCAGGCCCATCGGCTTTGGCGTGCTCAAGCTGGGCACTGGCGGTGAGTTTGCGGAGGGGCCGCGAAGGCCATACATTTTTGGGGCACCTTGAGGGGTACTATCGCGAAAAGCACGAGCGGGGACGCCGGAGCACGGGGCCCTCGGTGCATGCCGTGCCACCTCGAGGCCAATAAAACCGTGGAGTGGAGAGGTGGCTGCAAGGATGTGCGCTTACTCCAACGTGCGCACTCTCACAGCCCTCCCTCTCTACTACGCCGTTTTATCGGCCCCGAGGAAGCACAGTGTCCATCGAATGCCGAGCGCTCTGAGGTTCCTGCTCGTATTGTTCACAATTGTACACCTTAGACGACGTTGGCATAAGCACGACATCGGCACGGTTTAGGATTCTACTTTAAAACAGTATTAATGAGCATCAAAGCTTGCCTAAACGAAGACTTCCAACCCTAGTAGTTTCGATGACCATCCTTTTCACCCGGAAGAAAACTGAAGAAGACCGGCACCGACAGTATCGTGTTGGGTAGATAGGTTGTTGGATGTATGGACCAGAGGCCAGTTCCCATATGTCTGTTTGAGTGTGATAGACTGCATTGCAACCGCTCGTAAGCACTCGTGATGAAATAACGCACTGCCACCACCTATCGGGCAGTCCTGGAACACGTTCGATCTTCGTACGACTAGACCGGACGTTTCGCGGTATTTGCGAGATTGTTAATGCGAAAAGTTTGCAGCCTGCCGTGGTCGCCAACGAGACGACGACGGCAGGGTGCCGCTTCAGCTCGCGAGACACCCAAGCGTCGTCGAAGGTGGAAAGTTTGCACTAGAGGCGGGAAAACCATAGGCCCTCCCTGCTGTCGTTCTAATCTTTTCAGCGACCATTCGCAACTCCAAAGCCCCATAGACGGTGGGGCGGTAGTTCTAAGATGGCAAAAGACTGGAATAGATTCTTTGGGATTTCCCGCTCATTTGCTCGCTGACGCCGGTCGATGTGCCAAAATTAATTTATTTGGCTACACATACGAAGCGGCCGGGGCGGGAGCTTATCGTGGGTAACCAAGATGCCGACAGGCATTTGAAACGGGACACGACCATTCCTATTTTGACGCGCTTGCTTTTTCCATTGAAACTGCATGATGCACGAACGCACCGACCATAATCGTGCAGAAACGGCAGTGCCAAGGCCGTCAGTTGCTGCCGCTGTCTCTGCACTTCCGGTCCTTCGTTCACCTGCGAGAGGACGAACGGCGGGCTAGAGTTGCGAACAGAGGCCTTATCGTCTGGCAGTTTGGTCGACGGCCTGGCAGAAGCACGAGATTACCGTGCTCACACGAAGGGCGTGTTTCATGCAGGTGCCAGCCCAAACCCGCCCTCGGGGCGCAAGAGCCCTTCCGCGGGGGGCGGCAAGCGCAAGAAGCAGCTGTCGGCGGCGGCCTCGGAGGCGTTTGGGGCCGAGGAAGAGGAGGAGGTGGTGGAGACGCGCAAGAAGCGCAAGCTGGTGCCCCTGGAGGAGGACGAGAAGCACATGAACACGGAGGAGAAGCGCAAGCACATCAAGAGCCTCATCGACCGCATCCCCACCTCCAAGGAGGAGCTGTTCAACTTCAACTTCGACCGCAGCCTCGTAGACAATGTGAGCAAATACTTTATTTGGGGAAATACATCTCGCTCCGTAAAAATCCGACCGTCTTGACATGGACAGGTCCTGCATGCTTGGAATGGCTGGACACGCCGCAGCCTCTGGGCTTGCCCCTTTGAATTGGGAGGAGTGACCTGTCATCATGGGCGTTCGAGTGCCAGTCGAGACGGCCGTCTCGGCGAATTGGTATCTCTCTTATTGTGCCGGTGACAGACCCCTCCCCCGACGCTGTGCGACAGCGTGAAGAACGTAATCCTCGTGTGTCTTCTCGGACGTGAGATGCCCACACTGTTAGGGGAGGATTTGATGCTGTAGGCATGCTATCTAATGCAAATGAATGGCAGTGTACCTGGGTTTCTTTCTCTCCCTGGACGGTTTCGTCTGGATGTGTGTTGAGTTTGACGCTGGTGGGTATAAAAAAGCTAGGAACAGCAACACTGTTCTGAAAATAGAAGGCAGTGCTTTGAAGAGAGTGTTGACTGCACTAGAAACATGTAGCAGACTGGCAGTTGTAGACAAAGTGCAGTTGTGGACGGAGAAGTTTGCCAACCTTGATTGCTTGACTGAATTTGGGAAAGTTCTGTGAAGCAGTATAAACATTAAAGGAGGAGGGCACTTGTTTACAAAGGCATCTGTCGTAGATATTCTAGAAATGTTTCGGACTTTAAGGTTCATTTTTTTACGAACGTGTCGACTACTGGGCCGGTTGATCGACCGTAGTAAAACGGTCTCTCTGTCAGCTTCTTGTTGATACCAAATTAACTGCTCAAACTTTGATATCATACATAAAAGAAAAATTTAGTTATAATGCTGTTTATTGGTTTCCGTTTTCGTTATAATTAACTACAATCGGTGACAGGTGAAAAACGCTTTGGAAGCTCCGCCTCTAGCACGAGCTTTCTACATTTGATAGCACCTCACGCACGTTCAGCCAAGGCCTGGCAGAGCGTTCTTATCCCCTCACTGCCTATAGTATCGAATTTTCTGCACAAAGCTTGCGTTAACCTTCTGGCCACTTTTTAAGTTCTTTTCAAACACACACTCGATGCTAAGCTAGCATTTACAGTACACGTCATTGCACCATACGTCTCCGTAGACAAGATTCTTGTGCTTTCAGCTTTCGCCGCAGTCGTAGAAGTTTCAAACGCCCGTGGCGGAAGTGAGAGAGAGAGGTTGGCATCAACTTTGCGCACCGTGTTTCAGGCCCTGATGGACAAGAGGATCCGACCGTGGATCAACAAGAAGATTGTGGAGTACATTGGAGAGGAGGAACCCACCCTGGTGGACTTTATCTGTTCCAAAGTGCTGGCGGGCAGTGCAGCGCAGAGCATACTCAACGATGTCTCTATGGTGGGTGCTCTTCAAAGTATATCGTCGGGCCAATCTTTGCTTTGTACTGCAAGTCCTTTACAAAAACTTCAAAACATGTGCTCAAAGTATTGGTGTTAAGTATGGTCATTAAGGGGGGACATGGGTCTTTGGAGCCAAAAACTTCCTAAAACTGCATTCTTTTGAAAATGGTGATGGCTGTTGTTCTTCTGAATCTACCAAGCTTCTAATTTCGAGGATGAATATTTGAGCTATAAATCAATTTATAACGTCTATGCAGGCTGAATGTGCATTAAAGTTGACTCTAAAACATTGTTTTCACATAACACAATTTTTGGACTCGTTGAAAATTTACAGAAAGGATATCTCAGCATCTAAAGCAGTCAGAAATATGATCTTTCTTGAAATGCGTTGCTAAATGTGTGAAGCATACAATGTTGAGAGCAGATTTTTTTAATATAAGTCTAAAACTATTTTTATTTTATCTTTTGTTTTATTACTTGTAAGCCATGCATTGAGCACTGAACTTCAATATGTTGTGAAATCACTAATAATTTGTTTATCTTAAAAGTACTTCCAACATTGTATTCTTTACACTTCGTAGTATCTGGCCATGTGTTAAAAAGGATATTTTGTTGAGCAGTCTTTTCCCTATCATTCCTGCAAACAAAGGCAGACAAGTTTTAATTATCTTCAGGAAAATTCTACTGACTGAGGAAATTACCAGATATATGAAATCAGCACAAAAAGCTGAACAAGCGTCTCTGGTTTCATTGAGTTTGGTCATAAAATAAGAAAAAAAGCTTCAAGACCAGCGTTCCCCCTTAAGCTTTGGCCAGCAGTATGATCTTTTTTGCATTGTTCTCCTAACATTGCGCAGTCGGGCCTCGTTAAATTGACCCCGTTGATTAAAAAACTCTGACATAATTTGAACCGCCAACCCAGTCACGGCAAATGCGAATTGGCCTACGGGAAACGTACGCTTGCACGATAATTTTTTATCAATGTCTCGATTTGCAATATTTCCAACAGCGAATCCGTTGCAACATACGAGTCGGTTCAAGCAAGCGGGTAGCCTTCACTGGCGGCCATATCAGTGTTCGCGCAGTCAACTGCATGCCGAAGCGAGCGTTCTTCTCCCGTCGGCGATGGTGTTACGCCGTTGTTTCGAGTTTTCGCCGCCGAGCCAACGAACTGTGGTTCCCAATCCGCGTACCTCGCCTTCCTCTTTCAGGTTCTCGACGAGGAAGCGGAAGTCTTTGTGGTGAAAATGTGGCGCCTGCTCATCTACGAAATAGAAGCCAAGAAAGTGGGTCTCGTGAAGTGAGGCCGGACCGGTCCGGGAGCGACGACGCGGCGTGCATCGGGACTTTGTACCGCCTTCTTCCCCTCCTTCTCTGTATTGTGGTACTCCTATCGTTGTCGGTTATTTTTTTACGAAGTACCACCGTCTGTAAATATGGTGTCCCCTCTTTTCCACTTCCCGGGCGTACGTCTTTTTTTTTTTTTGCCCGGGTAATTTCAACTGCCAGTTACTTTTTTTTCTCTCTCTCTCTCTCTCTCTCTCTCTTTTTGTATTAATAGAACCGGTTTCTTCGTGCAAAACAGCACAAACATCAATTTCGGCCGCGATGACGGATCGAGGGTCAATCAAGTGTGTCCGTCGTTGCGGCCCCCCAGCTTTTTTCGAATGCGTCACTTTTGGCATGCTTTTAGGGCAAGCTTTCCTGACCCCGCGGTTTCTCGTGCCGCAAGTTCTTAGTTTGTTTTTAACCGACTAAGAAGCACGTAAACTGGTTTTACAGTAGGCGGGTATTGCGCAGATTTGTCTCTACCATCTCCAAATTCATTCGGTGAAGGCTCTCCTCCAAGTTGTGATCAGCGCTCGGCAATCTGCAGCGCACGTGAAATAGGATTTTTTTTTTCTCTTACGATGTCTGTTGGCGCGGATGCAAGTTTTCTTCCGGGTCTAGTTTCTTGTATATTGAGAACCAAATTTTCTTTTCTCTTCGTCTTTCATTCTGCCCTTTCCTTTTTGCATTTTGTTTGTAATAAAAAAACAAGAGCAGTTGATTTGCGACTGTTTCGGACTGTCTTCGTGAGTTTTCACAAATAAAGCTGGAGTATGTGGAGTCGACAGATTTGTGCTGTGTGCTTATATGGTAGTTCCTTTAGAAGTTGCTGGTGGGATATCCACTCATCTGGTTTTGGGATATTTTCTGCTGGCTTACGGTTGACTTGGTTGCCGTACGGTGATGTCAAGATGTGCTCCTGTTTCTTTAAAAAAAAAATGTTTGGAAGTTGCTAAAGGAAAGGAGTGGCTCTTTCAGCCAATGAATGCTTGCAGTTTTGGCCAGTAGTTACCGTGCCCAAAAAAGTGGTCCCTCGATTTCCACCTGTTGATGTCTGTGATCCTGGTGGCGTCTCGGCAGCTGTGGTGGATGTGACGGATGCCTGTTCTGCTGCAGGTCACTATTTCAGCTTGTCGCTGCACGGTACCTCTGGCAGCCAGCAGTTGTGACGACGGCGGCACTCGCGTTCGCTCGTGCTTTTCGCCAGCATTTCTGCGACCAACCGCCAGGGTCGCAACATCCGACATCACATTCCGGCTTCTGTGACGTCGTTTGCTGCCACTTTGGGACCATACGATTTGGAGAAGCGTTCCAGACACCATAGTTTTTAGTCGTAATTAAGCTTAGTATGTCATAATGAGCGGGTTTTACTAAGCGGCACAGCGGGAATCGAACCCCGGACTATGCGATCCGCAGCCCGACTCAAAGAGAAGTGCAAAAAGCTGGACCAAGCAAAATATCCAGAGCCTGCGGTAGCGTGCGAGTGTCAGTGCGCACAGCTGCCTCTACTCGTAGTGTGCTGTGCCTGCAACGCATCCGAAACCACCTCATCCTAACGGATCATAATGCATGACATATTCCGTGCTCTCAGTGTTTACCAGAGTGATCAAGACAAGTTGAAATTTCGTCATTATATCGATTACACGTGATAAAGAAATAGAAAGGAGAAAGATGCTGGGAGAAACGTGCGATTTTCGGGTGCCCGATTCCCACATATTTAATGGCCCAAAGGCTGACGTACACTTTGCGCTTTCCACTTTTGCCCACCTCCACCTTTCCTATATCCTCTCCACTTTTTACCTTGCCCCAACCAATACTGCCCAGAAGAAAAGTTCATAGTGCTGACATTTTGGCGTCGCCAGTGAAGGCCAACGCTGGACAAATTAAAAACTCAGTCAAGTTTGAGCTGAACGTTGACGTGATTGTCGTGTCCAATCTGTGCCCAGCGTTGGCCTTCACTGATGACGCCATCTCATTCAACCTTGTTCGACGAACTGAGTGCCACGAAGAAGGCGAAATTGACTTCCATTTCCATGGGAAAAAGTGAGTGAATTTTCTCCCTGTGCTCGATTATAAGAGAAAATATCCCGAATAATTCATATGTACTAGCTTAAAACATTTCTTAGTTGCACAGACAAAATAATTGGTCAGTTACAGCATTTCTCTTCCAAATGCATTGCATTAAAAACAGTGCTAGGACGGGTTGGTACATATTTATGTGCACTGTTGGACACTGTTAGTGTGAACATGCCGTCTGTACTTTTCAGCATGGGGGATATACGTTCCAAACGAATGCAAGCTGGAAAACCAAGAGAGGCGGCAATAACTGCAGTAACACTGAATCACCGACTCCGTGAAGGCCACGTAATATAGTCCAATTTTTAATAAGTTAGTATACTGCTTTATTCTTTCTGCAGTACAGAACATTTTGAGACAAAAATGTAGGACAACAAAAGCAAAAAATAGAAGTAACTTGTTAAAATTTATTGGATATATGGAGCCACTGATTTGCGAAAAGTGGATGTGTCAGTAATAAGGATGATTTCCACAGGAAGAGAGTTCCAGATGGTTATAGCACGAGGAAAGAATGTGTTATGCGTTTGATGCAACGGCTGTGATTGAGACTTGACGAGATTCTTTCAGGATGTGGTATCAGGGGGTTAGATAAGTTGGTGCTGGAGTGATAAAATTATGTAGGAGACATAATCGAGATAAGACACGGGGGTTTCCCCAGGAATTGAAATTAGGGGAAGGGGGGGTCTAAATTTTTAGGAAGCGGGGGGCATTGAGAATAGAGGAGTCGTTGCGAATTAAGGGGGTGCCTTCAGAAAAACAAGGGGGTATACACCACCCCAAGGGTGCGTAGGGAAATCGCTGGTAAGACGCTGATCCAGAGGCCCATACGGCTTCACGCACATTGCACTCGCAAAGCACATACATACGGCGTCAATTTTTGATTGGTATCCAAGCGTGCGAAGGCGCAGAGACGCAGCATTTCGGCACGCCAAAGAAGCTTTGATCATGCCGCGAGACCGGTGGCGAAACTTGCATTCGATGAGTTGTGCCTTTTTCCTGCGGCATTGAGCTTCCGTAAAACTTTCCACGTGTTTTTGACGGAAAGTTTCACGGCTTGCAAAGAATTTTAATGAGCTTCTGCAGCGAATAACGACGAACGAGTAGAAAACGTGTCTTCGGCACGCTGCCGCTAGCCTCCGCAACGCTCCGGAAACGCGATTTCTCGAGGTGCAAGATGGTGGCCGCACACGCGGAGCGGGGATGCGCGATCCAGCAATTGTCATAGAGATCAGTGGAACTAGCTTCACTAGCTTAGGAGAGGGAAGCGACAAAAAATTATTTTCCATGCAGAAAATCGAGGTTGTACGTCGGTTTTTAATGACTAACAAAAGTTGAAAAGAAAGCATAAAAAGAAAAACAAAAAATTGTAAATATGGATGGATGGATAGATGATTACGGCTGAGCCCTTTGGATCGGGCGGTAGCTTACGCCACCTAGCCATTTTGTTTTACCATTTAAGCCTAGACTATTAAATGTGAAATCTATATTCACTCCGCAGTGCAAAGAAAGTGAGGCTATGAAGCCCCCTGGCCATCAGTGGATAAGAAAATACCTAGTTTTCTCTCGATTTCTGCCACCATTCACTTAATCTTTGCTTGGTAATCTCTACAGTCTTGAAATCCACTCTCCCTTCGCTGTCTCTAAAACCCAATGACTTTATTAAATCTATGCTGTCTTCGGTAGGCATAGGGTGAAGCCCTTTACAGTAGAGTATCAAGTGCTCAGCCGTCTCGTCCTCCTCTCCACAAGCAGTGCACACTGTATCAATTTCCTGGTACTTCACTCTGTATGTTCTGGTTCGCAGAACACCCGTTCTTGCCTCAAACAGCAATGAGCTTCCCCTAGAATTGTCATAAATGCTTTCTTTGGCAATAACTCTTTTGTTTAATCTATAGCTTTCCAGAGCCGTCTTTGTCTGCATTCCCTCTAGCCACCAATCTCTTTCTGTGGCCTTAACTTTCTTCTTAACTGAGACTTGCTCTTCCGTATCTTCGCTATAGCCCAAAAACTTTCCTCTTAATTTCCTAGTGCGCTGTCTCCACTTTGTGTCTACACTCCTCATGTATAAATAGCTGAAAACCTTTCGTGCCCATTGCTCCCCGTCCATTTGCCTCAACCTATCCTCAAATTCTACCTTGCTCACCGCTTCCCTGCTCTCAAATGATGCCCATCCCATGTCTCCTTGTACTCCCTGGTTTGGCGTTTTGCAATGTGCCCCCAAAGCCAGTCTACCTACTCCGCGCTGTTTTATTTCTAGTCTCGCATGCACTTCGGATTTCATGCATAGCACTGCGTTTCCAAAAGTCAAGCCAGGCACCATGACCCCTTTCCAAATCTCTCTCGCCACCTCATACCTGTTGTAATTCCAAAGTGCTCTATTTTTCATTACAGCTGCATTTCTGTTGCCCTTACCTATTATATACTTTTCATGGTCTCTGAGATATTCTGCACCATCACATATCCATACTCCTAGATACTTGTATTTACTAGCTCTCTCAACTGTAATATTCTGTATCTTCAGCCTCTCAACTTCATCCTCGTTAAAAATCATGACTGCCGATTTTTCGATATTTATCTATTTTATAGCGCCACCTGTAATCGGTTGGTAAAGCTTAACAATATGATCTCGCAAACAAGCTTGTTTCGTCTATGGGGCTCCATATTTCCAATGGAGTTCGGTCCATCCTACGAAATCTTTAGTAATATTTTTTTCTTTTTAAATAATTAGGAACTCAATAAGGTAAGCGAACCTGCACATTTTCTTCGCGTAACGAAGTGATGCTCTCAGAATACCGAAAAAAAGCTGTTCGATGCGCTTCACTCTCACGATATCTGAGATCATATGCTTGACCTCCTACGGCAGGGAAGTCAGTTTTCTTTTTATATTATTATTTTGTCGGCTGTCCGCAGAGTGCTTTTTAATACTGAAAATTTCAATTCTCGGAACCGTTCCGCGATATATATGCTCTGACAAGCCAAAAAAGAACAGCTTAAGATGCGATCTGTTTAGAAAGTAGGTGGCTAGAGACACTCCCCCTCTGAAGTGTAAATTAATTCTGTGTGGGATGATTTCTGAGCACTGTCACTTTCTTTTTGGGGCGATCCTTTGGTAGAGAATTCATTTCAGCAATATAAACTGTCGCGAAGTGTGTGGGCATTCGCACACGGTATATCGCGCCTTTTAAAAACACGAGTGGATGAGCCCGTTTTATGTTCGAATGGAAAACCTAAGACCTTAGTGCTTAGGTCGCAAGTTCTACTTTTTCTTTTGTCGTCCGTTGCTGCTTGCGTTTACAAGCCTGTCAAGGTGGGACTAGCAGTACCTCTTTAATTTTGAAACAAATATGAGTATCGTACAATAACTCGGGCTTGTAATATTAATAACAAGTTCATTCCTCCCTTCACTAACAAAGAAAACAAAACAATATTTTTAATTTATTTCGTGTGTTTTTGGAGACACATTTGTTTTTGCATTTAGCCTGTCTTGTTCCTGCTTAATTTATTTTGACGCATTTTACATGCATAATGTTTGATGTGTTGAATATATGTATGTTTTTGTTGTATCTGATGTTCAGCGATGAAGTCGAAGCAGGATATGTTACGAAGTCTCCAATCACCTACACAGTATTTTCATGGAAAAGGAAGTGTCTGTACTCTTCATAGCATGCACTGAAATATGGTTCCATTCGTCAATACTTCACAAAAACAAAGCTTTTTTTTTTTTTTTTTTTTTTTTTTTTTAGAATAACTGGCTTTAAAGTGGCTTTCTTTTCTGTTTTTCTTTTTTAGTAATAATAAGTTTGGTTATGTAAAATATATTTATTGTATGCACCTTTTATTGCAGTAACTGGTCATTTTCATTGTCTTACATGATGTCTAAAGAAGGAATAGTTGAAATGCAGAAGAATGAACTGTACTGATCAGATGGAATAAATATTACGGTGTATTCAACGATTTCGTCTTTAGGCGGCTCTGTGACATTTATCCCATTTGATCGGTGCACTTCATTCATCTGTGTATTTTGACTATTATCTGTGACATTTATCCCATTTGATCAGTGCACTTCATTCATCTGTGTATTTTGACTATAATCTGTGACATTTATCCCATTTGATCAGTGCACTTCATTCATCTGTGTATTTTGACTATAAGGTACACTTAAAGGGACACTGACAGGGTGTTTATGCTCGCCGAGGTTTTTAGTTGTACATGACATATGAGAGCCCAACTACCCAGAACACAATTTGCGACTCGAAATTCGGTTTCTTTCCGCCCGAAAACCGCCGATCAAGAACTGGCCGGTTCGAGTCTCGCTCACTCTCTTTTCCGTGGTCACGGGCCGTTTTCTAAGGTATCGATGCGACCACCAAATTTAATCAAAGTCGTTGGTCACTGAAGGCACACACTCAATATTAAAAATAGAAAAAAAATATGAAACCCATTTTTTGTGGCTTCTAAAAAGCTGCAAATACGTTAATTGAAAAAAAAAAAAGTTCCACAGACAACTGGAAGCATTCTGTGCGTGTGTCGTTTCGCGTATCGTGGAACTCGCGGGGACGGCGATGGCAGCGGACGACGGGCGTGGGACCTCTATTTCAGAACTGTCGTTCGCGGTACCGGCGAATTCTGTGTGCCTTTTAAAGAGAAATTTGGGACTGATCAAAAGAATTGGTATTCATCCTGTACACACGCCCGACCACCAAGCCGATTTGCACTAAGACGTCGCCAAGCCGTCGCTCCCTTCTCTTGGCTGAAGACATCGCTCGCGCAAACGTCAAGCACGACGTGTCTACTTCGAGTTGAATATGCACGCGTACGATTTCTTTACTAGGTGCGAATGTCGCCAATGCGTGGTGCTTCCCGATTTCGACCCGGGAGCGCTTTTGCTGGAAGAAAATCGGCAGCAAACTTTCCAACTTAGTCTACCGGCTGAAATATTACTAAGGAAAGAGATCCCCCAGTAAAGATATGTCCCAGTAGCTCAGTGGGAAAGACGTCTGCATCACGCGCGGTGGGACTAAATTCAATCCCTCAAGAAACCTTTTTTTTTTTTTTTTTTCAATCATTTTCTGATGTTTTTAATATTTTTTTTTACAATTATCACTGAAGAAACAAAAAAAAAAAAAAAATAACAAACAAATGTTGTGGACGACACGTCACTGAATTAAATGGTATGGGATTTCCTTTTTGATACCTGCGAACTCGATGTAATCGCTTTCCACAAAATGCAAGGAGCATATAAATCAGGTAGCGTCCGCTTTCTGAGGTGCCCGTAAATGTTCTACAGGAATTGCAGCCAGCCATTGGTCCCGATCCTTTTGATCTTTCAGAAACTCTGTCGCACAATGCCACTTTTTTTCGGACGCAGGACATGTGAGCCAGCTCTTCACGCAACATCTTGGGTGTATTCTTTTCGGAGCCGATCATGGAAATTCACCACAGGCACTCACTACTCATTTCCCAACTCCTCAATGTACAAAACAACTCATCTTGGAGTACAGAACAACGAGCGGAACAAACATAACTGCAAACGAACCAACCGCATGGCGAACGGTTCCCGTACGCCGCATGTCGTCTGCTATGAAGTGGAGAAAAAAAAAAAAAAAAAAACGCACGGTCGGGTGTAGCCACATGACTTCCGCCACTCACTCTCTTCTCTCCACTTCTCCGACCTCCGTCCGGTTTCGGTTTCGAGCAGTTGCCTCTTTTGGATTTATTAAAAAAATATGCTACTCTGTTGCAAAATATTAATTGGGTAGTCCTCCGACACCATAATAAAGCGCCTGGCAGAAAAAAAAAAAAAAAAATTTGGTGGGTGTCAGTGTCCCTTTAAAGGGATAGTACAATGAAATTTCGGCACACTTGTTAATGCGAAAGCATCAAGTGTCCCATGGAGCCAGCTGACGTCATGAGTTTGAAGCTTGAAAACGGCACCTAGTTTTCGCGATTTCGCCTCCAATTCCATTGGCTGGCGCGCATTGACGGAGCTCCCATTGGCCGCTGTGCTTGTCAGTTTCCAGGACCGCTCACCCCATGGCGCTGCGTTTCCATCAGCGCACCATTAACACGGAGCGTCCAAGGTCAGCGTGCCCAGGAGAGCACGCGCGCTGACTGGCGACGAAAAGTATGCAGCAGACGAAAAATGGAGCGGACAAGCGGCTTGCATGCTTTCGCATTCACAACTCATTGGAAGAAGTTCTTTGGTGTACTTCGAGCTTTGTTTTGGTCTATATGTGTTTAAAGGAGCAGTATCGCATCGGACACACCAGTATCCTGTTAAAAAAGACGCGAAAAGGAATATTAAAACAAATTAAACGATTAGCAAACAGCACCTGGTGGATGTCGCTACCGCCTCGTTTGTAATGCCCGTCTAGGAACTTGACAGGTAATAACGATAACTGTCTCACCTCCGGCCACCACGAGAAAACAGGGAAAGGAGGAACTCGCCTCTCCCCGAGACTCTCTTTTGTGTGTCCCAGACTTCGCTATTATCCTTCTACAAGATTAAAGAAGATTAACCCATCACTAAAACTTTGTACAAAAGCAGCTTTGGGGTTAGTTGTGGTAACCTGATCGCTGGCGTGCTTTGGTGGCTGGAACAGCTAGGACATCCCCTTGATGTCAGCCTTGCCACAGCTTTGCTCGTCCCGAGACAATCTATGTCACGATTGCGACGGATGTCACGTGGTCTGCGCTGGCTGCTCTTTAAAGCGCTTGCCAGAGCGGGCCGTTTATAATGAAAAATGCAGCCATCAGACTCGAAATACAAACGTGCGATCATCATTTACGGATATGGTGGATCATATTCAGCCTATTTCTGAACACGACGGGTATATTTCAAATTTTGTTGAAGTATCCCTTTAAGGGTTGAACAGAGAATTTAACCCAAAGCAACGTCCACAGCTTCAGATTTCAGTTTGGAGACTAAGTCTGTCAGTATCTTGTTCGTGAAGATACTGTACATTGTAAAAGGAGCCAAAAACTCAAAGCAGCCTTAAGATTGCATGTCTCTCTCTTCGTTTTAACGTGTCGCTTGTAAACTGGACATTTATGCGTGACTTGTTGATACCTTTCTCTGTGGTAAAGACTCCACCTTGTGAGCATTGTGGTGATTTGTTAGCTGTATTGCACATTCTATGGCACTGCAAATTCTTTAACCAAGAATGTTGAGCACATTTCCCTGAACTTTTCATTTCTCTTCCACTTCACCCAGCCTTTATGCTGGAAGATGTACCTTTAGTCCCTTTTGATTGTGTTCTAGATTTTCTCGAAAAAAACAAAACTGGCTATCTACAGCAGTTGTAGATCCTCTGCACGGCAATTTTTTTCTGTTACAGTACATCTTTATCGTTGTCTTCTTTGGCACAAATGGATTACGTTCCATTTTGTGCCATTAAACACCTAATCATCATCATCATCATCATCATCTTTCTCTCTCTCTTTCCTTGCTCCAGAACTCAAGATGATGGAGCTGTCTCACAGCCTCACCCTCAACGAAGAGGTCCTGGCACAACTTCCCGAGGTCAAACGGCCCGTGTTCGTCTTCGAGTGGCTCCGGTTCCTCGACAAGGTCCTGGCGGCTGCTCCAAAGGTATGACCGGAGCATCGCTCGAGCCATGCCCCAGTGTGTGCAAAGTGTACTCTGGGAGAAGTAAACAAGCGGTCATCGTATGGTAGAGGTGCGAATTTGGTAAGGCAGAGGGCGTGCTGAGCCTTTTTCTTTTAATAAGGTAAGCTTAAGTTCTGAAACTTTGACCTCTTATCCCGGCCGCTCGCACGACACTCAGCGAGGCATCTTTTATTTCTGCATCACGAAAGTATGGTTATGCATTGACTCAACCGAAGAGGGGTTCTGTCACGCATGGTGGTACAAACCTTGATTGCTCGCTTTGGTGCTGGTTGCACCATAGAAAGGCTGTGGGAGAGATAGCCGGCAATGAAGCACAACTGTTGGTTCGACGTCATGGCAGGCACGACGAATGGCGTAGCACTGAAACCCTTCTCTCCCCCCCCCAATCTGCCGCATAGATGCAGGAGCTGTGTGTCATTTGAGTAATCTAGTAGGCACCGAGGCATTTCACGGTCAGAATGTATGTGCAGAGGCAATTCGGAGAGTTCTGCCTGTTAACCCTTTCAAATTCCGATTACCATTTATCGTGGAAAATGTTTTCTTTGCAGTCTGCTTGTGTAGAAAATTTTCCCAAAAATGTTCTCCGCAAACTTTGCTCACCAGACATAGAGTATAGAATTCCACTAAAATCGTTAAAATGACTCAACATGCGATATGTTCCCCAAAAAAGAAAAAAAGCGAGGGTTTTAGACGTGCACATTTGTGCACATAGCGTGTGAAAGGTTAAAAAACCCCGCCACGTGCTACCGCACCTTTGTTGAATTCGACGAAACGTCTTAAGCCGGGCAACCTGTTTCCCCGGGCCACCAGTCGGACATTAAGCAGTGCCAGAAGCAGCTGGTGGACCAGCTGGTGCGTCAGATGCGGGACGGCTCCCCGGGACCCCCGACGCGGAGGATGCTAGGCCGCTGCCTGGCGACCCTGTTCAGCGTGGGGGACACCTTCCTGCTCTTCGACGCCGTCAACCAGTGCAACGACATCCTCCGCAATCGGGACGACTCTCCCAGCTACCTGCCCGCACGCCTGTACGTCTGCCTTCCGTCGTGGTACCTAAAGCACGTCTCCGACCGGCCTCTTTATCGCGTCCTCAATTGTGGGCCCTCGATTTTGCCTTCTGACATCGTAAAAGCGTTGTGCCATTGCCTGGCAGATAGTGGGGGAAATGCTGACGAAGAAAGCGAGGGGACGTAGGGATTGCCATTGTCATAGCGTTCCATCTTGTGTCAAACCTCGGTTTTTGTCAACTGTCTAGCTGCAAGCGACTTGCAGCGGGACAGGTGTCTGCTGCGCCCATCTACGCCGCCTAGCCACTGCCAGGCTCACGACGGACACCGGCGTGACGCCCTTACGGCGCCATCCGCCGGAAATCGATGGACCACTTTTGAGGGCGCAGTAAACAGACCAGTCGGAGTCGCGTTCCAGTCACTATACTTTCGTTGGGTTAGCGCTGCAAGGTACGAAGTGTCGTCTCGGATTGAGACACGTGGCGTTCCCCATCACCTTTCCAGAGCTGCCATCACAAGCACAGGTGCCATGTACGAGAAACTGGGTCGCATGATGGGCAGAAGCTACGACGACACCGTTCACATCCTCCTCAAGTCGCTCCGAAATGCGGAGGTATCGTATTGCCAGTTTTTTTTTACGACACCTCGTAGGGCTTGTTTGTCGTATTTGACGGTGTCTCTGCTCGAGTTAATGTGACTTGGATGCTACAGATATTTTTGGAACACTATGTGGACGTTTTGTTGCAGAAAGCAGATATAATTTGAGGGCACACCTTAGAACCATGCTGTAAAAAAAATAAAAAAACATGCTTTTCGTGTAAGGCTTGTCAAATTATGAGGCACTGGAGAAGACCAGCCTTCTGCATTAAGCCCTTATTTCTAACTCTTTTTGTTTGCATTCCACCCACTGAAAAGCTTGCGGGAAGGGCCTCAGCACGCACCTTGTATTGTTGCACTGCATTATTCTTCCACAGCATAAAGGCCGTCTGCTTTCGTCGCCATCACCATGGCAACGAAAGATGATTTTCTGCATGCCTTAAAGCTTAATAGTTTTGTAGTGAGCAGCCGCAGACTGTCGCCGTGAACGCAGGCGGGAGGGTGGGTTAACACACTCCACAGAGATACACGCGCCGTCCGAAAAGGTCATTCAGCGTTCATTGCCATGGTGACGGCAATGAAAGCAGACGGCCTTTTTGTTGTGGAAGATCACTGCGGCGCAGTAATATGAAATGCGTGCTGAAGCACTTCCCGCATGCTTTTCAATGGGCGGAACGCAAACAAAAAGCGTTCGAAATAATAGGCTGAACGCAGAAGGCTGGTTTTCTCCAGCGTCTTGTAACATGATAAACCTTACACGAAAAGCATGTTTTCTTGGCCATCCCGTAACGTGGTTCTAAAGTATCCAACTGTCAATTTTAGTTATAAAATTGAAATGTGAGTAGCTGCAATAAGTGTACACTTGAAATAAATACCCATGTATACATTGTGCCGTGAGTGCTCAAAGAGCCGCCGAAATCTACAGGGGAGATCGGAGGATGACGACGCCACAGAAATCTTTCCAAGCTATAATCTCTTTTAGCTTGTGATGGACAGCAGCAGTCGCTACGAACCATCGAAGCCAATCTACTAGCTCTGTGAACGTATCATGTGACAATGTGCTACGTGCATGCCCCCCCCCCCCCCCCCCCCCCTCTTTCCCCTTGAAGTCGGCTAACCAAGCACCGTCGCGCAGGAACATGATACAGTCGAATCTCGTCAGTTCGAACGCAAGAGGGACAGAAAATTTGTTTGTAGAGACGCATAGGATGGAACCTGCATATTAGTTTGAATTATCCGCAAGTTTGAATTAAGAGTTTGAATTAACGAGATTCTACTGTACGTGTGTAGGGTGGTATGTCAAGGCAATGAATTTCAGCCAACTCTGGGTGGTGTAGTTAGCTACATGGGAAGTAGAATAACGTCTGATCACAATCCACGTTCATCAGCAGGGCATTGCTCGATGGGAGACAGCAAAACAGAGATTATAGTTTTGTTTCGTTATCGACGCCATACCAAGATTTTCTTGGAGCACTTGGTATTGACGGTTTAGGTGACTCCTGTACATTCTGTTGGTAGGCCTTAGAGGTTTAATTAAATTTAGAAGTGCGGTTAGGTTGTGGTCCAAGGGAGACAGCTCCTAATCAGATGCTGAAGACCCTGGAATGCCGAAGTAGTACATGAACTCATCTTTCAACTGTAGACCTGTTTCCATTTCCAGTCGCAGTCTCGATGTGAGACCATGGCCACCATGGAGAAGATAGTTGCTGGCATGGGGGTGGCAGCAAGCCCAATCCACAAGGATATCTTCAAGGCTGTGCGCCACTGCATGACCGACCGGGTGTTGGCTGTACGCTGCGCCGCTGCTAAGGTTCGTACCATATCGTTTTGCTAAGTTGTTGGTCAATTGGTGCATCTTTTATTGTGCCCTTGAACAGTTGTAGGTGTTGAAGGAGGCATGAAATGGTACTGTATTAGAACTTCACGAGTTACCCTCAAGCGTTCTAACACAGATGTGGCAAAGGCCTATGAATGTGCAAATGCTAACGAGACAGAAGTCTAATTTCAGCTGTATAGCTTCAAGAATTAAAGCATGTTACCATATTTTCCGGTCTATAAGTCGCATAATTATATTAGTCGTACCCCCCTATAATTGCCTGTTTTCTCGAAAAAATTGGTATATAAATGTTTGAAATGGAAGCTTGGCCATGTTGGTAAGGTTGGTAAAACATACAGCAAGAACAGATGGGCCAGAAGAGAGAGGATGCACAATCAGCAATTGTCTGTCCTCTCTCTTCTGTCTCGTCTGTTTACGCTCTACATTGTCATGGCATATAAGTCACACCTTTGTGTAACTTGCACTTTGTGTGGCCGGCACTGCAAAACTGTATTGGTAAGCCCGCATATGTGCATGGTGATTTCAATATATGTATGGTCGGGAGCAGGCAGTTTTAATATTCTTGCCACTAAATCGGACAAGAAATATAGCCCCTGGGGTCATATTAAATCCTTGCTCGTCCCGCGGTTATAAAAGACAATGCATGTTGGTGAGTCGCACCATTGTGTAAGATGCACCGACTGAAATTTGTGAAAAGAACTGCAACTTATACACCAAGAAATTGTGTTTTTTTTGTTGTTGTTTGTGTCCTTCAGATAACATAAAGATTTGGTTGCAAGGTGCAACCAAATCCCTGCAATTACGCTTGCAATGCCACGTGGGGGTATTTTGATCAACTTCACCGGAGCCGGTCTGTTTAACTGAGACTTCGAAACACTGCGGCCGAATGTGACTCATGTGTTGGACACCAACCAACACTGCAATGGTGTAGCCAGGAATTTTTCGCCGGGGGTTGGGGTGGGAGGTTGAGGTGGTTGGAATGTCGATGACTTGGGGTGGGGGGGTGGGGCCAAAATTTCGGGGGGATGGGGAAGGGAGTTGAAGCTTCATAAGCCTCTCCCCTGGCTATGCCCTGGCAGCGCTCTCTCGGAGCTTTGCTTCGGTTTAGGTACTAGTAATGCCTTGACAGTCATAGTGCGGCAATAAAAATGTCCAACACCACATGTCCTCTGTCTCGTATCCAGGTCGCTCATAATTGTTTCACACGGTGTCCAGCTCTTGATATGTAGCAGTCGATTAGTCGTGACTGTTTTGTAAGGAACTTTATAGTGGTGTTTGTTTTAGCCCCTGTTTGTTCAACAAAATATTACGTTCAACGTTCTACTGAGCCGTGGTTTTGTAGGAGGCATTCCCCAAGAGGTGTCTATTATTAGTTAGTTTGCATGAAAAGCCAAACAATAAATATATAATTAAACTAATCAGTTTATCATTCTGCCCGGTGGGGTGCGCAGTGCCTGTTGGAGATGGTGCGGCACGCCCCTTTCCTGTACACGACGGACCTGGAGACGGTGGCTTCCATCTGCTTCCGCGCCTTCGAGGGCTCCAACTATGAAGTGCGCTGCACTGTTGCCAGACTGCTGGGCACACTGGTGGCTATCACGCAGCAGGCCTCCCAGGCACAGGGTTGGTGTCGCATTCAGTCCACACACATGCCTGATTGCTTCTTCTCATGCCCACTGCTTTTTGGAAGTTGCATTGTTTTAAGTATTCGTGCCTACATCATCTAGCGGCACAAACACTTTAGAAGAGGTCACTTTCTTCTTTTCTGTATCCTGCCGTTCTCGCTCTGCACACCCCATGCTCAGAACTGCCAGGGTATGATAAAGTAGTCTGGTAAAGTATTAGATCCATAACTACACCCACTTTATTAGCAGGCATTGCTGCTTTCTCTCATTTCTTTATATTATTGGTGGAATAGAACTTCTTAAAGGAAACTAATACATAGTAAAGGTATGAATATGTTGAAGAAAAGTTGAAGGACACTTGTAACACTGGTAGAGGCATTTAAGCTACTGATATAGATGTAGTAGAGAGGTTTCCTGTAAAAACTGACCGTTACTTCTGTTCTACCTCGAGCCAGAGACAATTCTTCCACATTTTTTCAGTTTCCTTAGGCTGTTCATGCCGTTCTCAGTTCCGGGTTTTCTTCATGGTGACAGCCGCTATTGGCGAGGATTCGCAGCGGATCCCGAGGTGTCTTTGGTGTTTTGTGTCTTGCGTACAATGTATGGTCTAGGCGTGTGGCCTGCTAAATTTAGCAAAAACTCTTCCCACTACATTAAGCTGGAAATCATTGTCAAATTGCGACATAATGCAGACTGTTTCCCATCTAAATTTAGCAGGGAAATTGTGACATCACGTGATATTGTTGTTTACGTGATGTGACTGTGACGTACTATCAGAATTTTCCGCTGAATTTAGCAGGAATCATTTCTCTATTAAGCTTTAGTAAATTTAGTGGGGAAATCGTCACGTAATACTGTGACGCCACGTCGCCATTTCCCACTGAATTGAGCGGGAAGCATTGCCCTGCTAGGATTAACGGGGAAAATGGTGACGTCGAGCAACAAAGTAACCCTTGCACCCTTGCCAAATTTCGACCGGTGGTGGAGAATGACAGTGTGTGGTCTGTGTGCGGAAGGTTGTGCAGTGCCACGGGTGTTGCTTCAGTTAATTTGCAAAAAGCTGCAAGACACTGGCGTTCATTTTTCTTCTTCTTCAGTTGGCAAGAACCGACTGGCCAGCCTGGACGAAGTGCTGGCGCTGCTGGCCTCGGGTTTTCTCCGGGGCGGTATCGGCTTCCTCAAGGGCAGCGCAGGCGAGATGATCAAGGGCGGCTCCTCGGTCAGCCGAGAGATACGTGTCGGCGTCACTCACGTGAGTTACCTTCTCCAAACGTTTCAAGATCTACAACCGAAGGGAGTCGAGATATGAATAGGAAAGGTAAAAGGCTGCCTCAGTGGCTCCGAGGCAAGGCGCCAGCCTACGAATCCCCAGGTGGCAGGTTTGAATCCTAAAGTTGCAGGTTCGAATCCTGGCTGAGGTGCCCGCAGTCTGATGTGGGTTTATTGTTGAGAAGGCACCGTGAAACCGAGATTTCGGTTGCACATCAAAGGATCCCCAGGTCATTGAAATTGTTCCTCAGTCCTCCGTTGGGGTGTGCCACAGGCCTTTCATCAGTTTGGCTCGTAAAACCCCCCAATTTGAAGGAAGGTGAAAGTGGGCACCGTCTTGATTAGTGCCAATCCAACTCGTTCTTTCTTACATTGTTGGGACTTCGAGAAACGACCTTAGTAATCATCCATATTCCTGAAATATCTTTAACATGCACCACGTAGTAGCGACGCACGACTGCGCGCCGGTACGATGCTCGTTCAGGTCGAAACAGGCAGGGGCGGAGGTCAAAGAACCTTTGATTCCCAGGTCCCGCAGCGTGAGTTAGAACAGACGTTCGTCTCATCCGTTCCTCAAGTTTTTATGTGTCTTCCGTTTTCCGAAATGCTTGCTCCTACATGATCTCCTCCGCAGGCGTACGTGGTGCTGTTCCAGCGGCTGGGCGGCCTCTGGCTGGAGCGCCACCTCCCGGCAGTGCTCACGCACCTGCTGGAGTTGGTGGGCCACCCTAAGGCGGTGCAGACGCACGTAGACGCGGTGTACAGCCGCAAGTGCGTCTCCTTCGCCCTCCGCTCGGTCCTGGGCAAGATGCTGGGCGACAAGGCGCAGGCCGCCGCCTGCAAAGACCTCGTGCAGGTCGTGGTGCGGCACCTCAACTCGGGTATGTTCTTCGGCGCGAAAGGAGTTTTTCGCGGGGCCGCCTGAGGCGCCTCGCTGATCGCCCCGATGTTTGCACGCAAAGGACGTTGAAGGCTGGTTTGCACCACACTTGCGTTTGAGCATGACCGCGTGCGTTGCGAGCGCTGGCAGGCGTTTACGGCAAGCGTGGTCGTTGACGGGGTGGGAACAGCGGGGGGAAGTTTCAGTTGTACCGCTTCCAGCGCGGGCTTCCGACTTAGGCCGACGCTTCAACAACTCATGCACCTCGAGCACACACGCGCAGCCAAAGCGCGGTGGAAGCATGGCAAGGACGGACGTTTGAGAGACACGCCCTGCGGCTCGCACCCTGTCTGTGGCGACCGTAAAATCTCGTAAGAATGCCTGCCCAAGGGGAAGAGGTAAATGGTGTGAAATATGGGGTGGGCTATCCTTGGGGGTGCGACAGCAAAACTTTATCAAAAATTAATGATGAACACTGGGGCACCCTCTGCAAACCATGTGACACTGGAACTGATACCGCTGATCACGGACACGGCAAATTCGCGTTTTACGATGCGGTAGACATGTGGGAATTCGCTACGAACTCGTGTGTTGAGGGAAAGTATACCGCAGGCTGCAGACGCAGCAGATTCGCGTCTCGCAGTGCGAAGGACCCGCAAAGACCCGCCGAGAACTCGCATTTCATGGGAATGGATACTGCAGATTGCAGACACGGCAGGTTTAAGTTCCACGGTGCAATAAACATGCGGGAACCCACCACAAACTCGTACGTCACGGGAATTGATATCGCTCGCGCGGAGGTTGCGAACAAAAATGTGAGAATCTACTACAAACTCACGTGTCATGAAAACAGGTACCGCAGATTGTGGACGCAACAAATTTGCATTTCACGACGCAGTGTACGCACAGAAACAACTCGCATGTTACGGGAAGCCGATATCACAAAGAAGGGGGAACTTGCTACGAACTCGCTTGTCAGACGTACCGGTACCGCGAATCACGCGGTTGATGCGGTTGCCGTCGGACATCGCGCAACATCCGACGGGAATCGGTGGTGGGCAATGTTTAGAAATTTCTTGAGTTATGAATATTCAGCCAGAAAAACTGGGACGGGCAGTCTCACGGGGGAGGGCATCCTTACGGAATTTTACGATATACTGGTAGCAGCATTGTGCCTTGAACGCATCTCCAACCTGTCTGCTTGCCGCGTCCAGAGAGGCTGTCCCTCAGTTTCCGCCTGACGATGTTGTAGAGGTGTCACATTGTCACTGGCCGCGATACCGGTGGTGTCGCAGCAGCGGTGGTGGAGACACCCGTTCTGCTGCAGATTCACGGTCCACGGAAGCTTCGGCAGCCACGAGTTGGGACTCCCTGACGACGACGACGATCGCATTTGCTCGTGTTTTTTGCCAGGACTTCTTGCGACGGCCGCGAGGATCGGGACGTCTGACGACGCGACGCGTCGGCTTTATGACCTTATTTGTTGTTACTTCGGGACAACTTTTGATGCGCTGTGGGATGGGGCCCTAAACATACCAGTCGAAGACTCTTTCCGGACATTGTAGCGGTAATAATAATAATAATAATAATAATAACTTTATCTCCGTCGATTATAATGGGGGGCTCAAAAGGAAACTCCAGTAGTCTGACTCAAAAAATTCAAGTATCAAGCCTGGGATCTGCTTCCAAACTGCATATATAGCTAGACTGAATGTTTTTGCATTTATTATCGAGATCAAATCTAAGCACTACATACGACAAACGGTCACCTATAACTAGGATTCCTTGTTTCCGGGATTTATTCTTCGAATTCTAAGTTTTTTTTTTTTTTTTTCCCCGGAATCTGTGTTTTTTGGCGTTTATTTTCGATGCTGGTCAAGAAACCTTGGCTTGTCGGGGCTAATGTTATAAAGCGACTGCACATCTATGAATTTACGAATCCGTCCAAGGTCCACGGAGCTTAGTACGCCCGCGACCCATGCACTCAAAAAAGGAAGAAGGGAAAAAAGGGAGAAGACGACAGGGGCCCAGGGCAAGGGACGCGGTTCCCAAAGGAAAAAAAAACAAAAAAAAACCTCAAGAATTGACAGTATGGGCTGCATTCGCGGTCACGTAAACAATACTGCAGATTTCTTTCCTTCAAAAATGGGAATTTCTCTATTCAAGGGCAGCTCCAATTCGGGCTTTATCCGTTTTTCAGAATTCGGTGAAAACCTCTTCGGTGGTTATTTATGGGGGTTTGTCAATATTTAATTGGAACCTTACTTATAACATTGTCAGAAACATTTTAGCCTCACGGTAAAAGAAGGGTGCTTAAAAGAGTATCAAAGTATATGCGCAGGCTGGAAGTGTTTCAGGGCTATGTGATAGATGGTGCCGGTGGTCACAAAAGTAAATGGTCACAAAGGAACGGAACACATTTAGACACACCCAAACGAAAGTGTGCAAACCAGCCTTCACTCGTCTGAAATCAGCAGAGCGTAAAAAAAGAAAGACCCAAAGTTAGTCGTCGAACTGCACGAAACTCGGCATGTGTCCTTGCCGACACGTCGAGTCGAGGTATAGTCTCGTCCCTTCGACGAGGGCTGCGCATAAAAGAGATCCTCCCCTGATCGGTGCCTGTCCTGACCAGTCGACCTGTGCATTGTCTCTCGACAGATGCCATTCTTGAGAACAACGGAGGCAAAGAAGGTCAGCAGGAGGTGGCCTTGAGTCAGCACATTCTGGTGTGCGCCCTGCACGAGCTGGGCTGCCTCGTCGAGACCCTGGGCACGACTGCCGTCTCCACCCTCTCCGACTCCTCTGTCGGTACGTCTCGCTTGGTCATCTTCGATCGAATTGTCTACCGTGTTCGGTTTACGAACGTATGTGCGTCCTGTCCTGCCAGGAAGCCGCCGCTAACACCACAAGCCCTCTTTCCTCCAACTTTTGAAGAAAAACATTACAGGGCATCAAATTGATGGTCGAGGCAAATTTGTGGGAACCACATTGGTGATTATCTATGAATGCGATAAGTTCTTATCGTTGCGCACCGCCAAATTTAGCAGGGAAACTGAATTAGTGCATAGGCCGTGACAACAATTTTCCCGCTAAATTTAGCCGGAAAAATTAATTGATGCATTGGTCATGGGACCTGAAGTTACATGACGTCAGGTTTTGTGACATCTAAGGACCTGACGACCTTAAAAGAAGTCAGGCTCTTAGAGCTCGACCTCAATTACTACCGACATCCTAGAGGACGACTTCAGAGACGACATAGAGTCTGGGCAACCTCAAGGACAACGTCTAGGACGACCTCTAGGATGATGTCAAGGTCATTGGGTCCTTCAAAAGGGGTGCAAATGTGAAGGAGTGCGTACTGCCACTTTGCACACTCGCGGCACAATGAGGTGCAAGCACAAGGAGCTCAAATGGTCTAGTGCGCATACCTACTGTGCCTCACGAGGCCGGAAAACAGGATAGCCGTTTAGCTGAAAACTTTGAGTAGTAGCTTAATAATGCTATCGCATTAAGAAAACGAGGTGTGGGTGATGTCAAATCTTCTACACTTTAAAGCGGGTGCACCGGTAACTTGGCTCAGATTGCACAGTTTTGCGTCAGCGATCGTCCGGGGCTCGTGTTCGTCAGTGAGGATGCGAGTTCTGGCCGAATGCCGATGTAGTAATCATGTGACGCTTTTTCGTCACAAGAGTGTGAAACCGGAAACTGCTAGGGCCCAGCCATATGACGCATTCTGCATTAACAAACTCTGTTCAGTATAGAAAGTATCTATTAATGCGGAATTGCACTCTTGCTGAAGCTAAATCTCACTTAGCCTGGAAAAAAGTGAGCAAAGCGTGACTGATTGCCGAACACTTGCCTCGAGAGCTCTGCCGACCATACAATGCAATTGTGAAAAAGAAAAAAAAAAAAAAGCAGGAGGAAGGGCTCTGAGACACTTCAAGAAAGCTTCACCAGCGTTCAAGTCGAATTTGTATTTGACTTGAAAAAATAAAATGATTGATTGATTGAGCTGCAAAAGCTCCCAAAAACAACAAGGAAAAAAGAAAACGGTACAAAACGAGGATATGGCAACACTAACACAGCATCATATGCCTGGAAGGCAGAGACTGGATTTAGCGTCGGCAGCGTCTCTCATAAAACACAATTTTTGCATATGACGGCTTGATCGATAGATAGAAATACAACTCCAAATTTTTATCAATACCTAAATCGGACAAGCAAAGGAAGCGGTAACGCAGAATATATTCTGTGTTGCTTCGCGGTGACGTACCAGAGACAAACTTGGTACGCACTTAACGCCTCGACGGCTGAAACGTCGTCGTGCTCAGCGTCCCCGAAAGAATGCGCCACACAAGCTGACGCTCGAACAGGAGTAGGATGCAAAGTTTCCATCTCTTGCGGTTGCACACCGCATACTTGACCCTTCCGTTTTGTGTCTCCCTGTTTCCTTTGAAGTGCGTCCCCTTTCCCCTCGTCTCCTGCGCACTCTGCTACCGTACGTAGCAGCACCCTTACTCGACACTCCTAGACGAGGCCATAGTGCCTGATTTTCACTGTTGCCTACCGAAGCTCGGCACAACAGGCCGAGCTTCAGCTGGGACTTGTGTTCGATCAGCGAGGGCACAAATTGGAGCTAAGCGCTGACACAGCACTCCTGCGATGCTCTTCCCATTATGGGAGTTTGTTACAGGGAGTGGCTCTACTCTGTTTCAGAGAGTCCGACCGTAGCCGACACTACGATCCGACGGAGTGAGTAGAGCAGCGTCAAAAGTGCATCGTTGCGGCGCTCGTTGTCTTCGTGCGTTTGCTAACGACAATTAAACCAGTCGCACACAGTTAATGCACTGTGGCCCTGCATTCTTCTTTGTTACTGATTGTTTGAACCAATACCACACAGAAAACCAAACGCGCGGACAAAGGGAGCGCCGGGCTGACACACTTTTGACGACGCTTGATTGACTCTGTAGGATCGTTGCGTCGGCTGCGTTTGAACTTTAAAGTGAAACGGAGTATGGGAGCCAGCCATAAAGCACGTCTCGCGCTAAAAGTATTTCACGTTTCACTCGCCATTGGTAGCGCCCCCAGTCAATTCTTGCATCCCACCATTTCACGCCGTTCGTGTCGTTCTTCAGGGCTGGTGGAAACGGTGTCCTCGGTGCTGGTCCACACAAGCCCCGCGGCGCGCCTGGCGGCGGCATGGTGCCTCCGCTGCGTGGCGACGGCCGTTCCGGCGCAGCTGACCCCTCTCCTCGACCGCTGCCTAGACCAGCTGGAGTCCCTCAAGTCGATGCCGGATGCCATCTCGGGATACTCGGCCGCCCTGGCTGCACTCCTCGGGTCTGCGCGCCACACGCCGCTGGGGCTGCCCCACAACAAGGGAAAAGTGAGCGGAATTTTAACGCCGAATGCGTTTTAGGGCTGGATTGGAAGCCCAGAGCAGTGGTTTTCGAAATTTCGGCCATTACGGACCCCACTGACCCAGTCGGAGGCTGTTCGAAAATTCCCAATGCATTCTGCATCAGAGGTCTTGCGCAATGCCATAGAAGGGCTTTTTTTTAGAGCGTTCTTTTGTATTTAGCGTGGACGCACCTCCGTGAACACTCTTGAGGACCCCTGTGGGTCTGCGGACCACAGTATGAGAACCACTGGCCTAGAGCGTCACGAAGCATTGTAACAAATATTTAAGCATGTATTGATCATATTTGATGAGCTGTATTAAAGCTTGACATGGCGGGTGTAACAGCTTCAAAAAACGAGGACGATAAAAGGAACGGACACAACAGGACAACAGCCGTAGAACAAGGTTACTGGTGACAGAAGAAGAGCCCGATGTGGAATAAATAAACTGCAGCACGGTGTTGAAGCGGGCGAGTTGGTGAAAGTTTGACAGGGTGCGTGTCTGTTTCTTATATGGTTCTCGTTTTTTCAAGCTGTTACACCCTCCATGTCAATCTTTTACCAACTCGCCCAGTTCAACACCTTGTTGTATTTGAGCTCTGCATGATCTCAGGAGCTCTGCCTGAGTCTGGGCCCCGGCCCAGGCCCAATACGTGCTTTATCTTCCAGTGTCGAGGCATCTTTAGACAGGTTGGACCGGCGAGAACAGTGTGATGCTATACCATGTGACTGCTCATCTCATTGACATCACGCATCGCATAAGAGCCACATTGTCACGAATGACAAATGATGACATGGCAAATTAACTGGAGAAACTAAACGTTTAATGAGGGGAATTCGTGGCTGAAACATAATAGAAGGTTAGCGTAGCATGCGTCGATTTGGGTGGAACAGCAGGATTGACCGCTGGGGCGAGACTGACTCCGGCTCGCCACGCCGAGTCCCTTATGTACACGCGTCGGTTTCTGGAACAATCGGCGTAGAAGGTTCGGCACGTAGAACATTCTAACCTCGAATAAGCAGCAGGTTTTTCGAATTTACCAGTATGTGACATTTACAGAAACAACAAAAAGACGTATGCACGGCCAGGCATCGAACCTCGGCTCTTTGCGTGGGAGCCCAGCACAATAACCATTCGTCCAAGGGCACACTGCCTACTTGGCTAGCTGGCCACGCGGCAATATGAGGTAGTATGGTGCACAAAGAAAAAAATATCGCGAACCACAGACGAAGTATGGTTCGTGCGGGACACATTTTCTGCTCCCTGGTCTTCGTCAGCATGATCGAGCTTTGTAATTTTTTTTTTATATGTATCTTTTTATTTGAGTTTTAAATAGTGAATGAAAGTCTTCTTTTTATGTATTCCTGATAGCAAATTTTGTCGTTTTGCGTCCTACACATGCAGGCCCTATTGAAAAGGCTAGCAGTATGGTCTAAATAAAGAAGTAAATAAATAAATATAGTAAGCAATGAGCCTCGATTGTGCTCCCAGATGATCTTCAACCTCGCCGAGGACCTGCTGCGGAGTGCGTCGCAGAACAGTCGCCTGTCCCTGCAACGTACGCAGGCCGGCTGGCTTATGATGGGGGCCGTCATGACTCTCGGTGAGCTGGCAGCTGCAACTGCTCATTCAGCTTTCCCAATGTCTTGGAAGTGCTTGACTGTGGAAAGAAGGGCAGACCGACAAATGTCCTGGCGAACTGCCGTTTAGTTAGTTCCTTTTATTGTCTCCGTACAAGGTTAGAATTTCTGAGGATCGGAACTATAGGATCCTTTTTACGACCGTTTTCATGGCCTTTTATTTTAGTTTGTTAGCGTGTCTGGAGGTCTGGTCGGTTAAGGAAGCGATGGTCATGTGCGAATTGTGGATGCTGAGCTCGAAGTGAACTCGAAGCAGGTAGTGGTTTTGGCCGAATATTTTAGAGTCGAATGTTGAACAGTTTCTCCAAGCCTTTCGCTGCTGTTGCACCATGCTTAAACAAAAACCCAGCAAAACTCTTGAAGGTTGTTCCCAAGCTTCCACTTGTTCACGTAAAGCTAATTTTTTATCCAACTAAATTTATTGACTGTGACCTCAGAAATTTTGATGTCTTGGAAGGTCAAGTAAATGATGGACTTGATATAAAATTATACATTAGAGATGCCCAGCTATACCTAATTGAGTGGATTTGCAAATCTTGCTCTGTGCAAATATTCTTTCTTTAATGTTCAATATAAGAAAGAAAAGAATCACAAATGATGAATGCATGTTGTCAGGGCAGACCTGCCTAACATATACTCTTGCATAACTACCACAGTTTAATTTTTAAAATATTACTTCGATGCAGATATAAAATTCACAAAGTTTATGTTTCTTTTTTTTTTCTTTTTTTTAAAACACCTTTCAAAGCGTGGACTATTCCACTTTGAAAGTGTGCTTTTCTCCCAAGCACGCGGTAGACCCCATTCATTATTAGCACCATCTCTCGGCGACCATGTGCGCTTCCGTGCCATCTTTCGAAACTTCCCCACCGTCCCGGCTCCGCCTGCTTAGCGTTCTGTGCGCTACGTCTTGTGGCGTTGCTTTTTCGGGTGGGTTAGTGGCGTCAGTATTTCAGAATGCACCTTACATTAGCAACAGTTGCGTTGCTTGCTTTCAGAATGACCGCAACGATGCCAATGACATAGTCACCGGGATAACTGCCGCACAGAACGTGACAAGCAATGTAAGAAGTCGTGAGACGATCATGAGCCGCAGCTGCCCCGGTGTCTTTGTTGCTGCTCTCGTTTTGGCGACTTTAGAGGCGGCCGATACAAACACGTGACCCAGCCTTTAACACAGTAACGTGGACTGCCACATATCAAGAACATTTGACTGAGCTCACAGTAGATGCAGGCGGCGTGCTGAGCTGTATATAGAGAGTGTTTGGTCAATGGAAGGAGCCGGCGGAAGTCGGGGCGGAGCGGCAAAAGCAACGGCGCCAACAGCGCCGCATATTCTCTCGTGATGATCCTGCGAAGTAAAAACATCCAAGATGACCTTAAAAGAGGCGCATACCGCGGCGCAGGTATTTTTTGTTTCTGGTTGAGGCTGAAAGTACATGAATGTATAATTGTAAGAGATTGATGGAAATAGGGTGTTTCAAGGTGCCGAGTGCGTTTACTGAGCCAGAAGAGGTGACTTCGACGAGAAAAGTTTCCTGACACATGAGGCGAAACTGCAAAACTCCCACGGAGCCGAGTCCGTGGTTTTTACCGTTCACTTTGTCGTGGCCGCGGCTGTGACTGCAATCAAAAGAAAGATAAAGTGCATTTTGAATGTCGCCGTGATGATAACGTCACATGCCTTGCCCTTTCAGTGACGAAGAGTCGCAAATTTCAATTCTAGCATGCTGAAATTAAATACTTAAATGCATCTTTACACCGAAATTGTGACTGGATAAACTAAGCTCATTGCCTCTTCTAGGAAAATACTTGTGGCTGGTGATTAGTCACAAGTGCCGTCAATCAATGAGCTCAAGGTCATTGAAACAATTTCAGCCAATGGCGTGCCCTTATTGTCGCCCTATTCTTACCAATTAATGACCGAACCCTCTATGTGTGCGGCTCTGGCGGCATGGGCCCTGTCAATTTGACACTTTGAGAGTCCAAGTAAAACGCTATGATTATTTCAAGATTTGTTCTAAGAATTCAAATTGAAAGGAAAAACAATGCAATTCATGAATTTACTTTGGTTTATTCGTTATTTTCCTGTTGGTTGCTCAGCAAGACACAGCATTAGTGCGGCATGACTTTCATCCTCTAGCAGCGCTCTACCCTCAGCCTCAAACATGGGTCGCCATGTTTGAGGCTGCTGAGGGAGGTTGGCACAACATACAACAGATGGAGCTCGAATTTGAATAAGATATATTGTAATACTCATACTTCTCCGAATGGTGATTGCATAAGGTTACCTCAAAAAAGTGTGCTTCTCACCGAGCACCGGTGCACTGTGAGGAAGCAACACACAACGAGCTCTCTTTTGCTGGTGTTGCTTCCCCACAGCGCACCCGTGCTCTGTGAGAAGCGCACCCAATGGGGTTAACCCGCTGCGATCAACACCCGGAAAAGTATGAATATCGCCAATAAGTGAACAAACTGTCTCTTTTTGTCACAAACTAATAAATGAATGTGTTCATTCGTGTTGCAAAGCAAAGAGTGAATAAGTGCATCGTTCATTCTTGTCACGAAGGAAAAAGTGAACATCTGTGTGCACTCTCTTCTCGAGATGTTCCTTACACAAGACGTGCCAAACGGTTCCAGGGCCTCCCGTGGTGAGGAGCCTCCTGCCGCGGATGCTGCTGCTGTGGAAGAACTCCTTCCCGCGTTCCACCAAAGAGCTTGAATCCGAGAAAGTTCGAGGGGACGCGTTCACCTGGCAGGTGACCCTCGAAGGGCGATCGGGAGCGCTCAGCTGTGAGTCCACACCGCCTCTTTTGCTTTGACTTATTTCTCTCTTTCCACTCTTTTTCTTTCATCTACAAAAGTCACCTTGCTCAAACATTTTTTGCAGGATTTACTTGGAGGTGTTCTGAAACGATTTAGATCTAACTTGATGGCCGAAACAAATGGCGGATACAACGGTGCCTCGAAAGTACTTTCCAGCTGATGTGTTTAGTGTTGTATTGGCGACACGATCCAACCGTTGTGCCCCTAGTGGCTTAGTTGAGAACTAAACCCTCGGGGAACAACAACGGCGTAAATTATTTGTTTGTGTTTCTGACGGAACGCTCTGCTGACGTAGCCGAATGCTGCGTCATCGTTTTGCTGGGACTCATGCTCCATCATTGAAACACCATTTGAACGCGAGTCTCAGCAGAACGCTGACCTCATGTCCGACCTTTGCTTTGTGCTCGATCGAGAAAAACTACGTAAAAAATCCAGCTTACTTGCCTTGTGTTGGGGTACCCCCGAGCTCCATGGAAAGCAAAATTTAAACTTGTCTCGATCTCTCTCTCGAATCCGGAGATCACGGGAGCGTCTCATGTGTGCAGCGCATCCAACCCCGCGACCAAGCATAGCAAATTATAACGCGCACATAATACATGCACTACACATTCCATGCTCTTCGGGTTCATCGGAATGATTGAGCCGAGTTTAAACTTTTTAACACAGAATGTGTTTATGGGTTGGATTTCATGGAAAAGCGTAATGCTCGAGTGTGACGAAAAGCGTTGCACACTTGGCCAAGACAGCGTAAAGGATGCATAGTCCGCAGCAGGCAATGCATAAATGACGGAGCACATTGGAGGCCTAGTCAGTCGTCATAATTCATACATAAATATACCGAAGAAGAAACAATTGTAAACCGGAAAGATTGACCAAGGAGCCCAGGAGGAGTCGAACCTCAGACATTGCAATCCACAGTCCGACATTTTTGCTTGCTGCCACAAGCTGGAGACGAACTAGAGGGCAAGGAACTGGACTAAGCGTGACTTGCCGCAGGTGGTCGCCTTCGGTAGCACGCAACTGTCCGCGGCGAGTGCTACTCAGTCCAGCATATTTGATTCTGCATACTCTGCATACTTAGTCTGCAGGCAACCATCAGAGGCAAGTTATATACCCAGTCCAGCGCACTTAATGCGGAGGCTACAGTCGCCGGCAGTTATACTTAGTCCAGTAGGCTTAGTCTGCGGGGGGACCGTCGGCCGCAAGCCCTGCTTAGTTCAGAATACTTGGTTCAAGGGCCACTGTCAGCAGCAAGTCATACTTATTCGAGCATACTTAGTCTGCAGGCAACCATGGACGGCGATTCACACTTAGTCCAGCGTACTTAGGTAGTCTGTAGATGACGGTCGTTGGCGATCTATATTTAGTCCATCATACTTAGTCAGCAGGCGACCGTCGCCGGTACTTTATACTTAGTCCATTATGCTTAGTCTGCAGGCAGTCGGCAGCGGTGAGTCATATTTAGTCCAGTGTACTGAGTTTGCGACAGTTGGCGGCAAGTCACACTTGGTTCATCGTAATTAGTCCGCAGGCGATTCTCGGGGGCGAGTCATACTGAGTTCGACCTAATTATATATCTTGTCACAGCCGGCGCTATGATGTCGCGGAGTCAGTCAAGCGGTGCAAAAAGTGCATAATCATGGTGCTCGTATATTGATGGGTTTGCCATCTCCGGTCAAACCAAACACGCGAGAAAAAAAAGGCCGGGTTCGCGGTGCTTCATTGTGCGCAGTTGGTTCAGTCGGTGACGGCAGACCAACAAAGACGATCAGCACCGTGACGATGCACTTTTCTGACTGCTCGATTTGCCCCTCCAAATTGTAGTGTCGACTGCGGTCAGACTTAAAGGGAAACGGAACATAGTTTGTCTGCAGGTGGCCGTCGGCGCGCACAGCCGGTTCCCGACGCTCTCCACGTGGACTCGCGACATCGCTAGACGAATCGTAATGTACCAAAGGATAGCGCAGCGGGTGTACGTCGGAACTTCGGGCAAAATTCAATTGATATTGTAAAAGGTGCTGCAAAAACCTCTTCTTTTCACGATTAACTTCAATTGCCACGAGGGGCTCCTAAAAATTCAAGAGTACTGAGAATTCAGCACGTGCCCAGCGAAGAAGCGGAAACCATGGGAAACTCATAAAACATGGCCGTGACACAGTCTACTCCCAAATAAATCTAAACTTATATATATTGAGGTATTTAGCACACGATGTTGAGAGATGGAGAACAGGAGAGAAAGGATCGCCACTCGTTACAACTATGTTTAATGACAGGAAAAGAAAGAGAAAGAAAAAGACAGAATGATCTGATCGTTCTGAAAAACCCGGAAATCATGGGAGTATGTTGTGTGTGCAGCGAGTCCGAAACCACCCAAAGCTTTCGCAACCGAACATAGCGAATCATAATGCACGCATAATACACGCACAAAACATTCCGTGCTCCCCAGTTTCTTAAAATATTTGAGGCAAACTTTAATTTTTTTGTTCTTCCTCCCAGCTATGGCAAGCTTCCTGAAACACTGCAAAGAGCTGGCCTCGGATGAGATAGTTAGGAGAATTTTGTCACCCGTGGAGTCTGCACTGCTCATGCTGTCCGGGTAAGTGGCAGCTTGTGTCTCGTTTGATTTGATTTGTGTCGCTGCCAAAGCGACACAGAAAGATGTTAACAGTCTCCCACATACATTAGACATTGTAGGTAGGTGTTTGTGGGTAGCTTTGGATCTTTTTTATGCTCTAATCTGCTTGTTGCCACCAGTCGTGCCTCATTACAGGATTTCCAAGAGTAGCTGCATTCGATTTACCTGCTCCTTTTGCACCGGTGCAGAAAAGTGCAAGGCAATGTACTTCCGGTCGTATCTTAATACTGTCACGAATGATGAAGTGACGAACCTTTTAATGGGCCGAACTTGTACCCAAAACAAAATATAAAAAGGTTAGCGTCGCGGGCGTCGATGTCGGCGAAACAGCAGGATCGAGCGCTGGGGCGAAACTTGACTCCGGACCACCACACGGAGCACTTTTTGTGCCTGCGTGGGTTTCTGGAACATTCGGCGTGTAGAACATTCGTAACTCAATCAGACGACTAGGTTCTTGAACTTACGAGAATGTCAAGTTGAAAGAATAAATAGAAGAACAGTCCGCTCACTAAAAACCAAACCCGGAGCCTCCGTATGATAGCCAAGTGCGGTAACCATTCGACCACGCGCTCGCTCGGCAATGCGCGCGGCAATACACATCCTGGAAGTACACTGCCCTACGCTTTTCTGAACCGGTGCAAGAGGCGCAGGTATTAAATCGATTGAAGCTACTACTAATGAATAGGTTAGATGCTACATTGCCAAGGTTTAAGCTGAGCTGAAAAGCCCATCGCATCTTTGTTTTCTTCGTGAAACATGCATTTACTATTTAAAATTAACAGTAGCAAAGCGAAACATGCTTTGAGAAAAGTTTGTGTTAACCTGGTGCAAGAATAGAGTTAAGTCTAGAATAAGAAGAATTTTTATTTTTCCACAGCGGTGCCCCTTCCCGGCAAAAAATGCTCATGCGCAAACACAAAACCCCACTCTAGAGCCGAGGCACCTCTCTCCCTCTCCTTATCGTTCCCCATGCACAGCCAAGCTCTCTCATTCCCCCCCCCCCCCCCCCATTCCCTTGCGAAATACCCATGTTGATGCACTGTGTGGACACGGCCCCTCGCCTCCCCGCTGCTGCCGCCCAAAGTATGTTAGCGAGCTGTTCTGTGAAGGCGTTCCGCAACTTTACAGAACAGTTTGTGTACATACTTTCGCTTCTTCCACCCCAGCCGTCGTCACAGGCACCCCCATCCTGAAAAAGTGTTTCAGCAAAAAAACGAAAAGCATGTCTCTTTGTCCTCCTCTAACACATGCAACGTCTGGTGCAATTGTTCCACCAAAGCAGACATCTCCTCACACACGTCTCCTACATCAATTCCACTAAAAGCAAAGAACCCATTGCAAACATTGTAAAGCACACTGGCTGAAGGCACATCTTCAACATGCCTTTCCACAATGCAGCAGCTACCGTCGTCATCTGCAACACACTTTATGTGGTCGTTTGCAATTTTCGCTTGCAGCTAACATTGCCCACTTCCCGTCAGTTGCAGGTTTTTCTTGACAAAAATACAGCTGCAAAGATTGTTTCCCTTTTACCACAGAATATGATATAGGACTGGATGTCATGAGAAGAGCAACACCCTCCGCTCGAGCTGAACACTCATCATTTAAGCAAAATAGACCCTATGAGGCTACATTGCTTACATGACCTTGACAACAGGGTGTCGCACGACGCCAACTTGGCACATGACATTGCAACTTCACGTGACATCCCTCACACACACAGCATGTGCCCACTCATTCGCAACACATTCCTTGTGTACTTGAGTTTTATCAAACATGACTGAGACAGGTGTGGAGGCTGGTGGCTCTCGAAACTTGGGTCGAAGTCGGACAGAAACATGACGTGGCGTATTTGTTGCGTAGGATTGGACTGACCATCAAGTCGTACGGCCAGCACCTGAAAGCCAGCGCAGCCATGGTGAGGCTGCGCCTGTACGAGACCATGTCTCTCCTGCCGCCGCAGTCCTACGAGAGTAAGTGTACCTTGGGTTGCTCACGACGTGTAGAGTACCTCATACTTACGCCGTTTGCACAACGTCGATCCCACAATCTGATGAAGGCTCGTCAAGGTGAAAGTGCCGTGTTGCCAAGATTCCAGCGATGATCTAAAGGTCTCCAGGTGCTCTGTGCTTTGCTGGGCTCTGCCAGATGCCTTTTGTTGGGTCGACATCTAAGACCCCTATCTCTTGCTGCGTCAATGAGGTAGAGGCCACTCTCTAAAGTGGAGGATTAGTGGCCGAGTGCGTCGACGCATCACACCCCGGAGCGCATGCAGCGAAAGCTTGCACGGCGGAACCTAGGGTTTCTGGGCTTGGTCACCACCCCTCTTTGCTTGGATCTGGAAGAGCATCAAACTGGCGTGCAGTAGTGTATCACTGCTGCGGGGTGCATGTCAAAGACCTCAGGCTAGCAGCAGTATAGCACTGGCAAAACTTCTCATCCGCGGCGGAGACACCAGACGCCGGCTTGGGCCAACCAACTTCCCGCCGCCTAAACAAACACGCAATGCAATTACTTTTACTCTCTAAAGTTAGGATCAAATAAAATATGGTCACAGAAAATAATAAAATATGGTCACAATTAGCCCAAACAGCAAGTGCAGAAAGTCTGCCAAAGTTTTACGCAATTACTTTTACTCTCTGAAGTTAGAATGAAATAATTATGGTCACCGAGGACAGAAACATAGTAGCTCAGTTAGCCCGAACAGCGAGGAAAGTCTGCCAGAGTTTTAACCTCATTTTGGGGCAGTTGACCGGTTGTTTTCCACCTTCCAGTCTGTAAGTTATTGCGACGCTTTTCGCTTCTTTTTTGCACACGACAGGCAGTTACAACAACCTGCTGCGGCTGCTGGTAGCCGAGTTCACGCTCACGGAGAACCAAGCCAACACCACCACCTCTCTGCTCCGCAGCCTGTGCCACTCCGATGACAGCGTCATCCTCGGCTCGTGGCTACAGGAGACGGACCACAAAGCCATAGAAGATCAGGTGTGCTTTTGTCACGGCTCCGGAATGTTTCTTGCTTCCCCTGTTTGGCAACTTCGTTTTTTTTTCGGAGTCGCTATGGTCACTGGCAGGATGAGTATGCCAGGGCATTCTTTTTTGGGCACTCTGCCTCTAGCACGCGCTCCTTGCTTTCCGCAACAAGCGCACAAGGTGCGCACGCTCACAAGATGTCAAATTGTTATCGAAGCTAGGAACTAGGAAGCTTGTACTGGAGGCAGGATGACTTAAAGTCGTCCCTGTTGTTCTTGCCTCTTCAATGGCTATAGACGCTTTACACATGCGCCAAATTACAGCAGCCATTAATGACCTTCAGTTGTCTTTCCCAGATGCCAAGCAACTAAAGCGGGTGTTGACGAGCCTCCACAAAAGTCATTGCTGTGGAGAAAGACACAGCAGAACCTAAAAGGGCAATAACCTGCCCTGCTGTGTTAATGATCAAGTGAAGTAATTGTAATAAAAGGTAACAAAAACTGAAGGTCACTTATGGCGGCACCCATGCACAGCTGCTGCAAAGCATCTATAGAGACGTAGTAGACATTTCGGTACTTTATTGCAAATAGGACGCCTCCGCCCATCATTGCCTTTACTCATATAAGCTGATGTCATGCACCAGAAATGAACGTCAAGAGGAATGTGAGTACGTGCACATCTGAAAGTGGCGATAGTTTGAGGACGTCACGCGATGAACTTAATCTCTAAGGGAGGTGTGCCTATAGGGTGTGAAACAGCTAACGTTCACATGCTATTGCCATTTTTTCTCATGTTTATTTACCAACTGGAGCACTACCATCTGGAAAATCAACTTAGGGGGTCAGATTTCGTGCACAACAATATAACCTGTTTTAGCGAAAGGCAAAGACGAGACAGGTGTCGTACAGCGAACAGCATCTTTCTTGTTGCCAAACTGTTTGCTGACGTGGGTTACTGTAATGTTTTGTGACTTTGTAAGTGTTGTCTTTTAGTTGCTTCTTGGGTCATGTCTACCGCAGAAGCGAAACATTTTAAACTACTAGATCTTTGACAAATTCTCGCATTGTGGTTCGAAGAAATAATTGCACGACACAAAAGAAACAGCAATAGACCAACCTTCTTTAAAATTTTCAGAATCTCTATGCCAATGTCATACCCAATGACCCCGTAAGTAAAAGCAGCATACAAATGGCTCGTATCCTTGTAGTTAACGAGTTTCAGGCAAGGCTTATAAAAGCAGGGGCAAAACCATAATGTGAACACCTTCAAAATTAAAGTAGGGTTTAAAGTGCAGATGAGCTACCTCGTGGGCCCACTCACGTCACATTTTAACCGTTCGTCAGGCCGCATACTAGGATTCAGTTAAAGTTGTCTCTTATCTGGTTCACCAAGGGAAACAATCTAAAAAAAAAAGTATTGATTTTGAAAAAATTTACATTTACAACCACCAACGTCTAGAGAGTTTTTCCAAGAAGTTTAATTTGTTTACACTGCATAGTTATTTTATTTAAAAATAATTTTGGGTTCACCGATGCTAAAAAAAATGAGAGGTTTTAGCACTTCGAACATGATTTTTTCCTTTCCCCTTTTTGGCATAAATTTCACTTTACGAAAACTGTCGTTTGGTAACGGCACGAAAGGAAAGGCTTGCTCATTGTTTTTCCTAGCTGAAATTTAATGGGCAGTGCAACTGTGACATGTGGAACATAACAGCACACAAAGGACGAGTACAAAGGAAAGAACACAACACACAGGCGCTGTTCCTTTCCTCTGCCCTTGTCCTTTGTGCACTGTTATGTTCCACATGTCTTCATACCAACTAGCCCAGCTCGCCACTCTTCTTCAACTGTGACACAGTTTTTTTCTTTGTGGATGTCTTTTATAAAAGATGTCAAGATTTTGCCGACAACATAAGAGGCAAAAAATGTATTCAATTTGTCAGTGCAGTTTTAGCATAAAATAAGTTACTTTTGGGAAATTTTGTTTTCACAATTGCACTCTCCAGGCATTCTGCTGTAGATCTAGTGAAGAAAAATGTTGGGTATTACATTAGTTTTCTAACGATAGTTTTCCTAAACAATATCAGTGTGTTCTTGATAAAAACGACTCTAATTCTTCTTACAATTCACGTTCACAGGTGAAACTTTGCATCGCATTCTGCCTTGCGGCTGCCAGTATATACTGTAAATTTCATTCATATGAAGCTAAAGGTTCAAAAGTTGACCTTTTTGGGTAGTGTCCTCCCTTCAGCCCTTGATCTTATTATCTCGGTACATCTTCTCGGCTGGTGTGGCAGACTCAGGTCGGCATATTTGACTAGAAATTTTGATAAAAAGTTGGAGTGCTATATTTATCTTCTTAAAGGGGCCCTGCAAGCACGTTTTTACTAATTTTTAATTTGTACCAAACCTGAGCGCACTGAACGTAGTAACTTAGTGTAACTTTTATTTTCTTGAAATTCGCTTTATTTTAAAAGTTATAGGCAAATCAAAATTACAAAAACAAGCAAAAAATAACCTCCCTCATGACGTCCTTGGTTGCTTGAGCGGCCGTGAACTAGAGGAGGGGTAGTGAGCTCATCGCGAGCACTCACGGCTACCGCACTCCGTGTCGACGGCGCGAGAGGGCGCCACTAAAGCGTGTTCTGGACAGGCTATATGCAGCGGGCAGCCAGAGCGGCTCTCATTGCATTTGCTGCATGATTAAACACTAATTCAGCATGACACTTCATTGGCTGCAAACGACAGCAAACATGGGGTAAAGATCAGTTCAGAGTGGGAGCCACTTCGCGCTGCCATACCGCGAAACGGCCAAACCTCAAGACAAGCATCTTGCCGAAGGCCTTCGGAAGGCTCGGAGCCGGTCGGATCCTCCTGCCCATACGACCGCAGCGCTGCCGCGTACAACCGGGATTTTTCCGTGTCGGCGCCTGATCCCACTACTTCTTTCTAGTATGCGCCGCCTTTTCCACCGCTTGGTGGCAGGTATGTCGACCGGTCATTTCTTGTTTCCGTACTTTATAAACTGCATTTGTTTCTTTTCTGTTCTAAAATAGTGAACAAAAACTACTTTTATAAGTAATTGAAACGGTTCGCGCCACTTATATTTTGTATTTCGACTAAAAAGAAGCTTTTAGCGGCTCTGACCAGTAGTAAGCCAAGGACCAAAGACGTCACATTTTGCGCGCTTTCGGTACCGCGGGTCGCCCTCGTCGGTGGAGGAGGTTTCCGCGTCGTCCGGTTAAAATATGACGCACTGATAATTAGTTACTTTCTCCGTGCCCGCTGGCTTGCCCGAACCCCAAGAGACGTGGAAACCGCAAAAAAGGTAGACGCTTAAATATGATTGCAGGGCCCCTTTAAAGGCCAGTTCACACATTAATGGTGTTTGAGTGTTATCGACTGCATCGCAATCTCTCATAACCACTTACGATGGAAAAACCACATTGGCACGGCGGCGATCTATCGGGTAGGTCGGGAATACTTTGGATCTGCATGTAACTAGATCAAAGGTTTTGGAATGTTTGCGAGATCAAATCTATGCACAGTCTGTGAGAAATTTAACACCTATAACATTGCCAGCATCGGTCAGCTGACAAAAGATTGTAACGCTCACCTTTTCCTGAATGCCTAACGAGATGCAGAGTGCCCAAAAAAACGCTAACGTGTTAGCAGAGCTAGAGGGAAAGGGAATCTCAACGGCGTCCCAACTTTTTAGATGGAGCCCCACAGGAAGTCGGACAAGGCCTTTGTGAGTATTGGTTGCACTTGAGCGGGCCTTAAGCTTGCCCGCCCCCCCAGCTTGCGCCTGTTAGATGACGTGGCACGTGTTCTCTCGTCGTCTGCTAAGCACGTGCAGGCGGCCATTGCTGTCGGAAGCATGATCCATGTGCCGGCATGTTGCTGCTAGAGGACCCGACTGTTTTTTGTTTTGTGCTACTTTGCACGAAACATTGTTCGAAACATATGTTATTTGCTTACTTAGAGTGCTCGTATGCGCGTGCTACATAGTGGCTTTGCTACTGTCCCTACCATGTTCTGATTATGGTAGAACCCGCTCTAAAATGAGAATCTAGCAAATGCTGCAGTTTCACTTCTGTTCGGAACAAACAGTTCAAACAGTGGCCATTTTGAGAAGGCGATGCTAGCAACTATTGTTTTTTTTTGAGAGATTAATTGTTGGAAGGCAAAAACGTACTTGGGTAATTCTATCTGTTGTAGCTCATACTACTTGTGATAAAAAGAAAAAAAAAACAGATTTCCTGCTTGACTATCAAAAGTTGAGATATGCAACCATTTTTACTTGCAAGTTTCTTGCAAGTTTCTTGCCTGTGTTATTTAGCCATCAGTACTATCGTAGTTCATCCTTACCTAATAAAGTTGTTAGTGAACTTTTTTTGTGCTAATTGTTACATTCTTGTTTTTGTTAGAAATAGCAAGTTGCCTTCTTGAAATGGCTGCAATACAGTAAGAGCCTTGAGGATTTCTATGTCTTGCAGTGGCATATTACAAGCCATTTCCTAGGTCATTTTTGTCTGTATTGCTGCTATGATTGAGATTCCAAAGATGCTACGGTTTGTCCTCATATTGGTTCGTGCTGAAATTGTCTTTAATGCATACAATGTTGATTTTGCACCTTGCTGTTTTTTTTTACTATGTTGACGTACGGTTTAGACTTCCTTTGGTTTATGTTATTGTTTCTCGTTGCAGTTGCAGCCAAATAGTGCTTCGGGCTCGGGGGCATTGGAGCATGACACCACTGCACTGTATAGATCGCTTAACAAGGTACACAAGCACTCTGTTTAAAAAAAACAAAAAGCAAAAAGAAAAAAAGTCAAATATTGGTGCTACGGTGCAAGTGGTATTCATCAAGGCACATTTAATTTCAGGTTGCTTTCTTTTCTGCACAGCTGAACTTAAAAACCTTCCATGAGAACTGTATGGGTAGGAACCGAGGAAGAGGAAAGGATGTGAATGAGAGGCTAAGTCAGAGCTCCGAGCTCTGGTTGGAATGATTAGCGGATAGACGCAAAGTTAGCTTTGTCTCTGTCTTTACTCGCCGTTTGAACGCGTTCAAACTTAAATGTGAATATTTTGGCAGAACTCCATCTGGTTAGGTAAGTAATAGGAGATTGTACTTAGTAGACTCTAAACGTTCAAACTCCAGTATTTGCGTTCGAAGAGCGAGTAAAGTCAAAGGGAGCTAGCTTTGCGTCTATCCACTAATCATTCCAACCAGAACTCTGAGCTCTGGCTTCCTCTCTCACTCTCATCGCCTCCTCTCCCTCAGTTTCTACCCATGCAGGAGTATCTTACAGCATCTCACAAAAGAAAATACAGACTTCAGGACATGTTTCTAACTTCAAGGCCGGTTTACGCACTCGCATTTGAGTGTGACTGAGCGAATTGTGCTGTGGCCCGCTTGCGGCCGCTCACGACCAGTGTTGGGAAGTACAGTGCAATCCACTTATAACGATACCACATATAACAATGTTTCGCTTATAACGATCAGTTTTTAAACTAAAAAAGATTAGTTTCAGGTTTTGCACATTATCATTTTATGTGAACTGCACGGTACTTTAAGTACATTGCACTTAAAGTGCTACTTCAAGTAGGTTTAAAAAACTTGTACTTTACTTGAAGTACATTCTCTGAGTGTGTACTTCAAGTATTTTTTTCTGGTACTTTCTGGGGAAAGTACAACTCCCGACTTCGAAGTACATTCCCCAAATTTGAAAACAAAAAAATAGCATATCGTAAAATCCAGAGAGATGCCCCACCCCCGAAAGATAGCCCACTCCTAGTAATAGTAGTGTTGGGATCAATGATGACCTCAGCATAAATGCGGCCACTTAGCTATTGCGGGAAGTACAGTCACCTTTGCTTCGTTGCCCCTCGCCACCGTAACAGGCTTGAAGGGACACGACCTAAAAATAGCAATTTTTTAAAACTTTTCTTGATCCTACATCGAAAGACAGTCCATTGCATATTTTGAGCCGATTTGCTCTTGATGTTAGGTGGGCTATCTCTCTGGATTTTACGGTGTTGTCATAAGAAAACATGCTATCGGCTTCTGAGACGTCATCTCGTCATTTCTCCGAGTGAAGTAATGGCGGCTATAAGACCAATACACGTAAGTGCCTTATAAGTTGACTTCGTCAGTGAGAGTGAAACATCTACTCTGTGGCAACCTGACTTTATTCAATATTCACCGCCATTTCAGAAAGTAACTGGTGCACCCCCATTACCCCTGGGACAGTGCACACCAATTCGAAAAAAAATGAGACGTTTACGAATCTCCGCAACGTGAAATTAGAGCGCAGCTCTTGAGGAGGAGGAAGAGGGGAGGGTATGTCCTTCTCCTCCTCCTTCCATCTTCCTCCTCTTTCCGTCCTCCTCCTCTCTCCCACCCCTCCTCCTTTCTTACTGCTCCTTCTCTCCCCTCCTCCTCCTCTTCCTTTCCTCTTCCTCCTCCCCACGTGACGTCAATTTTCCCGCTAAATCACGCGGAGAAGCTGAATTTGTTCGTAGGTGACGTGACACCAGTGTATGTGACTTCATTTTTCCCGCTAAATTTAGCGGGGAAGCTGAATTGGTGTTGATGTCACGTGACGTCAATTTTCCCGCTAAATTCGGCGGGGAACTGAATTGGTGTTGAGGTCACGTGACATCAATTTTCCCGCTAAATCTAGGGGAGAAACTGAATTTGTTCATAAGTGACGTGACGCCAAGTCATGTGACGTAATGTTCCCCGCCAAATTTAGTAGGGAATTGAGTTGCTGTTGAGAACACTCGAATCAATTTTCCCGCGAAATTTAGCGCGGTTACGGCGACGTCGAGGGCGACGCCGCTCAACCCGAAAACAAGCACCTTGCAGCTACGCTTTAAAAAAAAAACAACAACGCTGTATTAGGGAAATAAATGACATCATGAAAGATTGTGTTAAAAAGTACTTGTACTTTGCTTAAAAAGTACATTGTATTTATAGTACTTTAATTCAAGCATGTGGTGATTGGTGGACTTACTACTTGTCTTGAAGTACATAACCTCTCATTTACTTTGTACATTACTTCTAAATGCTTTTTAGATGTACTTTACCAACACTTCTCATGACGAGAGAGAATTCACCGCCGCCATCTGTCGGGTAGCCCTGGAAACACTTCCGATCTGCGTATAGCTAGACAAAAAAATTTGCAGTTTTTGTGAGATCAAATCTATGTGCTATCTATAAGAAATGATTGCTTATAACATTGTCACAGGTCTCTCACACCCTCTGTGAAAAAATGATGCGTCAAGCTTTCAGAATTAGGCTTACAGATTGGAAGTTTTTCAAGGCCACCTGGTAAGACGGTGACAGTGTGTCAGTGTTTTTGCTCGTCGCAGGCGAGCACCAGAGGGTGCAGCATGCTCTGTCACACTCATGTGCAAACGCGTGAACCAACCATAGCACTGTACATATAGTAACACAAAACTATGTTCACAAGAGTTAAGCCTGCCTCCATGTCATTCTGTGTTGTGAAGTGCCCTATTTATTTTTTTTTTCCCCAAGTTTTCTGAGTGTGTTAGATCTAGAGCTGTACTTCAGCTTTTTCATCAGCAGCTTGGAAAGCAGTTATAATTTAGTTAGCGGACTCCTGAAGCTTACTTCTTATAACGCTTAGTTGTGTGCACATAGCATGTGCTTGGGACTGAATTGAATATGAATTGAGTAAGTTATCCTGGCAGAAAGGCTTTAAAAGTTGAATCAAATATTGTAAAATGTAAAATCCAGACAAGGAGAGAAGATGCCATTCCTCTATGGGCTGAGAACTAAAGTTATACTTCAGTCCTTGGTCTACTGCAATATTTCACATGGAGTTGATATGGCAATACCAAGTCTGCAGTTAGCTTTTAAGTATTTTAGCAACTGAAAGGTGTGGGTGGAATTTTTATGAAACCTTCCTAATTGAAGGCAGGAAATTTTAATAAAATAACATATGTCCATCTGTAAAACAGTAACTGTGTTCCTATATTGCAAATAATTTGTGGCAAATGTATTAAAATCTATATGTATATTTTTTATTTGAATTGTCTTCCAACAGACGCCACTGACACGTGACCGGCGTATTGTTTAATAGCCATGACCGTTTTTATTTTTAAGGACGCATCAAAATTTTAGCTGGCAAAAAAGAAATTGATGTTTGTTTGTTTTTTTCAAAATATCCTTGCTGAGTAGCTTTATCTAATAACCTTTCAAATTATTTGGGACTTATGAATGCAGTTGTTTTATTTGAAACCTCAAATTGGATACAATGGTATTCAAGTTGATATATCCAGATACACCGCCATATTCAGATCAGCATCCTGTTACGGATTCATGTACTAAGCATTCACATCTGTCTTGGAAAAACTGCTTGTGTCTTTTGTGCGTCCCAAAGGTGCTTTAAATGTGTGGCATATATAGGCCCTCGATGACATCGTTCTGTCACCTAATGTCACATGACTACGACATCACAGTGTCGCATGTCATGGTGTCCTATGATACACTGTCGCATAAAAAATGATCTGACTGTAGGCTCGTTCGATTTACCCGCCTTTCTCGCGCCTGTGCAGAAAAGCGTAGGGCAGTATGCTTCCGGTACATGTATTTAGATATGACCGGAAGTACACCACCCTACACTCCTCTGCACCGGTGCAGGAGGCGCGGGTATATCGGGCGAGCCCACCGTGTCACTCCTACTCAGGGCTCGTCACCCTTTCTGGCGCCGGACTCGGACACCAACTGTCACGAACGCCGTGACGTCATTAGCATGACGTCACTAGCGTGATGTCACTGTCGAGACCACATCCCGGAGCGCAAACGCGAAATCCCTAAGAGCCAGCCCTGCGAACTCTGCACATTTAAAATCTGGCTCCTGATCGCCTGCCGCCCGGCCGTTACCTGACGCTCCGCACCGTGCAGGGCGACGCGTTGCCGGGACCGCTGCCCCTGGGAGTGGCCGTCATCGACATGTCGGTGGTCCTGTACGGTCTGGTCTTTCCCCACGTGGCGTTCAAGCACCGCCTCCAGATGCTGGACCACTTCTCCGAGTGCGTGCGACACAGCAAGGCGACGCGCCAGGAGGCAGTCCAGATCAACATCTTCACCGCACTGCTCAGTGCCCTCAAGGTAAGGCAGTTCCCGTTGCCCAGAACCGTTCTAGCCGATAGATATAAAAGGGGAATAGACTGAAAGCCCGAGACTAGAAACTACAAGGGACGACAAAACGCAGGAGTCCAAGACTCCGTCGTGTCGTCTCTCATTCTCCCTAGCTGAGGGGTTTTCGTCTGTCATGTGCACCCATCACCAGCTCGTCTGTGCCCCGACTTTCTGTGAATAAAAAATTTTATGGAAAATTGCTAGGCAATTGCGTTGGATATGTGAAACGTTCTTGCACCACAAACATTTAGCGATACTCTGAGTTGCCAGACGCCTACATTCACGACACTTTTCATCGGATAATTTAACGCGTGATGTGTCTACACTCAATAGCTGTTTCTAGAATGAAGCGATACCACCGCTAATCAGGCCGATAAACCTGGCGATCTTCCAGAGCCTTCCACACTCTTGACCTCCTCTCCCTCCGTGCACACGGGTGGTCGAGCTCCCCCTAGCCTGCCCCTCCGAGTTACATGACATCCCCGTTAAACAATCAGTGCCGAGCACCTCACTCCACCTCTCCCACCCGATAACGATAATAATCGGTGTCGAAACTTGCGGCCGCGCTTTTATCCAGCATTCACTTTTATCTGGGCTTCATAAAATGTTGAGCACCTAGCCAAAGAACGTTTCACATTAAAACGTGTGACAGGGTTTCAAGTTGCCGTCTGCCGGACGCAGAATGGATGCCCCTCGGGGCTTTCTTGTCAAATGCGCCTCAACTTATGGCGACATGTAGTGACATGCTGGAAAGTCACTCGCCTTATAAGCTAAGTGGTCTGGATTCGATTCCTGCCTGGCGCTTTTACTACGATAGCCTCCCCTCGGAAAGCCACGCTTTTATCCAGGCTTCACTTTTAGGCTTCACGAGACACCAAATACTTAGACAAAGAATGTTTCACATTAAAAAGTTTGTGTAAAGCAATATTGGGATTATTTCCAATATTTCCAATATTTTGGGCTTCACATGCTTTCATTTTAATTTTGGTTGCTTCAGCTTTACGTTCTGAAGTTGTAGTCATCTCCTGTTGCAGTTTTAAATATGATTGCATCTCTAGGGCCACCAGACCGCGAGATTGAAAATGTTTTTTCGTTGCGACTCAATAGCTGAATTTAGCAGGAAAACTTCATGTATACACCACATGATCATTTTCCCTGCTAAATTTAGTGGGGAAACCTCGTATATACACCAATTCGATTTTACTGCCAAATTTAGTGAGAAAACCGTGTGTACGTACACACCAAATCAATTTCCCTGCTAAATTTAAGGGGGAAACCTTTTTGTAAACGACAATTTAGTCTTCCCGCTAAATTTAGCAGGGAAACCTGATGCATACTTCAATTCAATTTCCCTTCCAAATTTAGCGAGGAAACCTCATGTAAACCCCACCTCAATTTGCCTGCTGAATTTATCGGAGAAACCTCGTGTAAACACCAATTAAATTTCCCTCCTAAACATAACAGTAAAACCTCATGTATTCACTGGTGATGAACCGAATCTGCTGAACTTTTGAAGGAACATTCGGCGCATGCCCAACTTTTGAAGGAACATTAGGCAAAGGTTTGACGAAAATTCGGCAAACGTCTGCGCACGCTCGAGAATGCGACGGGGCAATGCACTGCAAATGGACGCTATGCGGTTATGTAGTTACCATCGTACGGTGCAGTACTGCCAGTGGTTTCGGCGAGTTGCAGAGTAGGCGATATGGTAACTTTGGGTTTGTCAACCTTTGTGAGTGTGCTTCTCTTCAATATTTTCTGCATCAAGAACAGAAGATCGATCAGGAATTGACGCAGTCCACTCCGCAAGTGACAAATGATGCGGTACATTTTAGATGATGCAATCTTCATTTGGCCTTCATGAAGGCCACAAAGGCCTTGGTAATGTTCCTCACAAACACGGAATTATCAGACACTTCGTAGGGTGCTTAAAAATGCCTGTGAGATTTTGAATATTTGTACCATTGCTCGCCCTCATTGACAACTTCACCTTATCTTTCTTCCTCATCGTCATATCTTTTCTTCCCCCTCGCCCTTCTCCCCAGTACAGAGTAGCCAACCAGAACCTACGTTCAGGTTAACCTCTCTGTCCTTCCTCAACAAACCCTTCTCTCTCTCTCATTTGACCTTTCGAGTGATGCAACGAGGTAGTTGCAACATTGAGTGACAAGTACTTTAAAGCACTTTTTGCAGTTATAGCAATCCTGTTTTCGACCCACAAGTATAGTTTGTGCCAAACAAAATAATATTGCTCTTTACTTCGTGTTATTTTGCGGTTTTCATCTATCCGCATAAAACAAAACACAGAACTACTATCATGCTCGATGTTGCACATCCGGCGTTCCTAACTCTTCTCATCTTCCTAAACGTCCACGTGTGTCCTAACATCAGAAACCATCATTTTAAAAGTTAAAAACGAGATGTTGCAAATATGGGACGCACACTTTCATGCAAAGCTGGCGTCAAGTGACTCAAATCGAAAGAAAGTCCGAGTACGCCCAAGTACTTCTTGTTCCTTGATGACGCTTGCTAGCCAATGGAAGCCTATCCATCAGATTTCTGCTACAGACGACATTGGGACAGGGGAAGGGGCCGTTTTGCGCAGCTTCAAAGCTGATGACGTCGGTTCGCTCCATGAAACAGTTAATGCTTTTGCATTAAAACATTTATATTTACAATAATATTGTTATCTCTTCTAATGAAGGTTCAGCAGCCGTTGCATTTATTTTCGCACACGAAACGGTGACTTGCAGAGAAAGTAAAAATAGCACAGTGGTCTGCCTTTATTCTAACAATGTACACACACTTGCAGGCTTGTGCATGATGAGGCCTCAAAACCGAAACTTGCGTATCATGGCTGCGCTCGCTACTACCCAACCTTGTTGTCAGAACATTTCTGCAAAATGTCACTATAAAATTGCCAGTAAATACACAAGAATGACACCAATACAAATGCCTTGTAGAATACCACCTTATTGGTGTCAATATCATGCATTAAAAAGAAATCCTAAAGAACTTCTTTTTTTTTTTCGGCCATGAAAACGAAATATCAACTTATAAGTCTGGCAGCAATGTATATTTGCCGAATCTTTAAAAAAGTTCAGCAAAACTTCGGCTTTGTCGGATCGCAAGATTCGGCGCCGAATTTTCGATTCGGTAAAAGTTTAGCTCATCACCAGTGTTCACCAATTCAATTTTTCTGCCAAATTTAGCAGGAAAACCTTGTGTAAATGCCAATTCAGTTTCCCTGCTACACTTAGTAAGAAAGCGTTTCCTCATTAAATATGGCGGGAAAACCTCGATTTTTGTATAGTTGCCACACCGGTTCAATTTCCTCGCTAAATTTATCTGGAAAACTTGAATCGGTGTATAAACATACACCAATGCAAGTTAGGAAGAATTGTCGCGAACACAACACTGCACTGAGGCAGTCCGAGCTGGACAGTCTGGATTGGCGTTTGAAGAGGTGCAAAGAATCCCAAATGCTATCGCATTACATTTCTGGTAGCTGCCAGACGAGCTTTAGTAAAACCGGCGTCCTGGAAAGGACTCTGTCAAACAAGTGCCGTAGTTTGTTTTGGAGGAATTTACATCATATTTTTAAGATTCTTAAAGTACTCTTCACTCAATAAACTTTTTTATACATTGCCTAGAGTACAAATCACTTCATACTTTTTTTTTAAATCACCGGTTTCATGCTTTATACTTTTAATTATTATTTCTACCAGATTGTACCACTGTTATAGATGTTGCCCGGGATCAGATTTTATGTAAGGCGCTGCAATATTTACTTTGCTTCTACATTGCCCTCTTGTAACATGGTGGTTTCATCCCTCAACTCTGCCCAGGCCTTGGCCGAGACAAAGAATTCGTTGGGAGGCGAAGACGTCCGCAAGGCAGCTGTCGGTCTCATTCACGTGAGTGGGCTTTTCGGCAAACAGTTTGATGCAAATTATGTCCATTTCTTCCTCAAAATATAGTTTATACAAAGAGGCCACATAAGCTTGTCTGTTTCCTTTTTCAGGGAGCCCTGAGTCATCCGAATCCAATCCTGCGCTGCGCCGCAGGAGAGGCATTGGGGCGCATGGCACAGGTGGTGGGCGACGGCCGCTTTGTTGCCGAAATGGCCCAAGACAGCTTCGACAGGTTGGGACTTTGGATACCTCTGCGTTTTATTTGTTTGTTCATTTTTTTATTTATATAGCAATATTGCTCATTTTATGAGTAGACCCCAACAGGGGGTACACAATAACACAAATCTGCAAAGAATGACGACAGAGGCAGAAACATAATTTGAACAGTTGCAAAGGATAAATACCACCTAAACAGTTTAAGGAAGATGCAGAGCCAACGTATTCAACAACTCCAGCTGAACTGTTTCTCAAGGAGGCCTGTTCGTGGCAAGAGGAAAATTTTTAAACAATTGCCACAATACCTAACCGCAACCGTGGAGAATCTGTGCCTTTGTCTCGTGGAATAGAAAAATGCTAGCAGTTATCGCGATTAGTTTTGCAATGCCCACCGATAACTTTGATTGCAAACCGGTCGTCTAAATCTAGTGAGGATATTCAACCGTAAGATTGCAAACCGGTCGTCGTGGTTGCGCCCATAGTCGGCGACAGGTCAAAAAGCCTGTAGAAGCATCGCCTCCGGCGCAAGGTTTCTCCCTTTGAGAACACTTCAGCGCACATTCTACCAAAGCCCGGCAGAAGGCAGTGAGCATGGGCTGAAGGCAAAGCTCCTTCCGAATTCTTAACCTGTCGCCGACAATGGCCAAACAGAGCATCATTTGAGTCAGGGTCCCCAAGAAATCCATCTTTACTGCGAGCAGGCACGTAGCCAGGATCTTGGTTCGGGGGGGGGGGGGGGGGGGGGGGGGCTTGCCCATGACAAAATGCTGTATGAGGGGAAGGGGGAAAGGAGGGTCCCAGCAAAATAAAAGATTTTGGGGGGGGGGCCGGGCCCCATGGGCCTCCCCCTGGCTACGTGCCTGACTGCGAGATCGTAGTTCAGTCGGACCGCTGGAAACGCAAATTATGAGATAGTCCCAACACATCAGTTGTGGCAAGCCCCATGCCGGGCGCGTCTCTAAATTGCGTTGCAGGCTGAAGACGGCGCGTGACGCGGTGTCCCGCACGGGCCACTCGCTGGCCCTGGGCTGCTTGCACCGCTACGTCGGGGGCATGGGCTCGGGTCAGCACCTCAACACTAGCGTCAGCATCCTGCTCGCCCTGGCTCAGGACATGAACGCCCCCGTGGTGCAGGTGGGACCGCACGACACCCCTCGATCGTGCCGACAGCGTCCGGTGCCGCGTCCCTAGCAGTATGATGCCCGGATTGAAATACAGCTGCAAATGTCGCTCCTTGTGTACTTCAGGCATTACCGTAAAGTTCTGAAAGTATGCCCATCTAAAATAAACAGATACGGGTTAATGGGGAAAAATATGGGGTGTGCATTGTTTGGAAGTGCAACAGCTCAGTTCTTTTCTATAAAAAAAATGGTGATAAGCGCGAGGAGTGGGGGGACCGGGCTGCCACTACAAATTACAGGAAGCGGAAACTGATGCCAGAGATCGTGGACACAGCAACCTTGTGTTTCAGGGTGTGTCGAGTATGCAGGAATTCTTTATGAACTCCCCTGTTGCAGCGCATCCACGCTTCACGATGCAATAGTTGCGCAAAAACCCGCTACAGACTCTAGCGTCATGGGAACCAATGTCCTTGCGCATGCGGATTGCGAAAAAAATTAAAATTGCAGGAGCCCGCCATGAACTCGCGTGTGACGGGAAGAGATGCCGCAGATTGCAAACGCACCAGATGCGCGTTTCGCGGTGCAACAAACGCAGGAAACCGCTACTAACTCGCGTTTCATGGGAACCAGCGTCGCGTGCAAATGCAGGAATGAGCTACGAACTTCCTCGCCACAGGAACAGATGCTACAGATTGTGGATGCAGCAGATTCACGCGTCGCGGCACAGTAAACGCAAGGGAACCCGTGGCGAACACGCGTGTCGCATGTGCCGATACCAACGCAATTCCCGTGAGACATCGTGAAATTGATATCAGGCAAAAATTGGTGAGTGGGCGTCGTTTCGGAATTTTTACGTTACTGACATTCAGCCCAAGAAACGGGATGGGCGATCTCTCGGGGGGCGGGCATTCTCTCCGAATGTAATGGTACATGACCAGACGGCCTAGATAAAACGAGTAACCTGCACATGGAGGAAAATGGGACAGCAGAGTTAGGGTGTCGGGAACGCACCTTCGACCGGTTTGTTCGGCGTCTTATTCCGCCCACGCTTCGAAGGTGACCCCGAAAAGGCAAAAAATGTTGTCGCAGAAGTAGGCTCGCCACGCCGTCGGACGTCGCGAACCCAACGGTCGGTCATAGGAGGTCCGTCAAAGAAGACAGACGCACGCGACGTCGCCGTCGTTACAGCATCCCTACTCCCGGCTTCCGACGGTATCGTTGACTGTCAAGCAGGAGATTCACCCACAGCAGAACAGGCATTTGCCGTATCCACCTCTGTCGCCCTGCCACCGCCAGGATCACGGCAGGCAGCCTTACGTCGTCATTAGGCCAAAATCGAGGGGCCACCAACTGGGACATAGCACAGCAGCTGGAAATGCGTCACAAGTACCATACTAGCGCTCTCAGACAGCTCGAGAAACGCGAGGCGAGGCAAGTCGAGCATCTCATTATTGCTCCGCGGCCAATGAGACTGCGGTACTCCCCGGCAAGGACGCCGAACGACGAATTGTTATGCGAAAAGTTGAGGCCGTCGGCGACCGTAGTCGGAGACGCAATCCCAGCTCCACACTAGTGCTTCCGACCCCGAGGCCTTCTTCGGTCGCTGGTTTGGGTGCCGAGCGCCACGACCCCGCCCCGTTGCCCGCAGGTGTGGGCCCTGCACGCCCTAGGCCTGATTGCCGACTCGGGAGGGCCCATGTTCCGGGGCTACGTGGAGCCCACCCTGTCCCTGGCCCTGAAGCTGTTACTCAGCATGCCCCCGACACACGTGGACGTGCACCAGTGCATCGGCAAGTGCCTCTCGGCCGTCATCACCACCGTGGGGCCCGAACTCCAAGGTGAGGGACTCGCCCGTGCTCGGGAAGGCCAGGACGCGGGTGCCATCGAAGACAGTGAAGGCCGGTTTACGTGTGCTGCGTCTCTGTGCCGAGAAAGTTCCAAGTCAAATTCGGGATGAGCGGGATGGTTATGTTCGTTTGCAAGTACGTCTCCTGAGCGCTGCCATCTTGATGTTGGCGTGGGTAGATAGTCCGATAGTCAAGCGTTGCTGAGGCATACCCACGGTTTTCAGACTGGCGCCCAAACAAAGCGTTTTCCATCCTCGGTGGCCAGACTAGTAGTCGACGGCTGCTTGCAAACGTCCATACGACACTCGGGTGTAAGGAGGAAACATAAACGGATGGACAGACATGGCTCCCAACTGGCAACAATCATGCCTGTCCATATGTTTACATTCTTTTCCTAAATATGTACTTTCTATTATTGAGCATGACTCAGTCCCCTATGACGCAACCGACGCAGGCAACACCAGCTCCATCAGCACTGCACGGTCCTCTCTGCTGGTGGCCTGCAGCATCATGCAGGATCACGGGGATGCCCTGGTGCAGACGGAGGCCATCTCCTGCCTCCAGCAGCTGCACATGTTTGCACCTCGCCACGTCAACCTGTCCTCCCTCGTCCCCGTGCTCTGCGTGAGTCCTGTGCAATTCTTTCTGCTCATGCCTAACGCTCGTGCCTAGTTTTAAAGGGGCACTCCGGCGGTTTTCTTATAGTTCCCGATTTGCCTGAAAATTTGCTAAACACACCAACAAACATCGCTGAAATAGTGATCCAAATAATGGGCCAAGGTATTTTTTTTGCAAAGTTATTAAAAATACAAAGTTGGTTTTTTAAAGTGAAAGTCTCCACTGGCAGCAATGAAAAAGTGATGTCAGAGGTGTTTACGTGGAAACGTGAAGGCAAAGACACGCCATATTTTTTTTTTGACATACCAGCACATGAATCTAAACATGGTTTTTGCAGAAGAATGAATAAAAATAAAAAATATTTTTGGTGTTCCAAGGGTTTCTTTTTTTTATTGCTGCTCCAAAATGAACTTTTGGCAGTTCCAAAGGGTGCTCCCAAATGACTCGAACCAATCGCATCGCTGCTAGAGAGTGCTTTGGAGACTTAGTTCGAGAACCTGTCGTGCTAAAGAATGGAGACAAATGTAGAAGACAGAACTTTCCAAGAAGGACGACGGTTCTCACAGAGTGCCCTGAACTGCCCGCACCTGCTCCTGCGGCGCGCGGCCGTGGCCTGCCTCAGGCAGCTGTCACAGCGAGAGGCCCGAGAGGTCTGCGAGCACGCCGGCTCTTGGGCCAAGGAGAACGCCAGAGTGGGCGCCTCCAACGGTGAGTGGCTGCCCGTCTTTCTTACACTGGTTGTCTTTCGTTAAGGCACGCTAGACGCCCTCCATTGGCTTGGCACGTGAAACCCCCAAACTTGGCGTAGGAAGCTTGCACTGGAGGTGCGAGCCTTGTACATTCCACTATGCTTTGATGTCTCGTGCATCTCGAGTGCACACGTGCAGCCAAAGCACCAAGGAAGGCAGCGAGCGCGGGTCAAAGGCCGGGCGTTCGGAAGACGTGTTTTGTCATCCTCATTCTGTCGGCAACCGTAGACCGTATCTCTCGACGAGCAATGACAAATGGAAACCGAATTGAAACGAAGTCGCTTGCTCGCAGGCAAGGGGGGTTCGTCGCACCACAAGAGCCAGTCCCAGCAGCAGCGCTGGGCATGCGAGGGCGCCCCGCTGCCCTGGGAGGCGGAACTGCCCGGCGTGCTGTTTGCCCTGCTGGACCGAGAGACCGACCCCCGGCTGGTGTCGCACGTCCACGACTCGCTGACCAGCATGCTGCAGGCCATGCTGGACGACAGCCTCGGCCACTGGCTGGGACTCTGCAAGGACGTGCTCACCGCGGCCGGTGAGCACTCTGCCCCGCTCTCCCTCTGGTCCGGCCTCCTTTCGGCTCTCGCTGTTGCAAGTTCCGGCAATGCTTCGGCCTATGTTTGAGGCGCACCACGGATCTCTCGCGCTTACTTCGCAAGCACCGAGAGATAGTAAGCCTGCCAGAGATTCCTTTGCATGTATACTACACATGCTTGAGGTTAGTTGGCATCAGCTGCCTCTATTTGTTCCTCTAGTACGGGGATCTTTAAAACCCCTGTACTAGAGCAACAAACTGGAAGCAAGCCGCAAGCTAGTCTTCCGACCGGTTTGCGGCTTGCCGCCGTCCTTCCAATAAAGGTCGGTTCGCGGCCCGCTTCCAGCAGACTCGCAGCTAGCGGCGCGAAAAGAAGTGCGCGTAAAGAAATGGCGCCGCGACGCGCTTTGATTGTGCAAATGAAGATACCAGAAAGGACGAGAGAAACAGCGTCGTAATGCGGGTGCTCTCGCCATACTACTCATTTAACTCTGCCATCACCAGCGTCAACATTGTTAGCCCCCTGCATCATGTCTTTGTAACCATGTTAAAATTCTTTTGCGACCTCACGTGCACTGTGCTTAATGTCCTCTGTCACGACTGTTACATATTGTCAACATTAGTTTTATCATTCTCATTACTCTTTTGCACTGCGCGAATATGTCGGAAGTTCCCAAGCGCTTTGATTTCTGCCTGGTAAGTTTTCTTGGTCACAGTTGTTGTGTAGTGTCATAATTAGCTTTGAAGTATGTGTATTCATCGACCTTGGGGTTTTTAGTACTTGCTCAAATATTATTTTCTGTGTTTGAATGTTCACCTAGGTTTATTTATTTAGTTCTTCCTTCTTTATAAATACTCTTTTATTTTTCCCGGCTCTCGAGGTTGTGACATAACCCTGATCCCGCCCCTTAGCCAAAAAGTTTGGAGACCGCTGCTCTAGTAGGACCGCTATAGTCTGCACCCGGTGCATACAGTCGAATCTCGTTAATTCAAACTCGAGGGGGACCGAAAATTTGTTTGAATAAAGGAAAGTTTGAATTACCAGGAGTTCCCTCCCATAGAGAGGCATAGGATGGGACCTGCATGTTAGTTTGAATTATCCGCAAGTTTGAATTAAGAGAGTTTGAATTAATGAGAGTCGACTGTAGTCCATACACCGTACATAGTCCACACCTGGTGCTTAGTCGGCGCGAAAATTTTCTCACGCACGGCACACCTTGACGAATGTCTGCTTTGTTAACTCACAGAGATGCTTGTATTATACGTAAATCATCATTGTCGTACTCTTTCATTCAGAAAATCTGTCGCATCTCGTCATAATGAACGATCTTGAAAGAAAAAATTCCTGTATAGTCCCCACGCATAGATAGTCTGCACAGCCTAAAATTTCAACTTTTAAACATGTATAGTTCACGGGCGATAGTCCGGAGAATACGGTAAATGCGTGCAAACCAACCTTGAGGCTGTGGAACGGTGAATAATCAACCCTACTCTCTCAGCGCACGCGGTTTGGTCTACTATTTAGCTCTGTGGGACAGCCAGCATCAATAAAAAAAAAAGTTATTTGGGTTGATTGAGAGGTGAGAGCTTTTGGAATCTCATGAATTCTTTTGGGGACTCCAAAGAGTTCATGGGCCGACATTTGAGAACTACCGGACGAGGGCATTATACAAAACTGACAAGCTTGTTAAGCTTAAATTAGAGCGACAGCAGTGTCCGGCATGTACCAAAAATAGGGAACGGGTGGGGTTTCCGTCGCAGACATAACAGCCTCTGCCACAGCGACCACAGCCACGGTCGTGGAAAGGGAGACGGACTTGGAAGCCGGAGACGAAGACGAAGATGTGGACGACGAGGAAGCCATCAAGGCCGGAGAGGAGCCGGCGTCCCACCCGGCTGTGGGCCCGCGCTGGCCGACCAAGGTGTTTGCCGCGGAATCCCTGCACCGGATTGTGGCGCTCTGCGAAGGCAATAAAGCCCACTTTGACCTCACCCTGGCCAGGGAAGAGAAGTCCATGAATCCCAAGGGTGAGCTCACTTTGGCCGGCATTGCGTCGGCCGGCAAACGGGCGGGCCGATAAAGCCGTGAGGGTTGGAGATGGGATAAGAACCGATTTATTGACGATGTAACCTAAGGAAGAAGGATTGTGAGGAAAGGGAAGGAGAGATGTTATCTTTAAACTACATAGAGAAGGGAAATGTAAAACCTAGACCGACTATGCTATGGCCAATACATCTTAGGCTCGTCTGATATACCTACACCTCCTGCACCAGCTACACTTTATGCGCTCCACCATATTTGATCTAGAGTCTCTTGCAACTCAAGAAGGTAGGGCGAGAAAAAAGAAGGCTGGGGAGGAGGAATGCTGGAGAAAGAAGAAGGTTTCGCCCTCTCCTCTCCTGCATTCCGTTTGCTTGCACCTTTCCGGCCTTGCTTTCCCTCGCCCCACCTTCTTGAGTTGCAGCAGACTATAGGAGTCTTAAAACGCATAGTCGAAGTACTTTGCCTTGCACTTTTCTGCACCTGTGTAGGCTGGTGCCAACAAATCGAATGAGCCCATTATCACCACAGCATTTGCGAGTTTAACAAGAATATTGCTGTGTGCATGGTGGAGTTGTCAGCACACTTGGCTGCTGTGTGGAAGTATGGGGTTTGAACCCCGCTCAAACCACTTTTTTCTTCTATAACTCTGTACTCTTCTGAAAGTTCAAGCTCTTTCTTCGCTTTTATTGTGCGTTTTGGTTCGGAACATTCCTGAACTGATCGCACGTATAAAACTAGCAGTAACGGGCTGCTTCGGGACTGTGACAATATATAGATCCCACAGGATTGAGTCACTTGTTCCACTTATTAATGTGAAAGCATTAACTGGGGGTCCCATGGAGCGAGCTGACATCATCAGTTTGAAGCGCGAAAACGGCACCTAGTTTCCCCGATCCCAAAGGAGCGAAGTAAAGCTGATGGATTTCGCCTTCGGTCCCATTGGCTGGCGCGCTTCGACAAGGCTCTCATTGGTCGCTGCACTCATCAGTTTCCACGACCGCTCACCCCATAGTGCTGCGTGTCCATCAGCGCGCCGTTAACACGGAGCGTCCAAGGTCAGCGTGCCCAGGGGAGCACGCGCGCTGACCGGCAACGCGAAGTATGCAGCAGACGAAAAAGGGAGTGGGGAGCGGCTTGCACGCTTTCGCATTCACAACTCATAAGAAGTGCTTTGGTGTACCTCCAGCTTTTATTTTGTATTAGTTTGTGTGTGCCTCCCAGTCACCTGAGGAGGCTTCCAATCTTGAGAGAAGTCTGTAATTTGAAGTGAGACTTGGATATGGTTCTGTTTTTGTTTGACAAAAAGGTATTCATTTTGGGAAGGTGACTTTTCCTTTAACTTGCGCGATGCTACAAACAAAGTTACATTTATCCGTGGATAAATGCTGCATTCACACTTGTTCACAGGGGACAAGGGCACGCTTTCAGCAATTTCCTTGTTATCGGCCCCCACTGTACAAGCACACACAACACTCCCTCCTTTAAGAATTTTCAGGTTATGCTTGCAGGCGCTGCATATAACCGATCGGGTGAGCTGAATGCATCTCCCATGAGAAGTCGTGTAGCCTTTCTCGCTCGTTCCAATCTGAATATGCCAGTTAGAGCGACCGGCATTTGAATTTAGAGAAGCCTGGTTGTGGTAGTTTTGAAACCTGTGGCACTGAGGACTGTTTGACCAAGTTGACAACTCATCATGGGTTCACTTTTCCATTATCAGAGGACTTTTTGGTGCTCCACCTCTCCGACCTGGTCCGGATGGCATTCATGGCCGCCACCTCCGACAGCGATGCCTTGCGTCTTGAGGGGCTGAAGACACTGCAGGTAAGGCACAAAAGAAGATGAGGTAAAGGGTGAAAGAAACAACCTTGCGGATTGTTCAGTTCGGGCTGTACGCTGGGTCATCACAGAATAAAGCTGTAGACAAAGGTTTTTTTTCCTGTGAAGCTTAGGTTTTTCTTATTTAAATTGCAGTTTGAGGTTTTTCGTTTCTTTTTTTTACACATAAAACCTGTTTGGGGGTTATATCTCGGGGTTTATTGGTACATTTATCAAAAGCACGGAATCCTAGTTAAAATGCTCTTACATTCGTACATTGTATATTTCCACAGCTCATCATTGACAAATTTTCACAAGTGCCAGAGCCAGAGTTCCCGGGGCATGTCATCCTCGAGCAATACCAAGCACAGGTGAGAATTTGTTTGGATGGGATTGAATGCGAATGTCACAGCCAGCTGTACAGGAAAGTTTTATAACTGTCTGTTTATTTATAGTAGACATTGTAAAAAGGTATAAAATATAACCAGTTTGTTATAGCATCACAGTTGTACACTGTAAAAATGAATGAGCTGTTGACTTTTCAATAAAATTATAAGTGCCCGTAATTGTGAAACAACTATAAGCACACAAAATAACTTCCTATTTTATACTTTCCTCAAAGCTTTGTAGAGTCTCTTTGTGAACATTTCGAACAATAATAGTGCACTGTGAATTCAACCTAGTTCCAAACACTATTCCATTTTTATTTTTTTTACCTACCTGATTTCCTAAATTGCTACATGCCAAGAGTTTTTAGCTTGATACTAATTGTAGAATATCACCTAAAATTCTGCGATGCGCATTTAGTTGTTTTTTTCCCCCCTTCTAAAAAATAGGTTGGAGCAGCACTGCGGCCTGCATTCTCTCCAGAGACGCCCTCCCACGTAACTGCAATGGCCTGCCAGGTACGTTCTAGCACAGTATTTATACTATGCATAACGTCATGCATGCTCAAGGCTGGTTCGTACATTTGCCTTTCATTGTGGCCAGGTGCATTGTGCCCACTTTCGACGACCACGACGAGAAAACATACTAGCACCATCTAAGGGGTAGCCCTGGACGACTTCCGACCGGCATATATATTTCCTAAATTTTGCGCATCATTCTTTCTCCGTCGTCTTGAGGTAATTCTAACAAAGTTATAAGCAACCATTCCTCATAGATGGTGCATAGATTTGATATCGCGAATACTACAAAACCTTTAGTCTAGTTGTACGCAGACGAGAAGTGTTCCAAAGCTTCCCGATAGGTGGTGCCAGCGTGCCAGTGTTTTCTATCGTGTGCAGTCACAAGCGGGCGCGACACTCTCGGTCGCACTCAAATGCGGATGTGTGAACCAACCTTTAGTACAAACTTACTCGCATAACAAACTCCTAAGCTCAGTTTCTTTGTGAGAATATGCGTACCTTTGTGAGAATATGCCCAGGAGAGAATACATTAAACAAAAACGCGGCACTGTTTGTTCTTTTGTGTTTTTTTTTCCTTTTGCCCTTGTTCGTAACGCTCTGTAGCCGCTAACATTAGCTCTTGTGACCAACTCGCGCAAGCTTCCGTCTTAACAATGATACCTTGTGTAGCTTCATATCAAACTCGACGCCGTCAATTGCAATGCGATTCTCCCCAGGTGTGCAGCGCTTGGATCGGCAGCGGAGTGGCGCGGGACCTCAATGACCTGCGCCGCGTTCACCAGCTTCTCGTGTCCTCCCTGACAAAGCTGCAAAAGGGTGCCAACTCCCTGCTCTACAATGAGAGTGCATCCACTCTTGAGAAGCTGGCCATACTCAAGGCCTGGGCTGAGGTGAGCCAGCTTACCTCCGAGCCTAATTAAAACTGTCGTATCTCTCGCACTCAGTTTGATTTGATTCAAAAACGACTATTTTTCGCTTGTCCACAAGATAAGTCTTGTGGGGAGGATTATGTACCTTTATGTCCGGGGACCGGTGCTGGAAGGAAAACCTGATGCCCGTCCCACCTTGCGGCCGACAGAAACCAGCGAGGGCAGTCGCCGCGCCGGGTTCACCAATGCCATGCCAACACCGATGACGCCTATATTCAACAACGTTTTTTGGCGAACAGGGGTCCCCAGTGATGTGATTGCTGCGCCAATTGCGCCAAACTGCGCCAAGGGGCTAACCCTGCTACATCCTGCTACATTTCGCCGAAATATGGGTAAACTGCGCCAAGCCTGCGCCAAAGGACTAATTTCAGTCGCCTTTCAAAACCGAAACTAAACTGAGTACCGTAATTGAGCATGCGTGGGTTATGTGGCGCAAGCGACCGCCCGACAGAAAGTATGCTGCATCAATCGTCCATCCGGTCTGGCATGGTTTTTCCCGCCGTTCCTCATTTCGCGCTCTCGTGGGTCTCGTCTCGCATCCTCTTGAAAATGTTTTAACTATAGATGCATGCGTATATGGACGCCCCGACGCTAGATTGCCGGATACCAGCCATGCCGTCATGTTGTAAAACGAAACCACGTTTTTGCGCATTGGGAGTTGCTTGTGATCTGAAGCACTCGCTTCTGAAAGAAACGGCCGTGGCAAAACTCTTTTTGGTCCCTGCCTATACCAGTCACCGTGGTTATGACGTCGGGTGTTCCCGTCCACACATTGCTGCAGATATGGCGCTTTCTAAAATGAAACGTAAGGACCGCTGCGGGGTAACCAGCAATCCTGTCCTTGTTTACAATAAAACGCTACTACAAAAATCCCTCTAGCTCAAAGACTGTTGTGTCGAAGTACTGTTTACCTAGGTTTTCTGGGTAGGATTTCTTTTGAGAGGGACCCCGGTACATGAAAAGTCTGTCGCAAAAGAAAGTTTAAGACAAGTTAGCTAAAGCAACAAAAGGCAATGCCTGCACGCTGAACCCGCACAGCGCGCTTGTTTATCTTGAGTTCAGTTGTTGCACAAAGCGCTCCAAGAACTTTTTGACCCTGACTCGCAATGTCTTGCATTGATGCACTCAGGTTTTTTTTAATTTTTTTATTAGCTTTATTGTCCTTGTTTTGTTTGCGCTTTTTAACCTTTTAACTTAGCTTGTGCCTCGCATACTGGCCTGGCAAGCACGCGCCGCTGGACTGTTCTTCTTTTTTTTTTTATTCTGGATTGTTACATTTTGCATACAATTTTGGGGACCAGATGGTGTCGGAGCGGAGTGGCAGAGTTTTGGTTTCGATCGAACAGCCGTCTCCGCTCGCATAACGAAGCGCGTGCAACTGCAAGCTGCCGAAGTTGCCCTCACATGCGTGCGAACATGATTGCACGACAGAGGTACCAGCCGGGACGCTTGCAATCCATTGCTTTACATTTGCTTGCTTCTGAAGAAAATCTGGCATGTCGGGAACCAGTAAAACGGTGGGAGACGTTTTGGAATTGCTCGGCAACGCCTACAGCACTGTACACTTGTGGGATGTCTCAACGTCTCTTTGGAGACATTGAAAGTGGACATTCATTACTTGCCGAAAGCTAAGCAAGGCTGGCAGCAGCCTTGTAGAAAGTTTCAACAAGCAAAAGGAAAAGCACCCACCAGTCGTACTGCACCCTTTTTATATGTACAGTTTCGTATTGCATTGCAGTAGTTACGTCTTTCATCAGTTGGATACTGCTTCAATTTATTATATTATATAACTAGTGAAGTTTATGCTTTCGTATTTACTGCTAAGCTGGTCATTTTCAAATAAATTTAATATGTGCAATTTGGTTCTTATTTATCTATAGCGGGTACATATATGTCATTTAACTGAAGCATTGCAAAATATGTTGTGTCATTGGCATTTCAGTTAACAACTTGAAAGACTCCCAGGTCGTCTAACTTGACCATAGTTTGTTTATTGTTGCGAGCAAATTGCCCTTCCTTTTTCCAGCACTTAAAACACATTTTTTATTTTTATAAAAAAATCTGCTCCAAAAGCCACTTTTTGCTGCTCCGAAACACCGTTTTGGTTGCTCCAAAACACTGTTTTGGCTGCTCCAAAGGCCACTTTTGCTGCTCCAAAACACTGTTTTGGCTGCTCCAAAACACTGTTTTGGCTGCTCCGAAGGCCACTTTTGCTGCTCCGAAACACTGTTTTGGCTGCTCCAAAACACTGTTTTGGCTGCTCCAAAGGCCACTTTTGCTGCTCCAAAACACTGTTTTGGCTGCTCCAAAAGGTGCTCCAAAACGGCTTAGGCCAATCACATCACTGGGTCCCCAACAAGACACTGGGGTCAAGCGAGCCGTGGACACAGAGTGCCTGCTGCGCCCGCCAACCTGAGAGCCAAAGGCGAATCACGAGCGGAGTCATCGCCAATGGGCTGAGCTTACACCGCTACCCATCATCGCGGGAGTTTGGGCCAGAACTCTCAGCAGACGGACGTCGACTCAGAGGAGGGGACGCTGACTGTTAGAGCCAGGGGAAAGGCTAGCATTAAGTCATTGCCGGTCGGACTAGCTCGTACGATGCAACTCGCCCCGTTGCCCGGAGTCCGATCCAGGACTCCTCGACCAGATGGCCGTCCACTCAAAAGAGGGAACGCTCGACCGTATCGCGTGATCTCGCGGGTCCCCTAAAAATGAGAGACGCGCAGAGGGGTGCGAGAGGATAGGCCGGCATGGTGGCATACTTTCCCCATCACGATATGGTACGAGCAGGCTCAAAGCCAGACGGCTTCAAATGGCATGTCCACGGCTTATGCCTTCTCGAGGGAGGGAACAAATGGTTATCAAGAGTGTGGGAGCCAGTGGCTCCCACTCTCTTGATATCCATTTGTGATATGGTGGTATGCTCTAGAAGTTCACTCTTGCATCGCCATGTCCCATTTCTACTTCTACCACCAAAAAGCATGTGGCACTCTTTGCATCATGGTGTCTTTACCGGAACCTGACGTTTAACGGCGTCTAACTTACCTTCCGCACCCACTATCAGGAGATAAAAGGGAAAAATACAAGGTGGGCGATCCCTGGGGGGCTGGGCACTCGCTCGGAATTTTCTGGTGATCTCTTTCCATACTTAAAGGCCGACATACAACCCCGATTTTCTGCGAGGCAGAGGACCACACTTTTGGGTGGAGCGGGGTAAAGGTGGGAGAGGAGGAAGCTGCAAACAAGGGGGAGGCACAAGGCATACCTTGGCCTTTCTCACGATTTGCAAAGTTAGTGGAGCCAACACTCCTGTTCCACTTGCACGGTCTTCGTCCAGCAAAGTTTTTCTTTGTGCGTTTGCAGGTGTACATTGTGGCGATGGAGAAGGAGCAGGAGAACGTGCCAAAGCGGGGCAGCGGAGACGCCGCCGGTGAAACGGGCGACCCGGTGCCGACAGAAGAAGCGCTGGGCAGAGAATCCCTCCTCAAGCTCGTTTCTCCCGAGCTGGTGTGCCTCAGCCGCTACTGGTTGGCCGCTCTCAAGGACCACGCACTCCTCTCCTTGCCCGGAGGTGAGGCGCCTCGCACTAGTCACCGTACTCACCGACGGGATGAGAACTGCTGGAAGGGCTTCGAGTTGTCCGGCCTCTAGTCCAAGCTCTCTAGCTTTGATAACGCTTTAGCGTCTCACGAGCCTCGGGCGTGCACGCACTGTCCGAAGCACAGCCAAAGGTGGCAAGTGCGTGCTGGAAGCCGGGCATTCGAAAGGGCACCCTGCCCTTCTCGTCCTGTCGGAGATTGTAGTCCCACGTGCGTGGACCATGACCCGTCAGAGGTAGTTCGGGTTTAGTCGCGAGCACATCGGAGAGGACATTCCGGCAGCCTTGCTTTGGTATCGTCGAAAATGTTTTATTATCTGCTACATGGCTAATAGTGCCTTGTGCCTGCGGCGTGTTCAAGTGCATATCATAAACGAGTTTGTCAATCATTCTACTTGAGAATCATTGTTCTGGGTTACTCTTAAAAGTGGTGTTGACGAGAGAAACTGGGTACTGCGTGCAGTGCATGTTTGGCGTGGGTCACGTTAGGGGGCAGATTTCATAAGGCGAATCTAGAAAATGAGTCATTCAGGGATGCTACTGCAAAATTGTGATTTGGAGCAATTTTTGGAGAACCTGAAAAAGAATTTTGGAGCACCTAAAAACTGCTTTTAGGACACTTTGGAGCACATAAACATGAAATTTGGAGCCCTTTTAGCGTAAATATAACTTCTCGAAGTACTTTTGAGCTTCCAGTTATGAAATCTCATGATCACCTAAATTTACTTAAAAAATTTTACTTTGCAAAACTACCGATTTTCTTTTTCTTTTCGTCTTGTAGACAGTACAAGCTAATTTGCTTTCTAATGTTGGTCTCCACAGGCAAAAAGTCCAATGTGAGGAATTACTAAACAGATTTTTCTTGTATACAAAAGTTGCCACAACTGTCGATGCAATTTACTGTGCATTGTTTATTTTGAACACACAGAACCTATCAAAGGCCCGTCCGTTTTGCAGCTTTTTGTTTATGACTGCCACCTGAGTCATGTTCTCGGAAAGGCTTGCATTCGCCTCAGAAAGAAGCACCCGTCCCGGTTGATAGCGCAGCCGCTATACTCCATCTTATCCTACGGTGGACTGAAGCTCAATGCTCCAGGCCGCCGAGTCCAATCACGAGCCTATTAGAAACCGCATGATATATTTGCTCCGTCGTATGTATCAGTGCGCCAAGACGCATCATGCAGAGGAGAGTTTTTCATCTGCTCATCGAGCCCTTGCGGTTGCTTTGTGTGCTTGCTACCGCTGAAGACTACTGAAGGGATTAAGTACCGTTTGGAAGTCATGTGTCAAAGAGAATCCAGGATCAGAACCAGTGGCCATTAAGAAATGAAGATGAGTCGGATTGAATGTTCGACGCAAGGGCATATATACGGACCAGATGCAAAAAGGAGACACAGATGTGTTCACAAAAATTTGAATTGGATTGGATTGTTATTGCTAAGGTGAAACGACTTTGTGTCACTGTTGCCTGCGCGCCCTCTAACTTCTCCAAACAGTTGACATGTTTACGAAATATGGCGTGAATCAGGGTTCTCCCCAGGAATTTCTGAGGGGTGGACATTACTGGGGCGGGAGGGCAGTGGCGGCGGCGAGGGGCGGGCGATGCGCGTTTGTCTTTTTTCTGTTTGGTTTGTCGTGGCCATAAAACCATAAAACTTGGATCTGCTGCATTTGCGATTTGCAGTAGTCGTTCCTGTGAGATGCGAGTTCTCGGCCATGTTTCTGCAAGTCCTTCGCACTGTGAAACACAAATCTGCTGTGTCCGCAACCTGCGGCATCTTTTCCCGTCACACAGGAAATCGTAGCGTATTTTGCGTGTTTATCGCATCGAGAAACATGAATTTGCGGTGTCTGCAATCTGCAGTATCACTCCCCATGTCACATGGTTCGTTGCCGGCGCCAGGATGTTTATCATTACTTTTTCATAAAGTTTTGCTATGGCATCTCCAAAGATAAACCACCCCATGTTTTTCACCATTTATCTCTTCATTTTGGGTGGACGTTCTTTCGGAACTTTACAATATATCTTCTGAACCAGATAACGGCAAGCTCTCAAATTCTGGATTCTGGACTGGACCAGTAGGGCTACATTTTGGCACAGACCGAGCATTCGGCGATGTATAGTTTATTTTTGCGGTGAAGAAACAACCGTAAATTAGTTTTGGGGACTACCCTGTAGTTGAATTTTTATTTACTGCATGTAACCATGCTTATGAAGTGACCTGTTGAGTGTTTTTGTGAATTGTCAGAGCTGAGAATATACTTTGACCTGACTGGGCAGCTGTCTGCCTGTAGGCTTTTTTTGTGTGTGTGCTTTTTTTTTACTTTTATTGTTAAAGAAAAAACAATAAAAATGCATAGCAAATTGCTGGGCAATTGTATTGCATGTGAAACGTGTGGTTTCAGTCTGATTCCTCTGGGATTGACATCTGCACTCTCGGCGCTCTTCATCTGCAAGTTTAGCAAGTGGCTTAATGCGTGGCATGTACACTCAATAGCAATTCCGGAATGGAGATACCGGCACTAACCCGGGTTTCGAACCCCTGGCATTCTTCGAGAACGTGAACCAGCCAGTCACCGTCGAGCTAGGGGGTGTGATCTCATCAGCTAGCTCAGCCAATCAGCATTGAGTTAACCGGTGGCTTCACTTTTCAGGCTCACAAATTTCTAGACCCCCCCCTTTTCCAGACAAAGCATGTTTCACGGGAAAAGGCGTTCTTGGGCAGTTTGACAGAGCATTGTGGCCTGCACCTATTTTTGTCCCAAGGCACACATAAAGAGAACCTTAAAACACCTCTTCCGCCTGGGCGTGTCCACCATGCAGAGTTCTCGAGCCAGCTGCCGCACGACGGCGGAGCCTTCTACACGTCGGACACGGTAGAGTCCGCGAGACCCCACTACCGGGAGGCGTGGCCGCCGATCCTGCATGCGGCCTCCCTGTGGCTCTGCGAGGGGGGAGGCTTCGAGGGGGCCCTGCACCAGGAGGCCCCCCAGGGGGCGCTGGGGCCGGGGGGCCTCCGGGGGGGACCCGCCTTCCTGCAGCTGTCCAGGGGCGCCCACAGCAGGAGCCCCGAGCAGATCAACAAGGACTGGTTCTACCTCCTCTTCGGTACGTCGGCCAGATTCTTTGGGAAAGGGAGCCTTTTCCGGCTCTGGTTGATACTGGAAGTGTTGATCGCAGCAGTGCAAGCTTTGTCTCTTCGTACCTGACTGCAAACAAGCCCATGCCTGTTACGGTTATGCATTCAAAGCTTTTATAAGAAAGTCGGCGGGACCGGCAATATTTTTCGTAGTACAGGTAACTTTGTTGTAATTGTAGTGTAGCGTCAAAAGTCAATCACACGAAACCGAATTTGTGCTATCGCATATTGGCGTGTCTGCGGGACATTCGAGGTAGTTTAGGAAACGGTATAGCGCCAAATATAGTGTGAGCGACATCAGAAACAAGGATTCATACGTTGACAATCGACTTGCCAAAAAGGGAGAACGGTGGACAAGTCTGATAGCGCATCGCAGCTCGGAGCACATGGGGCAAAAGCTCGCACTGCAGAATCCAGTCATTTTGGGCTCGATTACCACTTCATTATTTTTTCTAAATGAAAATAGTACCGGCACGCGTTCATGTACTAACCCCTGCATGACGCAATCAGGCTAGCAGTCGTACCACTAGTACTGCCACTGGCAAAGTTTTGTCATCTACAGCCGAGACGCCAAGCACTTCCAAGTTCTACGCAACAAACTTAACTGACTTACCAAAATATGAATCGCAGAAATCACTAAACCACCGACATCGACCCCCGACCACGCAGCGAAGGCGTTCGCCGACCGTGTTAGTTTACCCTTTCTTAAATCGGGAATCGGGCGACGACTTGTGGTCATTCGGAGGAGGTTCTCGAGCACCAAGCGCTGTCGCACGTGCAGCGGTGGACAGCCGAGGCAACTGAGCTCTTTTTCGCATCTGTCCGGACAAAAAGGGGGCACATTTCTCTCTGTGCAGCTCCGCTGATTTCGCTTGAACTTTGGCATCACGGGTAGAGTCACAGATTGTTTGCTAGACCACATATTATCGCTCCAAGGTGGAACAAGTTGGGACTCCGGTCGGGCAAGGTCGAGGATCTTGGATCTTCATGAAGATCGGTGCGTCAGTCAAACAAATGCCAAGACACTGTAAAGAAAGTTGCGACTGACGATGACAATATACTTATATATATACTCTCGTTCACACGTTGAGAAAAAAATCTCATCTTGGAGCGGAGTGGCGCATACTCAACGGCGTGAGCGAAACGAAAGCAACAAAAGTATGCATGCGACGAAAGTGCGACGGAGGCGTAACGCTGCCTCCGTTGCAGTGCGTACACGCATTCTCAGTTTTGGGTCTAAATAATTTGTTAGCGTGCAGCCGTCTGTCAAGATGGCTCTATGTGACTATGTTGCTGCAAGCGTTCTACGCAGCAACAGTCGCATAGCAGCATTGAATGCAAGATTGCACACTACCGAATTATTTTGACCCGAGAACATGCGGCGCAGTGGCGGTGTCAACCATCGCCTCTGCGGCAGTATTTCTTTTCTTTATGCGCATAACTTGAGCGACAATTTACGTGAAATCGACAACTTTTCTCCTCGAACGTTCGTAATGCCTGTAATTTTTGCTTCGTGGGTCCGCAAAATGGTTTCAATTAAACAGAAATATTTGTTCATCAGGAATTTGTTGTAGTGGTCAGAGAAATGCATTGAAGGCATAGGAGATTGGCCGGGACTTTCACTTTACTTCAATAAAAAGGGCGTTTTCATAGTAGAGGCATCTGCTACAAAGGCGTCCGACTGTAGTCACTGATAAGGTGAGAATGGCGGGGAGAAGTTTTTCTGCCTTCGGCGTGCACTCCGGCCTTCGGCAATGCTCCAGCGTCTCATGCACCCCGAGTACACGTAGGAGGCCAAGTGTTTAAAAGGCATGCCCCAACATTCTCATTTTTTCGGTGGTCATAGGAGTGCACGAAGATGGCACGTGTCTGTGGACAAATCGTGAATTGTAGTACCTAATGCATGCGACTAAAGTGATTCCCACCCTCGTCGTAGCCCGAAAGCACCTACAGTATTCGAGCAGGTGACCGAACCACTCTCGGCGTCGACTATTTTGCGCTACGTTGTCGAGGCTAGCGTGGCTTCCGCGGTGGCTTTCACGGCGCCGCAGCCCCGCACTGCTGCGAGGGCTTGTAGCTTCATCTCGCGTCTCGTTTGCACAGGCTCGCGAAGCTAGCTTTCGCAGAGCTGGAGCACTGTGGAATGGCAGGAAGAAGTTCTCCCGTTTAGATCTACCTTTCCGGTGTTGCAGACGAGGCCGTACTCGGTGTCGACTATTTTGTTCTGCGTCGTCGAGGCTAGCATAGTTTTGGCAACGTGGAGAAAAATACGTAGTTGACACTGAGCATGGCCTCGTCTGCAACACCAGAGAGGTAGATCCGAGAAGCGAGGTGAGAAGGACAGTATAGTTGGCTGCGAAGCCCAATGTTTGACGTGCACTTGCGTTCTCCCAGGGGTGTGCATGGAGGCGCTGTGTGGTCCTCGAGTGTCGGAACCTCCCGAGTGCGTGCTGGTGTGCCTGCAAGCCCTGCACCAGCTGCTCAGTCATCCCTTGCCCAGGGAGATCCTCGGCGGAGACCTCCAGCTCTCCGTGGAGCTCTGCAATGTGCTGCACAGGTGACGCTCCTGCGGGCTCACAGTTCTCTTTAAATGTGTCAGCGTTAATGCCCTGGTACATGTGCTGACCTTGGACTGGTTTGGAGCACACACATAAAGTTTGCAACGTCGCCACGGGATGGCACCACAGCTGCACTGGCTGTGGAAGCTAGCTAGGAAACACCTGCAAGCACCAACATATGGTGGCGGGGTGCATTTTTAAAGGGGCACTGACACATCAAAATCGTAATTTATTTTATTATCTGAAACGATTGAAAATGATGCCGGGACATTACCCTCAAAATTCGAAACTTGGGAATTCAGTATTTGTGAATTAAAAAAACAATTTCCAAATGCCGAATTTGAAGTTCCCGCGCGATCCGCGCCAGTGCAGTGAGTCAAATTTTGCGGTCTCCTGCGACTCGATTTTCTTTCGGACTTCCGCACCACGCTGTGAAGCAAAGCGCCGTTGCTACCGCGACCCGAAGAGAGGAGGAGGTGAGCAGGCGGGATAGAAGGGAGTCGGCGCGGGGAAAAACCGGTTTCTTCCCCGACTCGGCGATAAGCCTCTGCTCGAGCGCCACCAAGTTTTCCGAGGGAGAACACAAGTCCAGGAAGCGACATCACACCGAAATCTGATTTTTGGTATTTCAAAAAGAAAGGCCGTAGTGCGTTCGTCATTGCGTTAAAAAAGATGTTTTACAATTGCCGTTATTAAATGTTATAAAAATGTCGCCTACAAAGCTTCTAAATGTCCTGATTTTTGACGTCACCGATCAAAAGAAGCAAGGAGGTGAGCGCGGGAAATATAAACGCCAAAAATAAAAAGGCGCGCGCGCGCGCAGTGAAATTTTTTTTCGCAATGCGTTTTTTTTTTGCGTGTCTATGACTACAACTTGCATCGTTTTAGACAATAAAAAAGAATACGACCTTTGGGGTGTCAGTGCCCCTTTAATGCAGGATGCATTTTAGGGCTGGGTTCCAAGTCTAGAGTGTCACCTAATGTTGTAACGAAAATTATAACTCGCCTTGATGCCTTTATACTTTGCATGAAGCCGACCGATCTAGAATGCGTCGTGTGTTTCTGTCGACCTGTTTGAATCGTTTCTGTTTGTTTTGCCCGTTAGGTTTTTGAGGTAATCTTTTAGGAGATTAGACACAAGCACACTATGCATTCTGTGCCAGTCGCTCGATCCATCAAGTATTCTGAACCACCGTGGTATAGAATTCTACTAGGTGATGTATTTGATAAGATGGCTCAACCAAGCCTTGAGTTCATTTGCGTTTAGCAAGTAGCATGCAAAAGTTTACCATCTCAGGCCATATTCCCCCTGAAGTCTCCTTACTAGTCAAGAAAGAAATTTTCATGGTTTGGGGAGATGACTTCTGACCTTCTTTCATCCATCAGCAAACAGCACAAAATATGTGCTGATCGCTGATGGATGAGGATAGGTCAGAAGTCGTCTCTCTGAACCATGAGAATTTCTTTCTCGACGGTAAAGAGTTTTGCAGGGAGAATATGGCCTAAGAGGGTCAACTTTCTAACCCTTCACTTAAATCGATTCAAATTCTCAGGGCATATTGAATTATATTAGGAATTATTAAATTCAAAGTTTTAGTATTGTGGGCTTATTCTACAACATCCTACGCTTATCAGCCTAAAACAAAAAATGACTTATAAGGAAGTGTATCAAAAGAAATAATTGCCTCCCACAATGTTTTGGTTTTAATGTGAAGTAGAATGCCCATAGTGCAAGTTAAGGGGGGACACTGGCTAGAGGTCAAACTTTTGAACTACTCAAGTGATCGGAATGAAATTTGCAGGGGAGATTTAGCTTCAGATGTAGGTGTACTGTGCAAACTTTCAGCTCTCTAGGGCAAATTTACATACCTGCAGAAGATGATGTGTCACTTTTCATTAAGAAATCTATGATATGCAAATTAAGCTATTAAGCATAATTTTAACTGCTTGAATATAAAGTGGGGGATATGGGACCTCGGGCTATCTAGATTTAATAACTTAAATGTAAATATTTCAGGAAGAGTTATTACCTCAAACTATGAGATGCATATCTGTCATCTGTCAATTTTTGAAAACTTAGTTTTTTCTCACTAAGAACTTCAACTTAAAACAAAATAAAGTAGATAGCCCGATTCCTGAGTAAATTTCAGTTCAGAAACATCTTGATTGGGGTAACAGAATACTTTCACCTTCGAACAAAAGATTCCTTCGTATGAAATTTGCAGCAAAAAGGGGAACTGAGAAAAATGCATTCAAACATTGAACTCCTTTACTTTGTTACTGCCTCACAATGTGTTGAAAATATTATATATCAACGCAACTATTTGGCGTATGGTCATCAAATTTGGTGTAAGGGTGTATAATTAGTTTTTAAAACTGAAAACCTCAAAATTAAAAAATGAATTTTTTCAAAAAAATTTAAAATTTAGGCCCATGTCCCCCCTTAAGGCAAAAATTATTTGTAGCTAACGCAATTCTTGGGAAAAACAATACACCCAAACAGAACAAAAAGTCTTCACAAATTTTGTGCTTTATAATATTTTGTTTTCATCATAAAGGAGTGAGCTTTTCTAGAATATGAGTGGCTTAACTTGTTACTCAGAAGATTTCCATCCAGTACACTCCGGAATGGAAGTCCTTACGGTTTCAGAACGTGGAATGGTTAATTTCGTCGTCCAACATACCCTGCCTAATAGTGAAACTGAGAAAAATGTACCTGAACTTTCAGCTTTACATTTCTTCCTTTTTTACAAGCCCCAGGCACACGAAATCTGGAGCATAGGTAACATCCTGCTCTTTGAGACTTTGTGGTTCCACTGGCAACGGCTGCCAGTTTACATCTTCTGTGGGCGAGCTAACTTTGGTAGCAGGCATTCCTCAACAGGAGGGAAACTGCCCAGAACTAAGAGGCAAATGATACTAAAGAAGAGCAGCAAATCAGCAATATGATCTGGAGTGGAAGGTACTGTCAAAAGGGTGCTGCTGAAGATAAAAACAATATCACATTACTGGGCAGGGCCAATCTCAAGGCCCATTTCGGGTATCAAGCAATAAGATCCCTAATAATACCATATTTTCAGCTTTCTTTTTTTTTTTTTTTTGGGGGGGGGGGGGGGGGGGTGTTTAGAAAGCTTCTGCATGCTAAAACTAGGATAAATTTTGCTTCTATTGAGGGTGAGATGTTCTGGCTGTTAAATAAGCTCAAAGCAGCCCTAACTCAAAACATTTTTTGTAAGATAAATCCTACATATTTATAAACTACACTTTCTAAAACCTTGCTTTAAGAATTAATAAACATAAATTCAATATTTAAAAAAATATATATGTTTATTTGGAATTTTGGGGCTATATTTTTTCTTAGTAACACAGTATGTTTCTTAGGACTGGGTTCCAAGCCTAGGGCTTTATCTTTAGTCATCCATTCATCTTTGGAGAAGACTTGTATACCCCAGCTAACCTGTCGCTCAGAAATCGGATAACCTATTCCCTGCACTAGCAGTGCAGCTTTGATTAGCATATTGATAGTTGGTACATACATACTCAGATTTTTTGCAGTCTTTGTTTCCTAATTAATGGTGGGAGGAGCGCAATGTTTCCTAACTTCATCCGTAGGATTAAGAAGCCTTTTAATTTCCCTATGACGTCTTCTCAATTACTGCGTATGACGCAGTTCAGTTTCATTTTTGCCTGGTAGTTCCAGTTTCTTTTTTTTTCTGGCTGCATTCTAGTGTTCTGGGCTATCTCGTGAAATTACTTTCGTTGCTGCTTCGCCCGCAATGACTACAGCGTCACACTTTTTCTTTGCTTCGCAGGATCTTGCTGGCGAGAGACAACGCCCAGTGCCAAATCATGGTCATAAAGATCGCCAAGCTGGTGGTTGGCGCCTGGCAGGAGTCTTACGACACGGAGAGAAAGAACAAGCTCAGGGGTGCGTTCTGGAGCCTTGCCTCTCTCAATATAAGGCCAAAATGCAATGGAGGTGGAGGTTACAAAAGGGTCTTGTTGTATTTTATAAACATTTAATGTTGTTTATGTGCATGTGTTTGCAAACTGGGTCCCTAGGAACTCTGGGGTTCCCTGGAACAGCTTCATGGGAGTTCTGGGGTTTCCTCAGCGCTAAAATTTTCTCGGCCGCCCCTGTCTCCGGAGTAAACTTTTCTTCCAGTGAACCATTTTAGCAGATCTGAGCTACTCACTGATGCTTAACTCAAACACTCTACTATGTGCATTATTAAAGCATGAAATGCTTTTCAGTGTAAACTTCCAATTTTAAAATTTTGTCCGTCTATCCATTTGCTTGTGCATTTCCCGCTAAATTTAGCGGGGGAATGGATGTAACGTGACCTACACACTAATTCAGCTTCCGTGCTCAATTTTGCAGAAAAATTTATGTAACATGATCTCTACAAAATAGTATAGTTTCTCCACTAAATTTGGCGGGTAAACTGACGTCACGTGACCTGACGTTACGAGACCTATACATGAATTTAGCGGGAAAATTATTAAAGTAGGTTCTTCACTCCCCAAAATTACTGTTTAATGCGTTCTAAACAAATTTGAACAGTCGCTCCTCAAATACTGCACTTCATATATTATAGAACTTTGGAGTTAAAGGTTACTGTCAATTTTTGTTTACAAGGTCTGCAGCCTTCTTTACTGTTTTATTGGACCAATGCCAAAACCAGGAGGGATTCCTCCGCTGCCATTCAAGGTAGATCAGGGTTCCCCGTGGTCAAAGAGTTTGAGAAGGTTTACGGAAGGTATTTTTGAGTTTAACAATTGTTTTTCATTGACTGCGTACGCGTTTGGCTGCCTCTGTGGCAAAGGTATGAGAACATCAACAGTATTTACTTTCAGAAGGTATGGGCAGCTTTGAAGTATCATGTATAAACATCTGGAGCACTTAAAATAAATGTGTCAGACTGTAGTAATCTCAATTCTTAATGAAACCTAAAAGCCCGTTGCTATAGTGTCTTGCACCTATGGTCGCATTTTTTTTTTCTTACTTTCCTTTTTTTTGCAGTTTCTAAAGAAAACTCGTGGTATTTGAAAATAAATAAAGTAATATGGTCCAACCCTACCGTCAATGCAGAACTGGGTCCGGCCAATCAAGAGCCCCGGGGGGCTGCAGAAGCGGCGTTGGCGTCCATCGGGGAGGGCGCGGACAACAACGGAGGGGAGCTGCAGGCGGGGCGCTCGGTCGTGCACGCCCTGCTGGAGGTGTGCCTCTGCCTCCTGGTTCGCCACTTGCCACAGCTGAGCCCCACCCTGGCGAACGCCGTGCACGGTGCCGGGCGGGCGCAGGGAGCACGCAGGCTGGATGCCGACACCGGGGAGCTGGTCGCCGCGGCGCTGGGCGTGATGGCCGACCTTCCCCTGCTCTGCTCTCCCGCAGGTCAGTATCACTACGGTGCCTGGGGTGGGTCTCCGACCAGCATGTTCACCGCATACCCTTCATCCACTAGTCGACGTCAGCTTTCGTATGGCATCAGAATAACTTTAGGCTTGCAAAAGAAGCAAGTCAGCAGACGATCACAACTTCATCCTGCGTCCGAGCTCACTTTGCCGCAGCACTCGGTTCGTACCAGACGATCGGCACTTTTTTTTGGTTCGTTAGCGGACGACATATTGTGTTTTCTTGTTTTGTATCCGTCTGCGAATGGAGCTTTGTAACAGATGAACCGCGTCCTTCGCTTGCGCTAGCAGACGAATCGACCACGTGTGCCATCTTCGCTCGCTCCGCGAGAGGTAAATTAGGTCTCGCCCTCACTCTCGCAATGACCAAAATCAGAACCCCAGTTGAAAGGGTGTTCCGGGCAGCACAGTATCACCACCCCTGCTTTCATTCCTGTGGCTGCTGTCAGAGTTGCCTTTTCTGACATGTCAAAAGACGAGCAGCTTTCAGTGTCTGGCCATTATATTTCGAGCTGGATGACAACAAAAGGTCAAAGCGCTCAGTGAACTGTTCCCGAACTCGGGGAAACCCCTGAATTTCCCCGAAGTTTAAGAAGTATTTTAGTGGATCTATTGATGCACCCATTGATGCATTACTGCGAGCCACAATAATGTGCATGTGCGCATCGTATCATAGAACATCTGTAGGCTTCTGCGCCGCCTTGTTGCACGAATGCCGCCACGAGGGGGGTCACCTCGGCAATTAGCCGGGAGAGATGGGCCTTCCTTGAAACCGTTCCAGTTAGAGAACATTCAAACTACTGGAATTCAGATCCATACATAACCTGATTCGCACTCTTAAGCAACATGCCACACTTGAGCTACCCATAAGTTAATTTCTATAGTAAAATTATAGTTGCGTGAAAATTGTATCTTTACATCACGGTATCGGCGTGTCCATTGTTTTGCATATATTACGAGCAATTCTAATTTGGTTCACTACATTTCTTTGCCGTATCAGTTTTGCTACAGGGAGGTACTGCTCTTTATCTGATTCATTTTAACCGGTTTTACGTAGTCCCAAAGGCAAAAACGATGATGGAGCTTGGGATTGAAGTGATGATGACCAAGGCAACGGTTACTTTCTTGACTCAAGCTCCCTCGTCTCTCCCGCAGGCTGCATGACAGTGGTGCCGACAATCCTGTTCCTCACCACAAACGTTCTGAAGGAGGTGGCGGTGAAGAGCGAGCCGGGCTCGTCGCAGCAGGCGAACCCAATTGTGACGACCGCTCCGGTCAGCGCGGTGCTCCAGGCTCTCAAGGCCCTGGCCCTGCTGCCGCTGTCCCAGAACAGCGACCACTCGAAGGAATGGATCTCGCTTCTGCGAAGCACGCTGTCCAGGATCATCGACTTCAGCAAGACAAGTGGGTCTAGGCTCACGCCGTGTCTACCTCTCTCGCCTCGTTTGCCTTCTGAAAGGGGGAACGCGGAAACTGAAAACCGAAAAAGTACGAAAAAGTGGATTTTAGGAAAACCACTTTTTTGGATTGTATGTTCCATGAACTACCTCCTCTGTAATTATTAGCTCCTGATTCACTGTGAAAATAAGTTCAAAAAATATTTATGAGGTCCCGGCGGCTTCCCAATCGTGCTAAAAATCCAAAATCAAGCCAGACTTTGAGCAATTCCCGTTTGCTTTCCACTTGGCGGACGGCCACCATCTTGGTCTTGTTTTGAAGCGGAGATTTTTTTCTTCTTTTTGCCGCCTTTCAAAATAGTGTCTGCAGTATAGTTTTGGCTTGATCGGCAATTACCCGCCTCGCGATTTCGAAGTTGTGATTGGCCAAAACTCCCATTCAAGGGAGGGAGCTTGCGACTATTATTGGCTGCGACATTTGTTCTCCATTGCCATGGCCATTGCGCCGCAGAGACGCGTCTCACCGCGTCAGCCTCGCATCGCCTGCTTGTTCCTGGGCCTTGTCAACTCCACTTCGCTTTTCTCCATCTTTATGATCGTTTGCAGCCCTTTGTTTTAGTAATTTTGCATACTTTGCCCATGTATTTCGTGGCCGCAAGGGATGCGGGAAACGAATTACGAGATGGTGCATGCATTCGATGCACGGTAGCAGTCCATGCAAGCTTTTTTGCATCGCGACCATAGGAAGCAGCACTGGCGGCCCGCATCTGCGCAGTGGGTTACCAGTGCTCATTGCGTCGCTACTGCAGACTGTGATTCTTCTGCCTATGCCGTCGACCGTCAAACCTAAGTAAAGACAACAGCGGAACAAAAAGATTGTATGCAAGAACATTTTCAGCTACACTGCAAGTAAAGCCGTTTCACGTAGTGCAATCCGGCTTGCGATATTCGTGATTTTCTGTTGCGACATTGCTCTCTCGAGAGAAAACAAATAAATAAAGGCCATAGACGATGACTAATGTGCATCCGTATTGTTTCCACAAGCTCTTTGTCGCGCAAGAATGAAAAGTGCAAGCAGAATCGTGCCACGTGAAACGAGTTCAATGCTGAAAATGTGTGTTCAACTTTCAACTGCCATTTTCTCAAAATGAAATTTTCCACTGGCATTGGTTCTTATCCCAGTGATATCTCGGGAACTAATCAATAAATCTGCATGCAGTTTTTTTTTTTTTTTTGTTCTGTTCCTAATTAACTTTGTGAGGGCATAACAAGCTTCCTTTTTTAGAAAATTGTATTAAAATTTTATAATATTAAAATTAAATTTGAAGGATAAGAATATGACCAACAATATAAAATTCAATGTTGTGCATTTTTTTTTTTTTTTTAAAGAAAAGAAATAAAAGAGTTTTGTCATGCCCTGGGGTGCCTATGCAGGAATGCTTATAGTAAATTTCACATTCCCACTATGTTTTGCTATTTCTCCAGGCTTGGGATAAAAGAAGCAATTGAACCATCCTGAAAAAAAAATTGTAAATTAAGAACTCATGGGCACAGCTTTATAAAACTTAGCAATTACTCATATATATGTGCTATGAATGTACCCTGAAATTTTCATACAAATAGCTATAAAAATAAAAAAAGTTTAAGTTGCTTGCCACCCTCTCCCCTTAAAGCGATTTAGGAGCCAGCCCTTTTATGGGCTGGCTCCTATATCGAGTTTCACAAAGAGGTGTAATGAAAACTTGATAACATAGGTTTATGACGACCACATGGTTGGTGCTAAATGCGATCATGTGACCATGAAACTTGACGTCACGATGTCACACAATGAAATAACTTCAGTCTCACGTGGCATTGCAGCATAAGTGACATCACACAACGTGATCGTGGGGTTGGTGTCAAGTGACGAACCTCTGCTGAATTTAGTAGAAAAAATGTCATATGTCGCACTATGACAGACCTTTAAGTCTGCGTTATGCTTAGTTCAGACTTTGTGTAGAATCCAGGTGATTAATCTGTTGAGTGTGTGTGAGCAAGGGAAGGTGCAAGACGGGAGCAGAGATACATGAGGGAGGCAGTCTTAATCTAGTTTCAAGAAGCGAGGAAAGAGCTTTTGGCAATCATTGAAAGCCGAGCCAAATTGATGACTCCGGAACTGCATAGTTGCGAACCGCAAGAAATATGCGGAGGTTGTGGTCGTGTGTGTAGTTAAAGCCAAAGGAAACCACGAGGTCTGTTTACAAGAACTACCATATTGAATTCAGGATAACATGTAGTTATTATGAATCCTAGTGAGAAGGCTGAATCTGGCTATGCGGAGTGCAAATTCGTCTGCTTCTTGTTCAGGGGCTGTTATGGTGTCAGAACACCGAACTCCTATTGGCTGATTAAAAAAAATAGTGGGTAGACCTTAAGTTGTCTAGCATTGAGGTCTACCCACTATCCTTTCAGTCAGAGCCAACCATAGCTCACCGTCGTTCTGACGTCACCGCAACCCCTGCGCAAGAAGCAGACAACTTGCTCTCCGCATAGATCATTCCAATAACGAGCTCTAGCGAGTGCCGTTTTCAGCATTTGTTCATAAGGAATGTGGTCTGCTTGCTTTGCAAAGCGACCAACGTACACAGGGTTGGCTGTGGAGACCGCACGCTAAGCTGTGGATTTGTAAACATTGGGGACCGGTGTGTAACGGAGCCACTATTGAAGTTACGCTTAGAGCATTGGCACTCGAAACCCCGATTTTCTTGTGGGCACCGCCATTTCGGTGCACAGAGCGGGTGTGTTTTTGAATTGTCGCGATCCAAATATGCGACTTCCCGACTTTTATATATGGTGTCGGGAAGCTCCAGCGATGTCATTTTGCTCTGTCGCATACTGTTCTAACATTTTTGGAGGACGCAAAAGAGAGTCTTGCCATCTCAGATAAACCTTTAAATAACTGACAACTGTGGCTGTGAACTGTCATCGCTCTGAAGCCAAGCCTACTTAGTGGCTCTAGGCTGCCCAACGTGAAATGCCATCGGCGTATCTGCGACGCTCAATCATTGCAACGACAACTCCCCTCGTTCCCCAGGCGAAGAGGCGAGTACGCCCGACGACATCTCGATGCTGTTGGCCATCGCCATGTTTGTGCTGAACGCTCCCAAGGAAGTGGTCTCCGTACCCAACCTGCAGTACCCCTGCATCAACCTGTTCAAGCAGGGACTCCTCAAAGATGATCTGGTGAGCCTTTGGCAATGAAGTGCACGCAAGTGACCCATGTTGTGTATTGTTTACACGGCCGTGAATCGCTCTAACCTGATGCCGACTCACTGGATCGTATAAATCCGCTTCTTAGACCCGTGTACTATTCTAATTAGCGTAATCTGTCATTCACGAAATCTGTTGCATCTCGTCGTAGCGAACGATCTCAGAACACCCAATCCTCGCATAGCCCGCACCTGTAGACGGTCTGCACCGCATATAGTTTTAACGTTCAAACGTGTATATAGTATGCGGGCTATAGTTCAGAAAGTATGGCATACGAGCGCTGTGGACGCACCTCTTTGGCATTTCAGGTCCAGCTGTGGTGCATCCAGACGCTGAGGTCCATCTTCCAGCACCAGGACCGCACAGTGTCCACGCCGTACATCCACAGCCTGGGGCCCCGGGTGGTGGAGACACTGGTGCGCTGCGCTGAGGACCTGGCCTCTGCGCCGGGCAACACAGGCGGGAGCAGCGACCTACGGCTCAGCGTGGCCCTCGAGTGCCTTCAGACGCTCGAGTCGCTGCTCATCGCCGCACCCTCTGAAGGAAGTGAGTCTCGGCCTTTTGTCTCGTTTGCTGTCCAGTCTTCTCTACGTGACCAGCAAGCGCGCGATCACTCCCTTTTTCGTGTGCGGAAACGCAGATAATAAGAAAATTGCCCGCGTTTTCTTGTCGGCAGCCTTCCGCTTGCTGCATGAGCGTAAACTTTTGCACACCCCCACGCTTCTCACGTGCTTCGAGTTTACCTAAAATTGACTGATTTAGGAGTTTCCTGTGACGTCAGCAAGTTTCTAATAGACCCTTTCCAGAATTCAGTCTGGCCACTTTGATCGCTATCATCATCAGAAAAATGGCATGTGCTATACTAATGGCGGCCTTTTGTTTACTGATGAAGGAAGAAGTTGAAGATGATTCTAAGCAAATGATTCAAGGCCTATACATTTTAGATGTTAGCGTGACATGAATCAGGAATTGGATGCAAGATCTGCGTAAGCGTTCATTTTTAACTTGTGTACAGTGAATCTGTTAGTAGCACACACTCGGCTTCACAGCCCCTTGATGTATAGAACTTCACCAAGGCTTCTATGTGGGTTGGTGCTTTGTTCTAACTTCTGACTGGTTGCATCTTCTCGCCATCGACACTTAATGAGATTGAAAAAGAACTGTACAGTGAAACACACATTCTCAATTGCCGACCGCGTCTTCGGAAACTTGCGAAAGTGACGGTGCCACATCAATTACTGCAGACCGGTTCGCTGCCACCATTATTACGGCAAAAGTTAAACTGCCATTTGAGTCACCAGATGGCACTGAATTCGAGAAAGGGTCTATTGGAACCGTATGATTATTCTTACTAATTAAGAGGGTGATTAGTAAATTTTCGGGAATCACTTTGCCAATTTGTGTGTTTTTCCGCAATCCCCGACATCCGCCGTGGCTGGCAAAATGTTTTCAGAAGGATTTTTTTTTTTCAACCATCTTATTTGTAAGGAATTCTTGAAAGAGTTTGCAGAAACACTCGGTATATTGTTTATATATGACCTTGACATCAGGAGGTCACATGATTTTGTGGCTTGATGTCAAGTCGCTGTGACATCGGAGAGTCGCGCGTCTTCACGACGTGATATCATACACACCGCAGCATGTGCCCAGCTCATTTGCTACACATCCCGTGCGCGTCTTCGAGTTTACCGGATACAATCGAGATACGCCAATTTTCCAAGTGGCTCCAGTGCCGTCGCGTCAGTCTAACCCGTGGGCTTTTTCGTCGGTTCCAGAGGCGCACATGATGCTCCTGTACGTGCCGGTGCTGGTGAACTTGCTCCTGGACCCCGCAGGACACAAGTCGGCGCTGTCGGCCCGGAAGCAGCTCCACCAGAACGCCCTGGGGCGCCTCACCAGGGTGGGGCCCCAGTACCCGCAGGTAGTGGCAAGCAAACACCAGTGTACTTTTGTAAAAAAAGTAAAAGCCGTTTACAACTCCGTGTAACGCCGAATTGGAGCGCAGTTCTCGAGGAAGAGGAGGGAAGGGTGCTGAGGGGAGAGTAGACTCCTCCTTCTCCTCCTCCTCCCCTCATTCTTTAATATGCTCCGGGGGGGGTCGCCTGACCTCGGGGGGAGGGGGTCACGTGACTTCGGAAGGGAGGGGGGTCCCGTGACCTTGGGGGGGGTCACCTTGGAGGGTCACGTGACCTTGAGGTGACCTTGGGAGTGGTCACGTGACCTTGGGGGTCAGGTGACCTTGGTTACGCCGACGCTGCTCAAGCTGGAAACGGGCACCTAAGAGCTGCACTCTAAAAAGGATCATTTGATCAAATTAGTACAATTATGTCAAGTACCCTATTTATAATATAAAACGAGGTCACATTATTCCTAATAATATTTGTTCAAGTGCATTCAGCCATACAAAAATGGCATAGCTCCACAGTTCACTTCTCACTGAATTAAACTCGATAAAGTTTATGGAAATCCTTAAAAAAGAAAAGCTTTGCAAATTTCTGTGAGGCTAAGCATAGAGACGAAACACATGAAACTGAGTAAATCGCAGTTGAAGATTTGACACTGATTGCAGAAAATTGTATGAGGGATCCTAGGCAATAAGTTTCATCATTATGCAGAGTAGTTCTTTCTGAACAAATTGAGATAAAATGGGCTTAAAACCTTAAAAATAATCTGAAAGATAGAAAGGATAACTACAATGTAAAAATAAAATTTTGCAAACCAACAAGTCGATTTTACGAGAGACAGTGGGAGGGGCCAGCAATAGTTTGAAGCCCCAAATGCAATTTTGTTTGGCTCTAAAAAGGGCATTTGGTCTGTGCAACTCTGCAAGGTGCCTCTACAGCTGTCCAGGGTAGTAATACTGAACTGCTCCTGCCTTGTGTCGCCGGGCATACTCCTCCTTTGCCTTGCTTTTGCTCTGGCGTGCAGCATTTCCTTTACGCAAATGGAGACTGTCCTTTTCGATACTTCGGCGTTCAATGTAGTTATCAGTTGCATATTCCAGGCTTGCGGCAATGAACTTGCTGGTCAGCCTCCTTCCCTGGTTGTAGATGGCAAAAGCCTCAGCTGCAGCCCTCTTCACGCTGTCCAGGGAGGCATATGCGTTCTTGGACGTCTGCATCCAGATGACTGAATGTAGGCTTTCGCTCGCATTCTGGGTCTTGCCCTCACTGCACCGTGCCAGCAGATCTCCATTGCTGAGCCTCGCAAACACGGGCTTAAGTGTATCCCAAACACAATCCACAAGTAAATTCTTGTGTGGCGGAGGAGGCTCACAGCTTGCCAAGGCCCTGTTAAACCTGCAGCAGGACTCGGCACCATCAGGGCAATTGCTGTGGTCTGGGGTGTCGTCCGTAGACGTCATGTGCAGGAGGGTGGCCTGCACTGCCCTCTTTATCCCCGGAACATCGTTGCTATTGCTTCTGAGGGCAGAGTCATAGTAGTTCTGGATCTTCTTGATATTCTCCTGAGTCAGCTTGCCCCTTCCACGGAGTACTTTGCCTTGAGCTTTCTTTTTGTCCGGGGGGTTGTGCAAGGCAGCCCCCATCCGCTTGTGGACGTCATTGATGCAGTTTTTCTTCTCAGCTTTGACAAAGCCATACACATATGCATCTGTCAACGCATGAAATTCCGACTGTCACCATCTGAGAGAATGGTGGTGTAGTGCAGCCCATGCTTGACCAGGGATCTTTCAAACATGGTCAATGCAGCCTCAACCTCCATGCGACCAGCATTACAGTCAACATTCCTTCGACAATTGTGGACTGCGTACCAGTCGCTGCAGACCGCATGGTCGAGGATGGGCCCGAATACAGTTCGACAATGCAGCCCACACCAATGTGGGATCTGTGTCCTCTGGTCATCCAAGATCCATCAAAGACGACGTTGATGTTGGCAACAGGGTTTGAGAAGTCTGCGTACAGCTTCTTCATAACTATCACACTGGCAGCTTCACTCACACTGCCGAGTTTTCACAGTCTTTCAGAAGCCTTCAAGTGCCCCTGGAAGGACTTGGGGTGCAGGCCACGATGGGACAAGTTCATGCATGCACAGGAGTCCGCCAAGGCTGTAACTCCTTTGCCGATCAACTGAATCCCCTTCATGGCCTGCATGTTGACTGCGAAGGGAGTGATCTTTGCCAATCCGGACACTCTTGGTGAAGAAAACTGCTTTTTCTTAATTTCACATGTGGTGCAGACGAAAAGAAGTTTGACTGCTAAGCCATACTCCTTGTCCGTAGCCTCGGTGATCGTCAGACTTCCTGCACCGCAGCTTCCACACTTCATCTGCGCGAAGAGGTAGTTGAGGACCTTCTTGTTCACTACAATGAACTGTGTCCCGGCATCGCCTGTCTGGCCTCCCGCATTGACGCTGGGAAGGTCGAACTTGCGCTGGCTACCCAACTTTTCTGATAAGGCACGCTTGCATTGCTCCTCTTGTTGGACGCGTTGCGCCCTCTCAGCCGCGTAGAAGTATGTGGAGTCGACTCGCACTGTAGTTCAAGAGCTCAAGAAATGGCCCGTGGTACAGCTGGGACTCGCGATGTCTTCGACAGGCGACCTGGCCAATCTTGCCGGCAGATCCAACGATTCCAGAAGTGCCGATTGCAGTGTGGCGCATTTGCGGGAGACCCCTTTGGCATCTTGTTCCAGGCATGTTTTTTTCCTTCCATAAGCTCGCCACATGCTCACTTTCAATTGAGCATCGGCCCGCATCTCGAGAACTCGAAACTTGCGCAGTCCTCTAATAAAACAAGGCGACGATCGATGTTCAATCTAAGCAGGCAAACCGGAACTAAAAATGTGCACTCGATCACTGAAGAAACAAAGCAGACTAGCGAGCAGCCGACAACACGGAGCAAACGACGGTTTCGTCAGCGCACAAACCGAGAGGAGGAGATGACAAAAAGAGTGGAGGGGCCCATCTCGGCCAATAGCGGGAATGCAAGATATGACGTATGTGCTCCCATGCGCGCTTACCAATCAGCAGTCGCTGGGGGGGGCCTGGAAAACCCGCGGAATGCGGACGTTCCCTGATGGTGTCACGAGAATGAGTGGGTCGGGGAAGGAGGAAAGAGAACCAGCTTTCCAACAAGGCCAAAATGGCCGCGATCCAACGAGCAGCTACAGGGCGGCTGCGGAAGGTGCCACGTATGAGTTCGACTACTTTTTGCTTTATAGTTGCGATTGGAACGCTGCTGAGGCATCGTAATTAGCATTTTTTTTTTTTGTACTTGGACATTGAAATGGGCATTGAAACTTTGCATGTGGGTACTTTAAACTATATTCAATCCAAATATGAGAGTTTCAAAAAACATATACTTTAAATAAAGCAACAAAACGCGACTGCTCGAAACCGAAACACAAGCACGAAGTAATAACGTGACATCTCGACTAGAGACTGGTCTGAGTAGAGATTCCACGCCCGTCATCCACCGCCATCGCATAGTTTGCTTCTATCAGTCGCCCAGCCTGCAACTTCTGCGATACGACGCCATGTTGAGAATTACGCGGAGAATGCACAGAGTGCAACCAATTCTCTGTGTAACTTTTTTTTTTATTAACTTATTTGCAGCTTTTTAGAAGCCACAAAAATTGGGTATCATGTTTTGTTTTCTATTTTTAATATTGGGTGTGTGCCTTCAATGACTCACGACTTTGATTATACTTGGTGTGTGTCTAAGCCGTAGACATGACTATGGAGAAGAGAGTGAGCGCGACTCAAACTGGCCATTTCTCGATTGGCAGTTTTCGGGCGGAAAGAAAACGAATTTCGAGCCGCACCTTGTGTTCTGGGCAGTTGGGCTCTCATACGTCATGTAGGAATAAGCACCTTGGCGAGCATAAATACCCTGTCAGTGTCCCTTTGAGGTTCATTTCCTTAGGAACGAGCTCTTCTTGTCTCTTACAACGAGAGCAGACACTCGCACGGTGGCACCATCTACGAGGTGACCCTGGAACTGCATTTCACCAGATCGAAGGTTCTGCGGTATTTGCGAGATGAAATGTACCTACTACCCATGAGAAATGTTTGTTTATAGCAAGGTAAAAAGTTTTTTGAAGCAAAAAAAAAAAAGAAAGGATAACGCACAAAAAAAATTATGAAATATACGAAAACTGGAAGTGTTACGAGCTTCCCGGTAGACGGTGCCAGCGCTTTCTCTCATCGTAAAGGCTCGTTCGCACAGTCGTGTCAACTGCGCTGCGTTACTTTGTGCCGCACAGTGCTTCCCCATTGGCTCGTCGTAAGTGGTTGCAGTCTCACTCAAAGGCAACTGTGTGAACGAGCCTCAAGAGATTTTAAGTTTCTAAGGCACCCGGTCGTAAGCGGCCACAAGTATGTGAACCAGCCTTTCGCAAAACTATTGCGAAAAATTTGTCTCGAGATTTTGTCACTCCACGGTGATGAATACATAGTATTTCACTCCAAGTCACAAAGTTTGGGTCCGCAGAATATTCTCGAAACCCTCACTTTCCGAAATTCGCAAACTATTGAGCCTGCGAAAATAAAATGTAATTTACAGTAGGCTTTTTTAAGTAATGCTGAAGATGATTTTGATTTATAAACAGTTAGCACCTTATGCTTTAGTATCTCAAACTATCCATTTCATTTTTTACAATTTATTTTTCCAAATACTGTTTTTTCTTTTTAGGGGCTTGAATGGGTCTATGGTATAAATCAAACTACAAAACTTAAAACGTAAAGTTAAACACGGACTCAGTATGCCTACAACAAGGAAACCATAAACATAATTACTAGGTGCACATATTTGCATGTTAATAGCATTAAAAAAGGAAACCATAAAAATAGAGTCTTCATTACGGTTTATGACTAATACAGAAACAAACATATTTGGCTCTCTAACTTACATTCAAAAGAATGCTTTCAAGATTATGTGAAAAGTTTCTTGTTGCAACTTTC